CTAAACCCTAAACCCTAAACCCTAAACCCTAAACCCTAAACCCTCAACCCTAAACCCTAAACCCTAAACCCTAAACCCTAAACCCTAAACCCTAAACCCTAAACCCTAAACCTAAACCCTAGTTGCTCACCGAGGCTGGTGCCGACGGTGATGCAAGGAGCCGCTGAGCGGCGTAGAGCCCAGACAGCTCTATACCCCCTACTTGAGGGGCACACTCTGTTTCATGGGAAGGATGCTTAACGGTTTAACGGTTTAACGGTTTTAGGGTTTAGGGTTTAGGATCTTGGAGTCAGGGTATAGGGTCTAGGGTTTAGGAGGACCCCCCATGCAGCTTAAGACGCACCCCTTCAACTGAGGGATAGTGGGATCCCTGCAAATTGCCTCCCTCCAGACCGCTACTGGAGATCGGCAAGGAAAACAGAAGAGCGCTTGTGATGCGAAGGCACTGTCGCAGCTCTGACAGAACCTGGTGCTTGGTAGGCAGCGGCAGGGGAGCATAGGTAGAATGCCAGACTCTAGTGGGCTAGATGGGCTGGATGGGCTTGTCCAGTTTCCAGAATACAGCTGTGCCTACTACACTGGCTGGTTCTTAGTCGGGAAGGAGGGAATGAGGTACCCTTTTTTCCTCCCTTATGCATATATATATATATATATATGTATAGGACCCTAACATACCCTATAGACTTCCGTATATATACACACATACATACAGGGCCCTAATTCCCCTCATTCCCTACTAAGAACCAGGAGCTTATGTGCATCCGATTGCTTGGAAGGAGGACTGCGTGATGCCGCCCCCACCACCGGTCAGGAGGCCGCCTTGGGTCGGTGGCTGCGAGTCGACCACCCAAGCTTGTTGCTTTTCTTGCCCTCAGCCCTCAGCCCTAAACCCTAAACCCTAAACCCTAAACCCTAAACCCTAAACCCTAAACCCTAAACCCTAAACCCCTCCTTCTGTTCAATGTTCAGCCACCTCCCTGCGAGGCGGCCCCTCTTCGAAGCCCATGGGGCAGCGGCCGGGACCCCTGCGAAGATGGCTAAACCCCACAACATGGGTTTAGGGTTTAGGGTTTAGGGTTCCAAGAAACCTTCCGAAACCACTCAGAAGAAGCATGCCAGTTCGGCTGCCCGGCTCAGGTGTAGAGCTCGGGCGGAAAAGGGGGAAGAAAAAGGGCGTCAAAGGGTCACAGAAGACCCGGCTACCTTCGCTCTTGAAAGGCAAGGGGTTTCGTAGGGTACTACAGGTTATGGGGTCAAAAAAAGGTTTTGTTCGGGTCTTGAAACTAGGGTTTAGGGTTGCATCCTACGGGGGACCCTAAACCCTAAACCCTAAACCCTAAACCCTAAACCCTAAACCCTAAACCCTAAACCCTAAACTCTAAACTCCCTAAACCCTAAACCCTAAACCCTAAACCCTAAACCCTAAACCCTAAACCCTAAACCCTAAACCCTAAACCCCAAACCCTAAACCCTAAACCCTAAACCCTAAACCCTAAACCCTTAGTCAGAGCTGCAGGTGCAGAGCAGGGCCCTAGCAGCACACCTGCGAGGTGCCCGTAGGGGAGGGGAGGAGGCTCTGAGTCTTTTCCCTAAGAAGCCCGAAGAAGCCCTAAGAAGCCCCAAGAAGCCCTAAGAAGCCCCAAAAAGCTCCAAGAAGCCCGAAGAAGCCCCAAGAAAGAAGCCCTAAGAAGCCCCGGAGGATGCTTGACCTGCAGATTGTGCGACATGAAGGCCGTCAGCCCACATGCGCCTCAAGAGCTGGTGAGCCCCCCATGAAAAGGTGACCGTCTCAGAGCCTCGAGAGGCAGTTGACATTGCAAAAATTGCCGTTGGGCCGGAGACACGAACGCTTGTTTAAGTCACTTTAGCATCAGCTGCCCAACCCATGCCGGCTGACTGGCCCGCAGCCTTCGTCGAAGCCCCAGTGGCCAGTGATGACAGCTTGTGCAAGCCTCACGCATGTGCAGTGCCTCCTTCAGAAAATCCCCGATGTAGGTCCTGGGAATTGTGGTGGGTTCGCTGTTGGTGGCTTTGATGATTGCCGCGGTGATCAAGAAGAAGGCTATCGGAGTGATGGAGCCTCAGAGCCTCCGAGCTCTGCAACGTGGTGCTTGCTCAGCTCAGTATTTTGCATCTTTCGCCTGTGCGCCAAGGAAGGCCACCGAGTGACCACTACTTCGAGGCCCGCGCTATCTTTGGAAAAATGCCAGACACCAGAGGGTTAGGTCGAGCTCACTTGGAGGGCATACCAAGACCTGCCAAGACACCCAGCCAACTCAGGTGTCCTCTATGATCAGCGTCAACTATGTCGTGATAGCTTGAGATAATCCGGAGACAGGTAGCGAATTCACGCCCACACCCTGGATGCAGGGACGCTCCTGCTCGGATCGAATCTCCCATCAAGAGCCAGTGCGGCCAGCAAGAAGCCAAGGCCAATTTTTTTTGGGGTTTCGGGTGCAAGTGTTATGGCTTAAATGGCGTCAACGCACACGCACCGACCTGAGGTTGTATCATCGGCTTGTGGTTGTTTTCTTGGGTAGATGCGGATTCCTGGCAGAGGCGTGCCGAACGAGCGAGGAGTTGTGAGCCCTGACTTCTGACAAGCGACATACGGGAGGTTGACACAAGGAATGCTTCTATCAGATTGCAGAATTTACAACGAAACATCCTTGTCCATCGTGCAAGGGCACGTGGCTACGCGCGTTTCACCAGGTTAAACTTGGATGCAGCGCTTTTACGGGCTCCTGAGCGGCACGTCGCTCTTGGGGCCAAGTAGGGTTTCAGGTAGGACAAGGCAGTGGATGAGAGAACGCCGCGCCCTCGCCTGCAATGGGATGAAGTCCACACTGCCTGTACTTCTTTGCATACACATGCATGCACCATGTGTATATGTTCACCACACACATATATACTTAGAGCTCCGAGACTGGTGGATCTCAGCTCACTTCGCTTCGGCCCCGTTTTGCCCGAGCCATACCACGAATACCATGAAGCCACCGATCATGCGCAGCTCACGGCCGAGAACGCAGTCAGCCCTGACAGAAGCACCTGCCAGCACTCCCAGACGACTGCAGCAAATTCTGGTCCCGCTCGAAGTTTGAAATCCAAACTCCCCCAGAAGGGCCCCCTTCGTCTAGGCTTCTCCAAAGCAATGAGGGCCATGGTATCGTTTCCCCTGCCCTTTCTCTTTCTCCTTTGGCGAGGAGCGCAGGGGTCGGCATCCCAACGGAGGGAACACAAAGTGCAGGATGCATTCTTACATTCCACTACTACGGTCCACTACGGTCCACGACGTTCCACGACGTTCATGTGCTCAGGTCCTTCAGTGTCTGTGATGTACCTGGAACCAGGCAGCCTCGAATCAAAAGTTGTGGTACTGGGGCTACCTCATGTCGGCCATGTGATGGTATTCGCATCTGGGATGCCAAGACAGGTCCAGGGCTTTGCACATCTAGCGCTCCTCACCGACCTCCGCCCTCCCCCCCCCCCCCACCCCCCCCCCCCCCCCCACCCCACCCCCCCCCCCCCCCCCCACCCCCCCCCCCCCCCCCCCCACACAAGCTGCCTCTCCGGTGGATCATGCCTTTGAAGGTTCCGTGGCGACCCGCTGAAAATCACGCGTGCGAGCCTCAGGCAAAAGCTGCCGAGCCCGACCTCTGAGTCTGTAAAGGTTCCTCAATGTTCCTCATGGTTCCGTGAGAAAGGATTCAGGTTTAGGGTTTAGGGTTTGGGGTTTACAGGGGAGGGGGTGCCGTTTCAGGCGCGGCTCAAGCCACTGAACCGAAAGCGTCCATGCTCCGCCTCGCTGCCCTCGTGCTCTGCCTGGCCTGCTCGGGGGCATCTGCGGAGTGCCGCGAGTGCGCCGCTGCAGAGGAGACGCTGTTTGTGCAGTTGAAGCCGCTGGGTTGCACGGCTGCCTTTGTCTTTACCCGGTTGACACACATGGAAGACAAGTCCTTAGGCTAGTTCATGCACGTCTGAAGAAGGTAACTGCCACGGGTTCCGTAGGCATCCGCTCAATTGCTAACACAACGGGGGGTGGTCACTTAACTGGAGACGTTGATGTCCCATGTGCCAGTTTCCGGCAATGCTCTCAGGCAGGTGCGCAGCCATGAAGTCCTCAAGAGCAATGTCACCACGGATTCAGACGAGGTCATGCCGCGAAGTGCGCTGAATGCTGATGTTTTGAGAGGTGTTTAGGACTCTTCGAGGTCAAGCGCTGCCTGGACCGTGAAACGAGGAGTTTGCTGAGCTTTGGGTGTGAGCTTACCGTTGGCAGTTGGCCAACTCAAGAACCGCTTGCAACAATATAATCCTGTCGACCTGATGCATCCTGATGCACTCAAAGTGCACTTCGGTTTGCAGAAAGCCGTGGCGTAAACCGATCCCCTTGACTGAAACCAGGAATGGCTTGCACTCTCGGGGTTGGTCAGCGATTTTCCGCTTATCGCGTCCCTTACGGTTTGGGTTTTTTTCCCACATCTTACAGACACACACACACAGTGCTCTCCATCCTGACCATGCAATCTTCTGCAGGCAGAGTTGCAAGGCGTTCGTTCCGACCATCTCGCTTGCCGCATGCTTGCAACGAAGGGCAGCCCAGGAGCCCTTGATTCGCCTAAGTAGGAGCCCTTCTTGCTGCAAACTTGAGGTATCCTAAATCTACTCTGGGGTTTTTGGGGCCCTCTTAAGCCCCTTCTTCCCTCTCAGAAGCCCCTCCTGTGGGTTTCCTTGGGCGAATGGGTTCCGGCTCATGGTGCATCGAAGGTGAGGATGCGGAGCCACAGTCTCCTCGAGAGGTAACCCCAGGGCTCCTCGGCTTGGTTTAGTTTAGGGTTTCGGGTTTCATTTAGGGTTTCGGATTTAGGATTTAGGGCTTAGGGCTTAGGGCTTAGGATGGAGGGTTTAGGGTTTAGGGTTTAGAGGTACCACTGTGTATTGCACTGTCATGCTGCGTTCACAGCTCATGGGCAGACTGTGGCTGCAGGTTTGTGGGTGAGATGCCGGCGAGGTATGAGCCTCTGGATGGCGGCTCCATCAAAGAGTTCATCCAGGTGCGAAAGGATTGAGGGGAGTGGGAGAGCGTGGGGCCATGTGGGACCTCTCCACCAGGTGAACCTTCATTGGCACCTGGGTGCTGAGCACTACAGCAAGGGCGAGTATGACATCCCGGTTGGAAAGCATCGCCGCCATCGTGGCTGGATTCAACAATGCCTTGCGCAGTCTGAGCTGCTTTCGTGAGTTTGTGTAGATTGTGTAGATCAGGTCCGGATCGGTTGGTTGGTTCGGGGGGTGCCGTGGTCTAGTAGAATATTCGTAATATCGTAGAATACATGCCTTACACACATAAACAAATACATAAAGAAAGAAATACATCAATACATATATCAATAACTCAATAGTCATAATATATGCATAATATGTTCATAAATAAATACATAAAATACATAAATAGATAAATAAATAAGAATATGCATATATGTACAGATATATATATATATATATATATATATATACATACCGGCACCATGGGTTCAACCAGGTCCTGGCCCTCCGAAGTGGGATGGCCAGCCCCTGGTGCCAGAGGTGCAGCCGGGCTTCTTCTGCAACCTCCGGCGCCTCGCCTCGCAATGAGCCATATTGGGGGTGGGTCGCGCGGGGGGGCGTGGTTTGAGCTACTCTTTGGTGTTGGGGGGGGGGGTCTGTCGTCTTTTTTTTGGATCTTGAGGCGGGTTGGGAAGCTAGATGTGCTGTCTGGGTGACACATCTCCCATCCAGGGGCTACGACGACCACCTGAAGCCATACCATTTCAAGCACTGTGAGGATGCCCAGGCCTGTGTGGGACCCGCTGCAGAGCTCCCAAAAGGCGGCCCCTCCCTGCCCTCCAGGTGGGCTACACCTACGAATTCCACTGGGTCTTCTCCTCTGCGGGGCCGCTCTCGAACGAGCTTCTCGAGCATCAGAGAGCCTGTAAGTGGGTAGATATCATGGGCAGATCATGTGCTTCACGTGCACGCTTGGTGGCGAATGCCCAAGACATCCTTGCACTCGGCACCCCTACGTCCCTCCGTGCAACCCCATTAGGACTTACGGACTCATGCTCATGTCCTTTGGCCCCCTCATGGTCTTCCTCATTGATTTATAGGGAATGCAGATCACCACCCCATGTGAGGCACTTGAGAATCCCCAAGCACTGTAGACCCTACATCAAGTAAACCCTAAAACCCTAAAAACATTCGAATTATTATCCTTATCTGGTTCATAATGACCTAACTACATATATATATGATACATATATATATAAGAACGTATATGAAATTTGTGACCCTGACCTGATTAGTCATGTCACCTAATCCTAAACCCCAAACCCAAAACCCAAAGCCCAAACCCCTAAGCCCTAAACCCTAAACCCTAAACTCAACTCCCCCCAGGTTCCGGCTCTACAGCGGTCTTGACCAGGCGTTCAACCGATCATCAAATCCGATGGCCATCGTTCGCGGGCAGGCGGCTTGACCTCATCTGCCTATACAGTTCTCGAAACCGTGCCTCAGACTTTTCCCCCTTCCCAGAAGGAAAAAAAAGCAGGCTCACAATCATGATATCGGAACCCCTCCCAGACGAGACTATGAAGTTTAGTAGACCATCAACATCCTCAACCCTCGGTTGGATATGTTGGGGCCGGGGAGGGTTCAGTGTCGTGATGTGCAGGTGTGCCGCATCATCAACGATGAGACCTTGAAGACAGAGCATGAAGTGGAGAGAGCTCCGTGGCTTAGAGGTTGATGCTGGAGTGTAGGTTTCAGGGTTTAGGGTTAAGGGCTTAGGGCTTAGGGCTTAGGGCTTAGGGCTTAGGGCTTAGGGCTTAGGGCTTTGGCTTTAGGGTTGAGAGGCCGATGAGACGAGAACTGACTGCCGTGGCCAAGGATTATGACAACTTCGTCGAGCAGTGGCGGGCTCCGGACTTGGGAAACGCAGCTTCTCAGCTTTGCGATGGTGCGCTTCCTCGGTTTTTTGGGTTTAGGTATGGTTTAGGGCTTAGGGTTTAGGGTGTACGGGTCCAGTGCCAGATGAGCTTCTGGAGAGTAGGGGTGTAACCAGGCTTGTTCGAGGTGACTCCCGAGACCAAGTTGCCTCAGATGTTGTCTTTCCAGCCTCGAGACATCGGTAAGAAGTGTGATGCCAGGGTTCTCAGCTTGTGCAGCAGCGAAAAAAACCTGTGCCTCAGCCTTGTGCACTCGCAGAGAGTGCGGGGAAAGCATGAAACGAGCCTTGCCTTTCCCCAGTCAGCACTATCGCAGCCAGACGTGCCCGGGCCACTCCCGATCTACTGCAGCAGTCCAAGACAAAAATGTGTTGTCGGAGCCGAGTTTCGGTTTGTTGGGCCTGACAAAGGTGGATGTTGTAAGATTGTAGGTTGCAGGAATGGGCCGGGAGGGGTGGCTCTGGGATCCTTGCGCAGCCCACCTCGCGGGAACCAGGTTCGGTACGTCGGCTCTACCACAGGGCCCTCATTCGACAACAAGGCACGGGTGTTTTTCCTGCTGGTCAGTGTCGCGACTTTGGTTCTAGCAGCTACAGACTACAGAGGTCTGCTCGCCCGTGGCGGTCAACTGGCATGTCGACACGACGCTTCGGTGAGTATTGCGGTCTTACCGACTTGTCTCAGAATAAGATGATATTCCCCATATTTCCCTAAATAAGGAAGAATATTTGTTGTTTTTACGGGTTTCTTAAGCAATTAGTAGTTCTGGTTGGTAGAACTCTCACAAGAACCTGTGCTGCAGCCAACACCGCCTTGCTATGGCCAAAGCTCAATTAGGGCGCCGCTAGCTGCTACGGAAGCTGCTCCTGTTCCGGGGCTGCCCCAGTACTACTATTTGCATAAGAACGCCCCGAAAAATAGAAAACAATAATCCGTTTATTCCCCTTGTAAGGAAGATTTTTTTATTTTGTTTACATTTTTGGGGGGGTTCTTAAGCAATTGGTGGAGTAATCTCCGGTACACGGGGTTCTGACCGCGATGTGACCAAGGAAGTGCTGCACGCTCACTGCGCAGGCCTTGGACCGGACCTGCCAAAAGATGATGCTCGAGCCTGCATTCAGGAAAATAAAGTAAAGAAAAAAAAAGTAAAGTACAATAGAACATGATATAACATAATATAATATAATGTAAGATAATATAATATCATGTAATACAATATAATATAATACAATATAATATAAGATTCATTAGCAAACAACTTCAGCGGGGCTCCAGGCCGCAAGATAGCAGAAGGATGAAGTGCATCCCTCAGCCCGCGCAACGCAAGGAAAGAGATGGGCATGACTGCGGATCTGCGACCGCACGGCTCACGAAACTGGGATTTCAAGGTTTAGAGGGTCTAGGGTTTAGGGTTTAGGGTTTAGGGTTTAGGGTTTCGGGATATTGTAGAGCCCTTGTCATTTGTCGCACAGGATGCGTTGCAACACATGCCAATTAGTCAGGTATGCTGTTGCAATCTCGTATGAGTCGTGACGAGTTTCTGGAGCTGAACATGGGCTTGCATCGACGCATGTATGTTGGTCTGTCATATGTCGTGCCTATGCTAGGCCTGTGAAACTTCAGTGGGTAGAGTCTGCAGGGCCCGCCGAACTACCCGAATTCGGTAAGAGCCGCGCAAGCGCCTGTAAGGAGAGCTGGTCGATCGACAGTTTTCTTCCATGTTGGCGTATCCACTCAGTGAGCCTGAATATTGACGACTGAGAGACTTTGCCAAAAAAATGCCGCATTGTAACATAGCCCATGGAGCCCTCATCTGGGCGCCTCAAGCTTTAAGCTGGTGCATGAGAAGATGGGTCTTTTAGCTGCTGTGATGCCTGGGCCCCTGTCCCAGCAGTGCAATGAGGCAGCAGTGAAAGGGTTCTTTGGTGGCCTTTCCCCTGCCGAAGTGCAGGCAAGGAGCAAGGACCTCGCACCTTTCTTCACGGTGCCGATTGGGCCGATTGACTGTTTTAATTGGGCTTGCTTCTACATTATGTTAGTAATTATGCCAAGAATTTTTAGTGCAGCCTCTATTGACAAGGGACAAGGGACTTTACCACATGCACGGGTTAGCCTCGCGCAAAAGTGCCGGGGCCGGCGCAAAGCGCAGGAACCCACAGCTTCTGTCACGCGGGGGTCACTACAGGCTGCTGTTGCTCGGTTTGCTTCGCGAAGGGCCTGGCATGCGTGGGGGTTTGGTCACACCTCTGTTCAGATACCCTGTCATCATCATCATCATCATCATCATCATCATCATCATCATCATCATCATCATCATCATCATCATCATATATTGCAGTACAATACATGAGTAAACCCAGTTAAACACGTTATATCACATTATATTATACTATATTATATCACATTATGTTATATGAAATAATACGCTATGACAGTAATTTTATTATATTATATTATAGTGCATTATATCGTATTATATTATAATACATTGTATTATATTGTATTATATTCTATGATAATATAGTGTATTATATTGCATTAAATTCTATGATATGATATGATATTTTATTATACTATATGATATGATATGATATGATTTTATATGACATTATGTTATATCATGTTATATTATATTGTATTACATTGTATGATATTTTGTTATATTTTGTTATGCTATGTTATATTATATTATATTAAATTATATTACATTGCATTATATTGTAGTATACATCAGTGCCCCAGACTAGCAGCAGTCCAAGCCACGCCCGAAGAGTTGCGCCCAGATGGCTTGAAGAGTCTTGCAGACTGCCGGCAAGCCTGTGCCAGGGCCCCGGCAGCCCTCCAATGCACCGTTTAGGGCTTAGGTTTTAGGGTTTAGGGTTTCGGGTTTAGGGTTTATGGTTTAGGGTTTAGGGTTTGGGGTTTAGGGTTCCTGAAAGGTTCTGAAAGACTGCAGGGCTTGGGCTCTGATACGTCGGGGCGCCGTTGTTGGGCATGCTGGGTCAGCAAGCCGTAGGGCCCCAACGAAATAGCCCGCAGACATTCCGCAGCTGCGCAAACCTCTGGGGGTCAGCAGACGCAGCAAAGCAGAGGTGAAGCAGCTCGACTGCCAGCAGTTCTCCTTCGTGACTAGCCAGGCCTGTCCGCTCCGAGGGCTCAAGCCACCGGTGTCGAAGGCGTCATCTGGGTTTCTTGCAGGACCGGAGGCTTGCCGACGACTTGCCCGCGCTGCCGGCACCCGGCTGAGATGGGCTTTGTGTGGCGCATGCTGGCCTGGACATGGCTTCTAGAATCTGCTTAGCCGTGCCAGTGTCTAGTCGTGCCTCGTCTGTGTCAGATTGGAACCAGCTGCCGCATGTTTGACGGTGCCGCTGAGAAGGAGACGCCCAGTGCTTCCCACTCCTTTGGTTTCAGTTGTTCAGGGTTTAGTGTTTGGGGTTTAAGGACTGGAGGCTGGAGTTCAAGAGTAACAAGGAGTCTCCACAAGCAGTGATCCCCCGAAGTACCATAAATCCTCATCATAGGAACGCCCAAAACAGGTTGTCCCTACGGTAGTGTCTTGAAGCCCATACGGGGGTTTCCGAAATAAGGGGTACCTGACCGTAAACCCCCTTCACGGCCTTGAAGGAGCCGGCCGACGATTCGTTCATCTCAGGCAACCCGCCGTCGGCTGGTTATCTTGTAGCTTCAATCAATCAGCCAATATGGTCTGTGTATGTGTTGCATATGTAATTGTATATTGTATCCGGTATACGGCATATTGCACACGGCATATCGTATATTGTATACAGTACATATATTGTACATTTTTCTTGTATATTGTATTGCATGGTATCTGTCAGTCGATGTATCATCCATGTCAAAAGAATATACACGCTTCCTAAGCCCTGAGATCCTATCTGTCTGACTACTGGAACCCCCCCCCCCCTTACTGACAAGCATTGGGACTTCAAATCTATACACGGCGTTATGTAGAAAGATGGCGAACAATCTGCGGCTATTTGGGGACATATGTATATAGACATACGTGAACAATATACATACGTATGGGCCGAACTCAATTATGCTGTCTTAGCCTTTCTCCTTTGAATTTGAGATTGCGGCTGATTGGTCACTTCCAGAGACAGGGCAGTCTCCGCTAGTTTAGGGTTTAGGGTTGGCGTCTATAAACCCTAAACCCTAAACCCTAAACACTAAACCCTAAACCCCAAAATGCTAGGAACCGAGCCTTTGGCCCTCCAAGCTTGCCGGCCAGGGCCCATGGTCTGTGCCCCCAGCGAGAGCCGCGCCCCCTTGGGCGGCAGCTCTGTTCCTTTCCTGGAGGCCTCGCTTTCGCGGTTTTAGGGTTTTAGGGTTTAGGGTTTTAGGGTTTTAGGGTTTTAGGGTTTTAGGGTTTTAGGGTTTTAGGGTTTTAGGGTTTTAGGGTTTTAGGGTTTTAGGGTTTTAGGGTTTTAGGGTTTTAGGGTTTTAGGGTTTTCGGGTTTTCGGGTTTTAGGGTTTTAGGGTTTTAGGGTTTTAGGGTTTTAGGGTTTTAGGGTTTTAGGGTTTTAGGGCTTTAGGGCTTTAGGGCTTTAGGGTTTTAGGGTTTTAGGGTTTTAGGGTTTTGGTGTTTTGGGGTTTTGGGTTTTTTTGGGGTTTTGGGGTTTAGGGTTTAGGGTTATGGTTTTGGGCTACTCCATGAGACTGCCCCGAGATTCCAAACCTAGATAGTAACTACATGACCCGAAGTAGACAGGCATCCACACCGGGAGCAGGGCTGAGTGCAGGGTTTATTCGCCAGAGATTTTCGGGGGATGGAGGGTTTAGGTTTTTTTGGATCAGGACCTCAGAGTTTTCGATGCACAAGCGGTTGAATCCGACTTCAGAGGACACCCACCCCATTTTCCCCTTTTAGGCCTATTGGCATGCAAGGGTGGTGGGGTGATTGCAGGCGCCCAGAAAACCCCCAGAAAACCCACTCGCAGCCCATTCGCAACCCAGCAGTTGCTTTGTTCTGACATCAGCCCTGCTGGTTTAGGGTTTAGGGTTTGTTGGTTTTGTTGGACATTGGTGCTGGCACGTGGAGGTTGATGATTGGAGAGTCTGGGGTGCGGGACGCAGGAGTGAGGAAGTCTTCGGGCTCGGGTTCGGACAGCTTGCTATTGAAAAACGGCCCAAGACCCCAAGCCGCCCAAACCCTGAACAAGTCGCCCAAACCCTGAACAAGCCCCAAGAGGCCCGAAAAACCCTGAACTCTGAGCCCCCCCTAAACCCTAAACCCTAAACCCTAAACCCTAAACCCTAAACCCTAAACCCTAAACCCTAAACCCTAAACCCTAAACCCTAAACCCTAAACCCTAAACCCGAAACCCTAAACCCTAAACCCTAAACCCTCGCGATGCCAGGTGGATCGCGAGGGCGATGCGGCTCCCTCTTCCCGCTTCGGCCGTAGTGGTGCGAAGCCAACGAATGCCTGGTAGGGCCCTCGAAGGGTTTAGGGTTTAGGGTTTGGGGTTTGGGGTTTAGGGTTTAGGGTTTAGGGTTTAGGGTTTAGGGTTTAGGAAAGGGTAGTTACATGGGCCCTTAATCTGGTACTTTTTTAAAGGGGTACTGAAGTCCGGGCCCTTGGGTTTCATAGGGTATATAATACGGGGTATGTAAGGGGTCCCCTTTAAAAGGCCCCTCTGAAGGGACCATGTAGCTATCAACAGATTCTTCTCGATGGCGTTTCATAGGTTCGGGATTTGGGGGCTTTCATGGTTTGAGGGTTTCTGCGGTTTTGAGATGCTTGCTGTGCAGGGTTTTAGAGATTTGCGGGTTTAGGGTGAAGGGTGGAGGTTATACAGGCTGGTCTCTTCAAATGGGGCTTTCTGCTTGAACCGGGGGGTTTATGGGTGGATTTGTGTACCGTATAATTTAGATTCCTCCCGGGGGCTTCCCCAGCCACCTCCCCCCCCCCCCCCCCTCCCCCGCACACTACGTACTGTAAGGATCTGCAAGGGTTCTGTTTTCATCTCCACGGTTTAGGGGGGGGCCCGCAGTGTAAGAGGTCCAACATGATATTAGTTACGCAGTAGCAGGCCTTTGCATTGGCCGGAATGGGAGGTGCGAAGTTTTGCCCTAAACCCTAAAACCCTAAAACCCTAAACCCTAAACCCTAAACCCTAAACCCTAAACCCTAAACCCTAAACCCTAAACCCTAAACCCTAAACCCTAAACCCTCAAAGGTGGACAACCACCGTGACGAATCAACAGCTTGGTGTCACGTCCAACTTCATGACGCAGATGTGCGAAGCTCGGGAGTGCTGATCCTATCATAATCATACTAATACTAATAATAATACTCATAATAATAATAGTAATAATACTCATGATAATAATAGTAATAATAAGAATAAGAATAAAAAGGGTTAATAATAATAAGCATGATAGTACCAAAAATGAGAATGATAGTAATAATACTCATAATAAGAATAGTAGTAAGAAGAAGAATAATGAAGATGACGTTCCGGGCCTGCGTGGTGCCGCATGTCCTGGCAAGGCCATACATTGTGGGCCCAGCTGAACGCGGGGTCTCCACCTCAGTGCATGACAGTTGCTGACGGGTTTGAATCTGCGTGGAGTAACCCGGAACCCTAAACCCTAAGCTTCTAAACCCTAAACATAAACCGCCTCAGACAACCTGTCTAAATTTACGGTGGGCATTTTGTTTTGAACTTTGGGGTTTAAGTCTATGACCTTCGGGGCATGCGGACACGTCCTAACCCACTGTCGGGTCCCGTTTTTTGGGTGCTGTTCTGGGATGTTCCCCCTTACACGAAAAGTCCTTAGTAGGGATTACAATAGGGGGGGACCTAAAAATCCCTATATGAAGGACTGTTAGTATTAGGGGGGAACATCCCAAGCGCTGTTCATGGTGAGTTGAGGGCTGGTAAAACTTACCCCGTCCCAGGGTTGTGAAGCTGCGAGCCGGGCGCAGTCCGGTGGCTCAAGCCGAAGGTACAGGCAGCAGAACGTTTGGTGGAGACAATGGAGAGCTTTTCGCGATGTGCGGGTTGATCCAAAAAGGTCGCCCAAGAAACCCAGAGTCGAAGGGCCGCGTACAGATCCTGAAAGCTGCTCAGCACCCTAGCATCCCCAACCCCTGAAGCGTTACCCCTCATACTCCCCAACATACTGAAGCTCTTTGGACTCTTTCACGGGCTCTTTTCCCATGCCCTAAACCCCAAGCCCTAAGCCCTAAACCCTACGCCCTAAACCACATAAACCCTAAACCCTAAACCCTAAACCCTAAACCCTAAACCCTAAACCCTAAACCCTAAACCCTAAACCCTAAACCCTAAACCCTAAACCCTAAACTAAACCCTAAACCCTGAACCCTGAGCCCTGAACCCTAAACCCTAAACCCTAAACCCTGCCATGCCGCTGGGCGCATGGGCCTGGGAGCCGACCCTGCGGGGCCCCGGAAGGCCTTCAGCGCGGGTAGTGTCGGTCTATCCTCTGGCGCAATAAACCCTAAACCCTAAACCCTAAACCCTAAACTCTAAACCCTAAACCCTAAACCCTAAACCCTAAACCCACTGTGTTTTTGTACAATCTCTAATGAACTCATTCAACAGCATTCTGGTTGCAGCAGAGTCGAGCAGGGCTTTGACGCTTTAGGGTTTCGGGATGTCTCGGGCTAAGTTAGGAGGTGCCTGGTGTTGGGATGCTTTGAGGCCCTAGGGAGCAGCTTGGCGTTCTTTTTCGGATTTTTGGTGATCTTACTCTGGCAATCTCACGGGTCCCGCCAGCATTCCAGGCATGGCTTCGACCGGCCTGCCGCCACAGCTTTCGAGGCTTGGTTGTGAACCAAGCACGCCGCATTGCAACGCGCAGCGCCATTGTCAGGGCAGGGGTGTGTTGCCCTGCAACATATGGAGTGTCGAGTCCCCTGCGGCCCCGCAAGCACCTGGACGTCAAGCTATCATTGCTTGAGTTCGGGCTCCAAAGCCGCGCGAGGCCTTCCACCGCCACGAGTTCGTCGCCGCCACAGCGCCAGCAACGGTTCGCACGCTGCCGCGGCCGCTGCCGGCGCTCCACGAGGTGCCGGGAGGGACTTGCAGCAGTGGCATAAGCGGGAGCACTCGGGAGCTCGTGGGAGAATTCGCAGAATTTCAGAGCCGGAGTATACCATCAGAATAGGGGGGGCCCGCGCCGGCCCCGGCCTGCTCGGGGAAGCGCAAGCGTGGCCGCGTAGAAGCCCATATTGCCCTTCGGCCCATGACAAAGCCCGGAGGAGATGGCGCCACCCCCTCACGAGGCGTGGACGGGGGGGGGGGCTTCCGGCTCTTGGGGCTCCTTGGGCTTCAGTGTTGAGTGCTGTAGTGTGATTCCTGGCCTGAAGCCCATCTGCCTTCGACTACGACCTGCTGAGACTGCGATGGAGACCTGTTTGCCAGGAGCTCCCGCCACAGGAGATGCCCAAGGCACTGGTTTTGAAGATCTTTTCGTTTCAGCTCAGGGAAAGGAAGAAGGAGGTGCATTTCGGCTATGAGAGTCTTGCGGATGCAGAGCAGCTGCGCAGCAGCTGTTGCAAGAACGCCACGCCGCCTATACAAGACATGAACAGTGGTTTCCACCGGCCTTTACTCCGCGATCTGCCAGAAACGCAGTAACTCCGTATGGAGTTGCCCAAACCCTAAACCCTAAACCCTAAACCCTAAACCCTAAACCCTAAACCCTAAACCCTAAATCCCTGCAAGCCTTCTTGATGCAAAGAGGTGCGCACCATCGACGAGGAAGATGACCTCCGCTTCAGGCAGAGCAAGGAGGCGGCTCAGCTGTCCTGGAGATCATTTTGAGGGCTCAGGGAGGTCGAGTTGGGGCTTAGGTATAGGGTTTAGGGTTTAGAGTTTAGGGATGTTTAGGGTTTAGGGTTTAGGGTTTAGGGTTTAGGGTTTCAGGTCTTTGGCTTGCAAGTCAGGACGTCAGGCGCCGGGACAGTTCACACGAGATGGCACAAGGGTAACAGTCGGGTTCCATGTGCTGGCAGCCTCAAAGTTGTTAATAGGATCACTGTGGATCTGTAGACACACCCCTTTTTTGAATATTCTTGGGTCATCAGTAAGGTATGTTCCTCCAGGAAGTATGGGACTTGGTCTACTTGTGGGCATCACCTCATGAGTACACCATAATGGGGACCCACAGAGGACTCAATAAAGCTAAATCATCCCAGCGCGTTCCCCTGAGGATCGGCAAATCGCGCGGCTGGGGGCCGCGTCACATGGCGAACGTAGAGACATGTTTAGGGTTTAGGGTTTGGGGTTTTGAGTTTAGGGTTTAGGGTTCAGGATTTGGGGTTCAGCGTTCAGGGTGAAGCGACGGTGAGGGAAGGCTCAAGAAACTTACGGTGAGGTGCTCGCCAAGACCAGACAGCCGTCGGAAGAACACACGCACCCTGCCATGATGTCTTTTCTTGGGTTTCCAAAAAGCCTGCGGTGGGTTCCGGTGATTTGAAAAATAGTGTTTGGGTCATATGAGGGGACCCCTAGTTTGGCAAATGGAGTATGGAGATTTTCGTTCGTGCAGTTGGGATGGAAGATGAGGCTGCTGAGGCTTCATGCGGTGGGCGGCCGGGGGTACCCTAAACCCTAAACCCTAAACCCTAAACCCTAAACCCTAAACCCTAAACCCTAAACCCTAGGTTGGCAAGTTTGGGACAGCGGGCCGTCGTTCTCTCCTTTGTTTTGTGCCATGGCGGCTGGGCAAGCCCCATGTGAGCCATGCAGATCGTGCGATGGCCATGGAGAGCATGGGCGTTGCGTGGCTATCATGATGATGTTGTGCCTTCTTCTTCCATTAACAAAAACAAAGACATGTTACACGTTGTAAGTATGATACTGAAAGACTGCGTCCATGCCTATTGCGGATGCCATGGATGCCGCTCCAATGCCATGGTTCCATGAGCATCGTGCCTCTGCTGTAACCTTCTTGCAACCTGCTGCATGCATCCAGATCATGTAACAGCTGCCATGGGCGTCATGATGGGAGCCATGGAAGGATTCGGTCTCAGACTCCGTGAGCTTGGACTCCGTGAGCCCTGTGTGTGTCTGCCATGGCCTCCATGGATGCTTTGCGACCACGATGGTTGCCATGAGTCGTTCAACCCGAGCCATGAAATGCCACGATCGCCCTGAGCGTTTTTTTCCGCTGCCATGGCATGGATGTCGCATGACCTTCATGATTGTCTCCAAATTGCTGTCCTGATCTCAGGCAGACCAAAGGCCCCCTTCAAAGAGTCAAAGAGTTGAGAGAAGCCCCCCCCCCCCCCAGAGAGTCCCAAGAGGCCCCCCCCAGGAGAGCCCCAAAGGGACACCCCCAGCGCCTTGGACTCTTGACCCCAGGATGGACGAGAAGATAGAGAAGCTGGAGGAGCGGACACTACATATATGTATGTATATATGTACATATATAGATATACACACAAATTTTATGGGTTACAAGATGTGTTTTCCTACATCTATATATATATATACATATTTTAGTATTGGTTCTTTCAGATTAAGGTGTTAACACTCAGCTAAATGTTTATGTGTATGCGTTTATATAGCTTGTTATTCTCAAGACCAAGGCCCACATTGATATAAATGTGACCTAAGGCACTTGGTTTAGGCAAGCTTCTGACCAAGTCCGGGTCCGACTTGACCCAAAAGCTGTCTTCGGTCACACAGTTTAGGGTTGAGGGTTTAGGGTTTAGGGATTGGGGTTTAGGGTTTAGGGTTTAGGGTTTAGGGTGTGTGGACGTCTTTCCCTGCAACGGTTCAAGAGTAGTTCCCGGAGCTCAAGATTTAGAGTTCGAGCCAAACTCTTGGAGGACCGGTTCCTGACTGGAGCCGCTTGGCTTGTCTTTAGAGGCTTAGAAGTACCCCTAAACCCTAAACTCTAAACCCTAAATCCTACACCCTAAACCCTAAACTCTTAGCGATAGACTCTGGAAGTCAGCGTACCTTTCTTGTGGGGTTTCCGAAAGCAGGGTGGTGCTGGCACTTTTTTAAACAGGGGGGTTTCCGATACACAGGATCATAGTACTTTGGGGTACATGTGGGGTCAAGGTCGCTGGTGTCTGTTAGCGGGTTCTCGCGCTCTATGCACCCAGGCCAGGGGTTGAGCCACTTGGGGTAGTTCTGTCTGACGAAAACTTGAAGCAAGGCAATGCACCACCCGACGTTCGTGCGGTATCCGAAGCCATAGGGAGGGTGCGGCGCCCATCCCCCGGCATCTACGTAGCAGCGGCATGCCCTAAACAATGCCAGGGATGGAAGTCTGCGTGCAAACTCCTCTGATTTGCCCTAAAGCCTAAACTCCCTAAACCCTGAACCCCTGATCCAAGGGAGTGCTACTGCCACCCTGTCCCTTTTCTTCTCTAAGAAGAAGGATTTCCCAACATAGGGTACCTACCATACCCCAAAGTACGACAGTCCTGAAAGTAGGAATCCCCCCCCCCCCCCCCCCCCTAAACCCTAAACATTACGGCCTCGACCCGCGATGCCTCGGATCCCTCGCAAACTCAGTCAGGACCTGCAAAGCCTGGTCGTGCCTCTTCCCTCCACCCCGGTGGTGCCTGCCGCCTCGAAGGCATGACTTGGAGATTGTTTTTGGGGCCCTTAGGGGACATCTCATGCTTCCCCTTGTTCGGTCTAAGAGGAACTTTTTTTGCGAGTGGTTTCACGGGTCAGCCGAGGGTGTGGGAGCCTCCAACATCTGTGAAAGCTTCGAGTAGGTGGATGCGAAGCAATGTCAACATGTGCTCGCGACACCTATCCGAGCATTTTCAGAGGGGTTTTGGGGGTTCTTCTCCGTGGTCAGCTTCTCATGCCCCGTCCTTGTGGAGGTCCACTTCTTGCAAGGCAAGCCATCGACGCCAGGATGCATCCTTGGTGGCGGACACACAAATATAGGGGCCTTAGAAATTAGAATACGTAGGGTTTTGGGGGGTTCTTCTAGTATACCTATAAAGGGGCCATAGTGAATACAATACTACTAGTAATTATTCCGACCCCGAAACAAGATTGATTCAATCTCCTTGACCCAGGCATCTAGGATGTCAGGTGAGGCTTTAAGGTTTTCAGCTCGAGGTCTTTTTCCGGGCGCTTTTGTTAACTTGCATTGTGGCAAGGGGAAGACTTGGGTAGCTCGAGACCGCAGCAATCTTACCGAGTATGTTCTTCGTGCGCCCTTTTGTTGGCCGAGCTTCATCGCTCCATGAAGCTCCAGACGCAGAGCAGCATGAAGCTGTTTGGCTCAAGCCACCCCCTTTCTCCAAGGCAGCAGTCTACGAAAGAGTGCAGTCGAACAGTCGAACATACTCGTAGGTACTTTCGCAAGCGGACTGGTCGGCGCCCGATGCCGCACAGGGACTTGAATAAACCCTTAACATATCCTCAACTTGCATCTTGGGCAGGTGATCAGCCCAAACACTAATAGAGCAGACTTTGCGCCACGCTGAGCCGAGTCGGATGGCATCGGACGATGAGTCACAAGCGCTGAGCATCCAGCTGGCACTGAGCAGGGAGGCGCACGTCATCCTTTGCTCCACTCATGCCGAAATGACACCCTTGGTGTTAGGAACATGATTGATGCAATCGGCCAATAGTTAGTCTAAGCGCTCTGTTGGGGAACTACTATGTGGAGGTCGGGGCCAGGTGCCCTTTACAGCCCTGCGCAAGGCCGATGAAGCCCTCCGCAAGGCCGACGAAGCGGCGCGTGCGGAGGTCTTGATGCGGGCGGCCGGGATCTTCGAGACTCCAGCCCTCCCACCTGCGCCGGCAGGGCCCGAAGATGACCTTGTGAAACAAGCGGAGAGCTTCCTTTGGTCCTTTATGGATCAAGATGTGCAAATTCCGACTGAGCCAAGCTCTGCTCGGGAACTTCCGTCGGAGCTGCCATCTCCAAGCCGCCAGCCTGCCGACACGTTGCCTCCTATGCAGGAGAGGCCAGCGAAGAGTTTAGTGGAACAGTGCTTAGACTCGGTTCCTTCGGATAGCAAGTTGCCGGAGCTACCGGACGAGCGTTCGTCGGGCAGCCTTTCCCCTTGTGTGCCCTCGCCTGAGCGTGCCAGTCCGCACGTGGCACCGGATGGCGCGGCGAAGCCTTTGCTTGAGGCTTGCTACGACTTGCTCCCGTCAGCTGATCGGAGACCCGGTGAGCCGGCCAGTGAACCGCCCAGTGAACCGCCCGGTGCACTGCCGAGTGCACTGCCCAGCGCCGGTGCTTCGACAGGGCCGGCAACGCGCGAAGCGCCAGCCCAGCCAGCGACCAGCAAGAAGCCGCCCAAGGCCAAAGCCTGCCCCAAAGCGCAGATTCGTGCCCGCGAGGAGGCCGGTCTGAGACCATGCAAGCATGGTTAAGTTCCCTGCAAGGCTGGTTCAAGGATCGCAGTCTCTCTGGATTTTCATTGTCATCAACTCCCTTCTGAAAGGAGGAGGACGCAGATCTCCTGCGCTTGCCCCCTGCAGAGCGCAAGCGGAGGCGGATCGAGTTGCTGACCCAGGCCGCAAGGGGGCATGTTATGGAAGACTCTACCAGTAGGACCTAACAGAGGACTAGCATTGCCTGCTGCTGCTGCTGCCGGAGTTCCAGCTTGAGTCCCAACAGGGCATCGCTCCTCCTTGACAGAAACCACACAAGATACGAGGGGCTTAGGAAGGGCACAGTCCAGTGCAATGATGATTCCCTGGCCCTTCAAAAAACGGCAGTGGGGGGGACCTTGGCGAATTTGCGCGGATGTAGGGGTTCATGAAGTCGCATGGCTGGATCACTTCAGGCAGAAGACGAGGCGCAAATGAAGCGGGAACTTGAAGAGAAGCTGGCGACTGGTCTGCAATTTGGGAGGGCATGTGACCCTGGAGGTTCAGAGGCTTCAGGGTTTCAGGGACGTGTAAGAAGAATTACAAGTGAAGGTCTTGTGACGATCGATGCTCTTACCAAGGCTTGCCTGGCGCAGGTGCCCATCAGAGGCTACCCAGCTGAGCTTCAGAACGACCTGGGTCTGGTAGCAGTCTTTTGTACAATGAACTGGTAATCTTAAGCCCTAAGCCCCAAACCCTAAACCCTAAACCCTAAACCCTAAACCCTAAACCCTAAACCCTGTGAAGCTGCCACCGAAGGAGGCGATGTCCCGGACCAAGAGCTCGAACTGCCGTTTGCTGGGCCTGGCGTTTGCTGGGACGAGGAGTTGCGCGTTGCCCCCGAATCTTGGGGAGATGCGCTCCCAAAAACAGCAACTGTATTTATCATATGGGGGGTTTTACAAGGGAATCCTACTATTTGGGGGTCTACTATAGGGTCCCTGATTTTCGTAAAACCCCCATATAAGCTCATTTAACTGTCTAGCATCCTAAGGACTTATGACGTTGTTACCAGCTCTGGCCGATGTCGTGGTCTGTTTACTGCACAGCAGGGACAGGTCAGTGTCTGATGGCGACTGGTTTTACAAGGTCAGTGAAGGACCTGGCCCATCCTAGCCCTAAACCCTAAACCCGAAACCCTAAACCCTAAACCCTAAACCCGGCTCCTGGCTCGTAGACCCAACACCACATCCTCTTGCTGGGGTCCGGATTGGTCTGCACGGGATGCTTCAAGGACCTCCCTCACTCTTGTGGGAAGGGTTCGCACCATTGATCTCGCAACATATCGAACAAGCAGAGCGACGCCCCCAAGTTCTCCTGGCAACAGGCAATGCAACAAAACCCTTGCAAAGCGACGGGACCACCTGAAACGCGATGCGACGCCCCCTGAAACGCGGCCAGTAGCGTTTAAACTTGACAAGCGCAGTTTAGGCGGACCCTCATACCCTAAACCCTAAACCCTAAACCCTAAACCCTAAACCCTAAACCCTAAACCCTAAACCCTAAACCATGTGTACCCATGTGCATGCCAGGAGCCACCACCCGCCATGCATGCCAGTGACCGTGCTGCGCGCGAAACCGGCAGTCCGGGGCTCGAGGGACCAGCAAGGCGCCTTGGTAGACTTCGTGACTTCGTTTAGGGCTTAGGGCTTAGGGGTTTAGGGTTTAGGGTTTAGGGTTGGGGAGTTTTTGAGTACTTTCCCCTTGCCATCCCTTTCGTGGGTTGAAGAGAGACGAATCTATCTCCTAGGTGCAGGTTTAGCATGGCTCCGGGTTTGATGGGTGGCCAGACGGCCCCTATTCTGCCAGGGTTTAGGGTTTAGGGTTTAGGGTTTAGGGTCTAGGAGTAAGAGGCCATGGGACGCGAAAGGGCGTTCTAAGGGTCCAAGAGCCAAGTTCTACGCCGAGACCACCCCATGTGCTCCGGACAACATTCCGGTGGCACTCGAAAGAACATCCCTCAGGAGAAATCTCAGCGCACCCCAAGAGCTCACCTCGGCAGCCCTCCGCACACAAAAGCAAAGAAGATTATTATAGGGTTTAGGGTTTAGGGTTTAGGGTGTAGGGTTACCCCCAAAATCCCCAAAACCGAAGCCCAAGCCAGCTGTATGCTGGAAGCCAAGCAGGGCTACAGGATCCCTGGACTTTGCGGAAGAGTTCCGCTTGCTCTCCTGGGTGAAGGCTTGCTACGTGCAACTATTTCAGGTTCAGGGTGCAGGAATTGAGGGTGTTTGAAGGCTTGAGGGGGTTTTAGGGGGTCTTCTGTCTCCTTTTGCTTCTCGAGGTTTGAAGTGACAAGCAAGGCCCAAGAAGCAAGACATCTTGGGGTGCAGGATTCGAGTGAATCCTACTTCCCGCATTCCTCAAACTCCCAAAGCCTGCGGTGACCTCGCGATGGAAAGAGGGTTCCTTCCCGCTCTTCTCCGGAGTGCCTATCCCTTTGGCAAGGAGCGGCTCCACAATTTGAAAGCGTATCTGGAGGCGGCCGTGTTCTTGAGGTCATCAGGTAAAGCGCGGAAGGAGCAAGGTTAGGTAGAAGAAACATAATGGCCCTTGTCCAGCAGACGAGTTTGTGGACAAGAAGGCTTTATTGCGGATTCAGGAATTGCTGCAATGAAGTTCGAAAAGACAGGCCCTTGCAGCGAAAGAGACCCCATCGATTTCCATGTCTCTTCGGTCATGCGAGGTGGATTCAGATGCCCTGCCAAAGTTCGCGGACACGGTTCACAAGAAGGCGCTTAGGGTTTGTGGTTTAGGGTTTAGGGTTTAGGGTTTAGGGTTTAGGGTCGGAAAATGCTGCTGGTGACTGTTTGGGGGGGGCTATCTCAGCGCCATGGCCATGCTGCGAGGTGCCGTTATGAGTGTATTGGGCCCTGGAGATGTGCAGGTGCTGATGCGGGGATCTCCTGACAAAGTTTCGTACCTGGTCCTCGACGAATTCAGTGGCTCAGTTGCATGTCGGGAAAGGGTTCGATGCATGGTTGCAGGGGTTCTCTATGGTTTTTCTTTGGTCATTTGCTCCTGCTGCAGGCCCATAGGGTTTACGAAGTCTGCTGGGTGTGCTGTCGGGTTTTGGGCCTTGTGAGCGAGGTCAGGCCTTCTGCAGCCCCGACGTCAGCGAAGGCCAACGCCGGTTGGTGCCAAGGCAAGATTCAGAAGGGTTGAGACTGCTGCGCCGTTTCGGGCTTCGCCTGTGGAGTGGGGTTCTTCGGATGGTTGGCCAATTAGCACCTTGTGCTCGCGTTCCCAAGCGGGTCGCCGCGGGGGGGGGGGGGGGGGGGGGCAGTGGTGTCCCTTTCAAGCCTCCTCCCTGCAGCTTGTGTCTCAACATCATCGCGATACTGAAACACGGACTGCCGCCCGTGAAGCCTTCCAAGACCGCAGCGGCCGCGTGTCGCCTTCGGGGCCCTAGATTTCCTTCGCCCTGCTCTCAAGAACGTTGGGTCAGACACTGATCTGAAACAAAGCAGCAAAGCTGCATCGGATGGCGGTCTCGAAGCCGCAATGGTTGCCGGTTTACCTCAGTTCTTAGAGTGTCCCAAATCATGAGTCCATGAAGCTTCTCGCGTTGCAGTCCTTGCTCAAAGTGGCGGAGCCTCGCATGTTAGAGTTCGGATTGCCAACGTTGAGTGGTCTTCTGCAAAGACTTCGATGGCAACTCGGCCCGGCTTGCCTTTGCCACCGCGCAGGGATCCCAGACACTGCTGCCGCGAGAGTGCTTTTTGAGGACACAGAGTTGCCACTAGAGGCGATCACTGCCGTCATCTGCGATATCGTTGAAGGCTTCCCAACGTTTTCGGCAAGATTGTGCCACTTGCAGGCACCACCTGTGAACGTCTTCGCGTGTGAAGGATGCCTCGCCACGCCGCTTTGCCCGCTTAAGGGGGGCTCGTGAGGAGGACTTCGCTCAGGACAGCTTCGGCGACCTGGCCGAAGTTGCCTTGGAACGAGGTCCTCCCCACCGGCCACGCATTTGCTTTGGAGCGAGAAGGCAACCATGGAAGTGGCACCCCTTTTGAGAACTGGTGACCTCGAAGCTCACAGACAGATATGCACATGCGGAGCTCTTCGTGCATATTTCGAAGAGGACATTATGGAGTCGGGCGAAGATGTGCTCGCAGCGGGATCATGACAACAGGAGTTCAGTTTGGGCTACGCATGCCCCAGGTGAAATTTCGGTGAAATGCCTGAAGTGCTTGCCAGTGTGAAAAAGCGAACTGACACGCTTCTAAGATTTGAGCCTAGTAGCGTGGGAAAGTTGCAGTTGTTTGGGTGTTGAGTTCCTACGACGTCAAGGTTCTGCTCCGTGAGACGTATGGTCACGAAGCTGAGGTGTTCTTCGCTTTCAATGAGCTTTGCCGCCCGCTGCGCCGGGACCCGCAGAGCACGTACAGCAAGTACATCCGCCATGCCGCCTGGCAGTTCATGAAACTGGGCTGGATTTGGACAGCTTCTGCGCTCCTTCGATTCAGTCTTCCAGACCTGGAAAGCACTTGTAATCACTTCACAGTATAGGATCTAACAGACGCACGGCCTGCATGCAAGCCGGCTGCAATCCTAGGAAGGCTGTGACGACTGCCAACATGTCTGACAGGGAGAGGCCCAGAGCGTTGGAGTCTGAAGCCTCGTTTAGGGTTGGGATTGAGGGTTTGGGGTTTCGGGCTAGGGTTTAGGGCTAGGGTTTAGGGTTTTAGGGTCCCCCTGGCAGTGTCCTTCCTCATCTTAGAGTACAAAGGTCGGCCTCGGGTTTGAGGTTTGAGTTCCCGAAAACACAAAACGTCAAGGATGCCGAGCCTGGAACGGACAAGCCATGACCTTCCATGTCACCTTGTTACCCTAAACCCTAAACCCTAAACCCTAAACCCTAAACCCTAAACCCTAAACCCTAAACCCTAAACCCTAAACCCTAAACCCTAAACCCTAAACCCTAAACCCTAAACCCTAAACCCTAAACCCTAAACCCTGCAGGTATTTCTACGTCCGCTTCTTGCGGAAGCAATCGAGCAACTCGAATGCTCCTTCCTCGTACCCTGGCAAGGCTGATAGCGAGTTTCTCCTTGCTTTTGATTATGGAGCAGGCTTTTCAAAAAAGAGCAGCGGTTTCTTGAAAGGCTGGTTCCAACCCCGGTGCACATCTGCAGCTACTCAGACTCAGATGTTGCGTGTTATACCGTATACCCCCCCCCCCCCCCCCCCAGGATCTTCCGCGCTGCCGGCTCTGGCTCATCCTCCAGGGAAGCGCCCCATGGTCGGATCGGGATTTAGGGTTTAGGGTTTAGGGTTTAGGGTTTAGCAGCAGCTGTTCTCCTTCTGCGTCGATGACGTGAACCAGAGTTCGTTGAAGAGTCCTCCCAAACTATGTCACCGAAGGTCTCTGCAATGCGTGAGTCGATAGCTCCCCCGATCCATGTTGCACAAAGCCGAGCAAAATCTGCCACCACCACTCCCCCGCAAAGCCTCTTACGAGAAGCAGCAGGACAGCTCGGAAGCAATATGCACGGCGCGAGCCAAGCGAACGAAGCGAGTCTAGCATAGCGTATTCGATGTTGTTCTTGTGACAGCTGCTGTGGAGCCTCCGTGACTCAGGAAAGACTGGCACCAGCGAATGGTGAGATGGGAATTGGCCATGAAGGGCTGCGAAGCACTGGCAGGCAGTGTGAAAAAGGACAAGCTGTGCGCCCCCAAGGAAGTGGACCACTTATATGGGGGGTCTACGAAAATAGGCCAAACTTGTCAAGATCCCCCTATACTAAGGACCCCAGTAAGGTACCCCTAATGATTATATCGTCATCCCCCATTGGACCCCATGCCGGTTTCAGCCGAGGACTGTGAGCACATCCGTGGCCAATCCTGATGATGAACTCGCGGTGGCCTCAGGGTTTAGGGTTTAGGGTTTAGGGTTTAGGGTTTAGGGTGCTTCCGACTTCTGATCCACAATCCCTGAACCATATGGGGGTTTCCGAAACTAGGGGTACCTTATTGGGGTTCTTATTGCAAGGGAATCCTACTATTTGGGGGCCTATATCCCTTATTTTCGTAAACCCCCATATGGACCATTCCCTATCCATCAATTGCGGCTTCCCTTCAAAACCCCTGGGAGAAGCGCAGAGTTTTCAAAGGATGCCCTGCTCCACCGCGTGGACGGCGTGGAGCGGCGGCTGATCCGGGGCCCGCCCTCGGACCGGCTGGAGGCCATCGCGGGAGTTCAAGGGTGCCTTGTTTTTTGGCTGGGATGGGGGGGGGGGGGGGGGGGAGTTGGCAGATATTCACAAATATTCGCAGTGATAGTTGTGGCTTCGTTCCGTTCCACTTCGTCTAAATGGATCTTGTCCAGGGTTCCCTCACCGAGTTTCCTCACTGCCCTGCCCAGGGCATCGCTTCCGCTCTCGCCCGTGCACCACGCATGGGGAAGGCTGGGACGTCAAAGAACAGGAAAGGACCCCAGAACATCCCAAAAAGCCCGACGAGACTGCCCTCAGGTGCAGGGCCTTGACTTCCTGAGTGCGGCGTCGTAACCCGTTTTCGCGCGCCGTGGGGTGCACCCGCGGCCGCGAAGGACTTACCCTGGCCAAAGAGCGTGGCAGGAGAAGATCCGCCGCAAAAGGAGTGTTCGATGTCCACGAATTCCATGAGCATGTGGGCCTGGCCACTAGCAAGGTCCACGTGATGCAGCCCTTCATGACCTCGCCGGGCATGGAAGAGTTCCAGCACGGCTCGGGCCTTTGATTGGGCATGCGCTGCAATAAACTCTGTACTCCGTCAGCGCCAGCCATCCAAACTCGCATGAGCATATTCCCCCTCAAAAGGCCTGGGCGTTTTCCTGGGCTATGACAGCAACGAGGTCCTGCCAGGCCCAGAGGGAGGGAGGGGCCGTGTGGTGCGTGCACCGACCTGACACACCATTTTTCACCCTGGCCCCTCAAAACAAGACCACTCTCCTGCCTCGCATGTCGGTTCGACCCTCGTCTATGACAGGCCCGATTGCGGAAAGCTGGGACGAGGCCTGCCGCATCCTCAGCTACCATTTGCCTTGGATGGTGTCCCCTTAGTTCGAGCCAGATACACCAGCTGCAGCATCAATGAATCCACGAGTAACTACACCTTCATCGGACGGTTTAGGGTTTAGGGTTTAGGGTTTAGGGTTTAGGGTTTAGGGTTTAGGGTTTAGGGTTTAGGGTCCCCAATATTCCAGAGTCCCTAGTTGCTGGAGCGATGGATCCCCAGGTGTGACGCTGGCGTACCGGAAAGGAGCCGGTCACAACCTAAAGGCTTGCGCCCTACGGGTCATCCTGGAGCCTTTCTTCTCAAGCACTCTTTTAGCCTCCTGGAACCTTATAAAGCCCTAACCGTGCTTGGAATCCCCGTAACCCTAACCCCCTAAACCCCTAAACCCTAAACCCTAAACCCCAAACCCCTAAACCCTTGAAGTGAAGACCTAGAGTTCGCGCAAGGCCGTCAGCTTCCCAACTTGCCGTGGCTCGGCCTTTGTCACGGGAGAGTCGGAGCCTTAGCTGGGAGGCCGTGGCGTTGTATTCTAAAACTATTAAATAAACAAATTTAACAAATACAAACAAATTTAACAACCAATTTTCAAAGTTACAGCAAAATTATCATAACTATGTTAACACCAAAGTGTTTAAGTTAATGTTATATTACTATAGTAATAATTAGAATATACGAAGGATGCAAGATCGTAAGGCTGCAAGATCGTAATCTGAAAATCGTACAATCTGGGAGGCCCCGCATCGTGAGAGAGAGACAGAGATGGGTGTTTCCGAAATTAGGGGTACCTTATTGGGGTCCTTGTTCTCAGGGAATCTTACGATTTGAGGGGTGTATGTGGGGGTTTCCGAAAGTAGGGGTACCCTTTTTGGGTACCCTTTTCTTAGGGGCCCCTTTAAGGGGGTTCTATTATTCTATTTGGGGTTTCAAAGGGGTACCCTATTTTGGGATATGCCCATATTGCGGCCGAAACCAACCCTAAACCCCAAACCCTAAAACCTAAACCCCAAACCCTAAACCCTAAACCCTAAACCCCACGCCCTAAACCCTAAACCCTAAACAGATCGATGGCAGGTTCCGCGGCGTGCGGCCCCTGGTGTCCTCGGACCTGATGCTGGCGGCTGGGAAGCCCAGGTTTGGTTTAGGGTTTAGGGTTTAGGGTTTAGGGTTTAGGGTTTAGGGTTTAGGGTTTAGGGTTTAGGGTTTAGGGTTTAGGGTTTAGGGTTTAGGGTTTAGGGTTTAGGGTTTAGGGTTTAGGGTTTAGGGTTTAGGGTTAGGTTTAGGGTTTAGGGTTTAGGGTTTAGGGTTTAGGGTTTAGGGTTTAGGGTTTAGGGTTTAGGGTTTAGGGTTTAGGGTTTAGGGTTTAGGGTTTAGTAAGCATTGGGCTTTAAAGTGGGGTTTTGGGTTTAAGGTTTCAGGTTCAGGGTGTTGGGTCAAAAAGGCTGAGTGCGCGAGATACAGAGCGGATTGAGGTCTTAGGGGGGTTTTGTCTTTTTGTTTTTTCTTCTCGATGTTGTTCATGGAGGGTTTAGGATTATGGTTTAGGGTTAAGATGCTCAATGCCAAGCAGTTTCCCGGGCCACGCTCAGTCCCGACAAGCAATGGCAATGAATATGAATAATATTATGAACCGCAAGTCCACAACACCTTGAGCCATCAACACCTGCCAAGTATCCCTTTTTTTAAACATTCGGGGGGGAGAGAGGGGAGTATTGCAACAGGGCCTCTAAAAGGAAACTGGCTTTCGTGGGGGGCCCAGGAGCCGAAGAAGCTCCGCGTGGACGGTAAGCTTGTGGACTGCACCGACTTTGTGCAGGGCAAGGACCAGCGTGCACACGCACTAGCCGTTAATACCCTCCCCCTCCCCCTCCCCCCCAGCTTCCCCCCCCCCCCCCCCCGCCCCCTCACGGACTTGGACACCGTGGAACGCGCTGAAGCACCCTGAACTCTTCATATGGGGTTGTTCCAGATTTTGGGGTCCGTTTTGGCAGCTCTTTGCACACTTGCATGCACATGCGTGTCTTGGGTTGGGCTAAGGGAAACTTGCAGCAAAACAACAAACCCCGAAAAAAAGCATCCCGAAATCACCCCCGCATCACCCGCCCTCCCCCCCACCCCGAGCACCCATGTCGCAAACAAGCGGTAGCCGGCGAACCCCATGCACATGAAGCAGTGATGGTGCGAAAAAAAGGGCGTGAAGACAAGACGCTTGAACGAGGCATCAGGCAAAGGGCATCGACCATTAGCTGGTGACTCTGGTGTTTCAAGCGTCCTAGTTTCGAAGAATGAATCGACTCAATTCATACGTCAGGAGATAGAATTCACCCTCAGCACGGGCGACAGCTGGCTGGTCGTCTTTCCACCCGGGATGGGCTGGGCCCGGATCCCGGCTTTCCACCTCACAGGCCTCTGGGAATCTAGCGGATGTGCGCCGCCACACGTGGAAACAGGAGCTGTTCCTGAAGCCCAAGTTTCAGACGATTGGGACTCCTAGGTGTTTAAATGGCTCCGGCTTCCATGTTCGCCACCGAACCCTAAACCCTAAACCCTAAACCCTAAACCCTAAACCCTAAACCCTAAACCCTAAACCCTAAACCCTGCCTCAGGTCTGCAAGGCTTGGCCTTTCAAGCTCCTGGCTGCAGAGCAGACTCCACTGCAAGGTGCTTTTGGAAGAGTTTGACCCCGGCGGGCGACTAGGCAAAATTGCAAGTTTACTCTAAAGGGGGTGGAGAAGGGTGTGACAGGACATGGACAGGTGAAAAAAGCGGTCCTCTTGAACCAGGGGGCACTTGGACCTTGATTTTGCAGTCTGAAGCAGAATCAGCGTGGCATCGGTGGAGGTGCAGCAATCCAGGTGGCCATGCTCAGTGGCAAGAACCCAGGCAAGGACCTTACAGCTTCACTGCGCTCCTACTTAACACCCGGAACTCGAAAGCCCAATCGTCGCATTGGTCCCGCTAGGCATTTCTGGTCCAGCAATATCGCTACGATATACCTTATATATATATAAACCAATACATAAGTAAGTAAATAATTACACCACCGAAGACCCCAAACAGTCAACGGCACGTCAAAGCAACAGTGGAGACGACGGGAGACAAAGGGAGACGAAGGGAGACAAAGGGCAACCCGGCAAAGCCACCCACATAAAGGGACAAAGGGAGACAAAGGGAGACAAAGTGAGACACAGGGAGACAAATGGAGACAAAGGGAGACAAGGAACCCGGCAACAGTCCTCAGAATGTCGGCAATTTAGAACCCCAACAGTAGACTGTTTGGGAAATAAGAATATACATATTCGTACATACATACATATATTCTGATTGCATGTGCGTGTATATTTACACGGTTGCATAGTAGTTGTTGTATGTTATATGTTATATGGTATATGTTATAGGTTATAGGTTATAGGTTATATGTTATATGTATATGTCATATGTTATATGTCATATGTTACCTGTCATATGTTATATGTATATGATATATGTTATATGCTATATGTTATATGTTATATGTTATATGTTATCTGTTATCTGTTATCTGTTAAAAGTTACATGGTATATGAATCCTATGACCATGAAAAGAGAAACATGTCAATGTCAGCATCGAAAAGCAAACCAGAGGCTGCGACGTGCAACGCTGGGCATCCTTGGTTCGAGCGCACGCGGGCGCCTACCCGGCTGTGGCCTTGGGAGCTTCCTATGTCTTGGGTTTAGGGTTTAATAGGGGTCGCATTCAATTTCAATATGTGTTCCTGCAGCCTCGAAACCCCGAAAGGCCTCCCCGAAAATGGAAAGTCTACCCAATTCACCGCTGAGGTCGCCTCGGGCGTCAACTTCAAGGCCCCTCCGAGTGTGATTGGCTCTCCCTGCCAGATCCAGAGAGCACACCATTCTTAGGCAAAATTGTGGTGCATTCCTTAGACCACTTGTGTTGGGGGGGGGGGGGGGGGTTTTGGGTTGCTGGGCTCCCGGGCTCCCGGAAGAAGGGATCTTGGGATCTCGAACTCCAGGTTGGCGACAACGCGGATGACGGAGAGGCAGGACCTCCAGGTAGACGAGGTAGACAGGCAGACGGGATTTAGAGTTTAGGGTTTAGGGTTTAGGGGTTTAGGGTTTAGGGTTTAGGGTTTAGGGTTTAGGGTTTAGGGTTCGGGGAACTTGTGCAGCGAGGGATCTGGGAAGATTTGCCTCGTGGGGTCCCGTTGGGAACACTTGGGGGGGTTCTTCCAAGCAAGTGCAACGCCCGGGGGGGCTGCTTGAGGTCAGCTTCAACTGGGCCGACTACGTGCGAACAGTGCCTGGCCACGGCAAGAAGGCCAATCTGCGTGCAGCTGCCATCTTGATATGGTGAATGAGAAATGCTGGGCTTTGTGCAGCCAGGGATTCATATGCCGCGTCGTTGTCACGCAGCTTGCAGATGCTGCTACCGTCAACTAACATTGTCGTCGACATCCCGCCACCATGAATATCATAGTATAGCAATATCATATTACAACAATAACATCAGAGTTGAAGCAATACAACAATCTAATGTCCTGTCATGTCTTTGGCAACTTGCAACTTTTTTGGCTCAAGTGGGTCACATGGCTCCTCACCAACGAGCTGAGAGGCCCGTTTGCTCATCCCTGGCTTTGTCTGGCGCGAATCCATTTTCCATTTGGGCGCGGCGCGGCCATGCGGCTGGTGCCTTCGCTGCTGGCCATTGCAGCCGGTTATAGGCCCTCCATGAATAGTAATAACAACAATAGCAATAATAAGAATAAGAATGAGAAAAAGAAGAAGAATAATAATAATACTAATGATAATAAAAAATAATAAAAGGCCCCTATTTACATGACAAGTTGCAGTACCGCCCTTTGAAGGTGCAAGACATGAATGGGGCAATTATGTCAGTAGCTACCACCCACGCAGCTCTCTGCCAGGGAAGATCTGGTATTGGATCTGGACACTGATACGGACGTGGGCCATGCCATCCGGATCCTCGGTCAGATGGGCATGGCATGGCCTTCCAACGTGTCGCAAGGAGCCTGAAAGCCCGGCCGAAACCCTAAACCCTCAACCCGAAACCCTAAACCCTGAACCCTAAAACCCTAAACCCTAAATTGGGGTTACAAGGTCGCTGCTGAGCATGGGGTGGACCGTTCGACCAGAGTACTGTAGATCCTTCAACGAGCTCAATGGCCCAATGCCGGGGCCGAGGTCAGCACGAATGTTATCCCCTTATATCACCCGAAATACAAGAACTATGTATGAGATAGGACTCCGTATGATCTTCGTCGGTCCATGTGTCCTACCTAGAGAAGCGCTGCAACGCCACATGCGGGGTTCGTTTTTTGACCTCTTGGGTACAGGAGCGGGCCGAGAAGAGGGGAGAATGAGCACCCAACCTACGTTTGAAATTACGCGGGACTACTTGGTAGATGCAGCCCCGAAAGACGCGACGTGAGGCACCACCACCAGCAGACTGCGAAAGTTGCAGCCCATGAGCAGGGCACGGCGCACGCCTTTTCGGCTACCTATCTGCACTGGTCTTGCATGGCTCACGTGTTCCCGGTGCAAGTTCATCCTCTTTTTGTCCTACATGTTGAACAGTGCTCAACAGACAAAAAAGGGCAGTAGGCCGCCGCGTGAGCTTGCCACGTCCGTTCGGGACTGGCAGCTCTGGGGGTTCTGGGGGTGGGTACTTGCGTTCTTGCTTCTGTTCTTGTTTCGACATATCTAACACTAGATTTTGCATTGACAGCCTCGATTTTTCCACGCGGTCCCAAGAAGATTTTTTTTGTTCAGGAGCTGCGGTACTCTGAGATGGCCGAGCTCATCGGCGACTTCCATTCTCCGGTTTGGTTTCGCGGCCAAACCCTAAGCCCTCTAGGCTTAGAAGCCCTAAGCCCTGAACCCTAAGCCCGAAATGTTCATGCAGAAGCTTACTTTCTGGGGGGCATCCTCACATCTTGTTAGCGGAGTTTGTAGGATTTTGTAATTTTAACGCTACGCGACCCGCCTCGGCCCGGCCCAGCGCATCCGCGTGAGCATGGTGATTCCGCAGCGCCCAAGTCGCTGGACCCCAAGCAATAAGGGTTGGGTTGAGGGTTGAGGGTTGAGGGTTCCAGGCTTATGGTTTGGGGTTTGGGGTTGAGGGTTAGTTTAGGGCTCAAGGTTCACGCTTTGGGGTTGAGGGTTTTTTTGGGTTTAGGGTTCGGCTTGGAGTGATCGTAGGGTTGAGCCAGCCCTCTTAAGGTTTAAGGCGACTCTTCGGCAGGGTGGGGGGGAGGTGGGGTGGGGGGAGGAGGGTGGGGGGGGGGGTGGGGGGGGTGGGGGGGGGGGGGGGGGGGGGGGGGGGGGGGGGGGGGTGGGGGGGGGGGTGGGGGGGGGGGTGGGGGGGTGGGTGGGGGGGGGGGGGTTGGGGGCGCCCTGAATGGGGCCAAAAAGAGGGGTCCGAAAAACCACTTTGGGTGTGGGGGGAGGATTTGGAGGGGGGTGCCTGTTCTGACAACCTATACACCTCCGGCCCGAGGCCTCGGCGGATTCGGGTTTTCGAGGGCTAACAGGCGTCATGGGCGTGGGGGAGAATTGGCCCTCCGGACACAAAAATGCCGTAGAAGCCCTAAACCCTAAACCCTAACCCTAAACCCTAAACCCTAAACCCCAAAAAGACCTGCAAAGAAACCCTAAACGCCCTCCTCAGGACCTCCGTAGCAGAGAACCTCGCGGCCTCGATGCTTCACGAGCAACGCCTCCAGGCAGGGTCTTAAGTGTTTGGGTTTAGGGTTTAGGGTTTAGGGTTTAGGGTTTAGGGTTTAGGGTTTAGGGTTTAGGGTTTAGGGTTTAGGGTTTAGGGTTTAGGGTTTAGGGTTCAGGGTTCAGGGTTCAGGGTTCAGGGTTCAGGGTTCAGGGTTTAGGGTTTAGGGGGACGTTTTGTGGCAAGAGCTGCGTGAGATCAGAGGCCCTGCCAGGATAGCAGAGGTGTTTTTGGCACGGGCTGGAGTTTGTGTGCCTGCTGCCAGGCGGGCTTCCCAAACGGGCTCTACGACGTGCAGCCCAGTTCGGCACTGCTGCGTGGCGAGCGAAAGTTTCAAGGGTTTGGTTGGTGAGCACAGAACTTTGTGGTACTTTACTGTAACTTTAGATCCTTACCTTTTTTGGGTTTATTGGGTTTCTTAAGAAGCCAGCTAAAAATTTAGTTTTTAGCTACCCCTCTAAGTGCAGCCAAGAGAAGGTTCACGTGATCAGCACGTCGTTGCTAGGCGGTGCTATGCTGCTAGACTAGCATCGCAAAAACGGGAACCATCCAAGATGCTTCTGATGTAGCAGGTGTTGGCGAACGGGTTCGTGCCCCCCAAGAAGAGATGTGGTAATCTGACGGTACGCATGTAGGACCAAGCTGATGCAGGCAGCAAGTTGGGTCTTGACAGCTCGTCACTCACAGGCAGCTGGGCGATGAGGCCAACCTTTCAGACGAAGAGGCGATCGACAGGGTGGTCCGTCCCTCTGCCTCGAAGTATTTGCAACTCCATGCGTATTGGTTTTCACATTGTTCGACTCTGAACAGGGAAACGTCGACGATAAGCCTTGCCACAGTATCACCATGCTCCAGTTGCACCGCGCAGTTCCTGCAGCCTTAGGCTACGGCGTGCTGTCCGAGCGGAAGCGCAAGAAGCTTGCCCAGGAGCACATGACCGTGCAGCGTGCTGTGGCCACTGGGCTGTGATGAGTGCTTGGGCTTCTTTCTCGTGGTTGACCATCCCATGAGAACCCTGAAGTGCTCCGAAGCAGCCGGGATCTTTGCCTCGAAGTGCTCCGAAGCAGCCGGGATCTTTGCCTCTTTGGCTTCTTTTGAGCTGAGGCCAAGGTCCTGCACCTGAACTACATTGGAGGCCTGGACGGAACCCGGCTTACCAGCGAAAGAGGTTCCCACCTTCCGGTCTAGCTGCACCGAAAGAGAGCTCTCGGCGGTGCGTGCGCACGCACGACCATCGCAACCTCAGGGAAGTACGGAATCATGAGAACCATGAACACAAGCATACTAAGCTGCGCTCGTCTGAGTCTCCGGTAGCCACTTTTCCTTCGCCAGGCCATGGTGGCTCCTTCGCCGAGAGCAAGCACCATGAAGGGCACCATGAAAGGCACCATGAAAGGCACCATCATCGCCACCACCAAGGCAGCGCTTGCCTATGCTGGCATGAGATATTGCCTACATTATCCTACATTGCTGCTCTTGCTGAGTATGAATATGGTTCCTTGAGCATCTTGACATATGGGTGAGTTTGTGTACGGGGTGCCATTTTGGGCATGCGAGCAATAATCTTCCTACTTTGCAGGGTTATGTGAGATAGGAAACGCATGGACGAGTGTGGAAGAGCGTTGAGGCAGCAGAGCCGGTACACTTTGTGGCGTCGCGCGCTTTTCGCTGCAGTTCAGGTGCTACTTGGGGTGGCACGGGGACGGCAGATGAAGTACCGAGAAACAAAACGGAATGCCTGGCCCAGGCACGGGCTTTGGGGATGGATTTCAGGCGTAAGTCTTAGTTAATTTGGGGGGTTCTTCCAAACTAGGGTCTGCTCATAAGAGGCAACTACTACAGAAGCCTTGGGAGAGAATCAATTCAAAGGGACCCTAATTTAGAGCACCCCATGTTCGAGTCAGAAGGATTTGGCATGGTGTGGTATTCGGGTACTGTCCGCGCTTATCCATAAGCAAGGGTCCAGTCAAACGGGGCTTTCCGGCGCTCTGGCTTGTCTACTCAGCCCAGCTTTTTTCTTTGCGAGAACCTGCCCCCGAATCTTACTCCACGAGCCTAAACCGAGCTAGGTGGGTACGGGCCTGGACCGTGATGAATTGAAAGCAGTCTTGGCGCCCCATGGCAGCGAAACTGGGGTCAATGGGCTTTGTTGTAGTACTGCTTTTCAGTGAGAAGTTGAACAGTCAAGAAGAGCCACCACTAAGTTTTCATGGTGCTCGGAAATCGCCGGAGTTTGGAATGCTTTTTGCCTTGAAACTTAACAGACTTCCACCCGCCCAGTCCGAGGAAGAAGGAGACGACAGACAGCATAGCTCTGGACGTCGTGGGCAAGATCGAGAAGACGTTGACGCACGCATGCAAATCAAAAGTGAGGATCGTGAGGTTGCATGCCTTTGAAGGGCCGGTGAAGGCAGCGACGCCTGTCCATCCGAGGCATGAGACCCTCACCGAAGGAGCTCCCAAGCTGGACAGAGTCACGTGGGGGTTTAGGGTTTAGGGTTTAGGGTATAGGGTTTAGGGTTTAGGGTTCCGTCAGTTTCATCAGACAGGGCATGATGATGGTGGAATTGAGCCTCCGTGCAAGCAGCCAAGTTGACCAACGCATCACAAGCCCTGTACAACTTCGTGACCCAACGGCTGGTCTGGACGATCGCAGTGTGTCTTCGTCGCAAATCCGCAGCCCGAAGCTACACCCGAAACAGGTGTTCTTGAGCCATCGTAGGGCTCGTGCTCGGAAGGCATGTGGAGGGTTCTTCTTTGAGGAGACTCCGGCCCAAAAATGACACCTCCCATCTTGAGAATCCACACAAAGAAAGCTCTAAACCCTAAGCCCTAAGCCCTAAGCCCGAAGCCCTAAACCCTAAACCCTAAACCCTAAACCCTAAACCCTAAACCCTAAACCCTAAACCCTAAACCCTAAACCCTAAACCCTAAACCCTAAACCCTAAACCCTAAACCCTAAACCCAAGCTGCAGGAAGGCCTTCCCAATCCCTTGGGCCTGGCCCACCATCCTTTTCGGCTGCGGCCCGCTGTACCAGTGCACCAAGGAGGGCTTGGGAGCTTAGGGCTTAGGGCTTAGGGTTTAGGGCTTAGGGTTTAGGGTTTAGGGTTTAGGGTTTAGGGTTGGGATACCGAAATTTTTGGGTTTAGGGTTTCGGGTTCAGGGTTGAGGGTTTAGGGATGTGGAACTACACTAGACCTTTGATGTGTGCCGAACTCCAGAAATGGACAGGCACCAGGAGAGCTCTCACATGCTCTGACCAGGCGTAAAAGCAAAGTACCCTGATTCCTGGAAGCCCTAAACCCGAAACCCAAAACCCTAAAACCTAAATTCCGATTGAGAGGAGCTTCTGGTCATTGTAGAGCCCCTGCGACAGCTGATATGGAAAACCGTCGCTGCTATGGCGACTGCGCTGCAGAGTAGTGGCGTTGCTGTTAGGGTTAGGGGCTTGTAGCAGTAGAGCCTTGCATTGTATATCTCCGCAGTAGCATAGCGAGGTTCAACAAGCTTATTGTGGGTGCTATCGTCCATTGAACCCATAAGGGTTCATGTCAAGTGGGACTCTGATTCGGAGACCCTGAACCCTGAACCCTGAACCCTAAACCCAAACCCTAAACCCCCAGTTTCCCCCCAACAAATCTCCTCGACGCTCGAAGGCGGCGCTGGTGAATTGGATGCTCGACACATTCAAGAGCTACTTCGGAGGCGAGACAAAGCAAGTGGCTACTCCAGTGGCCTGGCTACCTATATCCCCCTTGGGAATTATTTTAAATTATTTCGTTTTTTGTTGATTTAAAAGCCCAAGAGGATATCAACACTTGTGTTTTTATTAAGGTTCTAAGGGGAGTATGGCTGCCTCGGCAAGGGGTGAGATCTGCCTTCAAGGGTATTTGTGTGCATCGCGCTCTTCTGTCAGTGCTTCCTGCAAAAACCACAACCCCCCCCCCCCCCCCCCCCCCCCCCTAAACCCTAAACCCCTAAACCCTAAACCCCTCACCCCTAACCCTAAACCCTAAACCCTAAACCCTAAACCCTAAACCCTAAACCCTAAACCCTAAACCCTAAATTTGAGACTTTCCGCCCTAGGATGCTCATCCAGCTCCCATGGTCCCTTGAAGTCGCACGGGTTGTGGGGCCTCTGGGGGTGTGAGGAGGGGAGAAGGGAGGTTTCACCTCCGAAGCCCATCCAACACGCTGCCAGGGTCGGCGGACCCTAAGCCCTAAGCCCTAAGCCCTAAGCCCTAAGCCCTAAGCCCTAAACCCTAAACCCTAAACCCTAAACCCTAAACCCTAAACCCTAAACCCTAAACCCTAAACCCTAAACCCTAACCCTAATTAAACCCTAAACCCTAAACCCAACCCTAAACCCTAAACCCAAAACCCCTGAAGTTAGGACGCGGAGCTGCAGCCCAACCTGCACCATCTCTTCAGCGACGCGGAGATTCTGGGAATGGACTGCATCAAGCCGCTTGTTCATATGATGTAGGGTGTATATACATATATGTATACACACTATTATTATTCTTCTGCTTCTTCTTCTTATTACTATTATTATTATTGTTAGTATTATTATTCTTATTCTTATTATTATTATATATACATATACATATATATATATATGTTTCTTGTATCCCCAAAAGGACACCCGGTATATACACTCACCAATATGGAACAAGTTTTTGGGTACCCTAAATAGGAGGGGCAGCCTCTTGATAGGGACCCCAAAAGGGGCCATCATTTCGAGAAGTCACCATATGGGGGTTTTTGAAATTCGGGGATACCCAAATCGAAATTAGGGGTACCTGAAAGGGGTGCTTATTCAAAGGGAATCCGACTATTTGGGGGACTATGTTCGGGGTCCCTTATTTGCGTAACCCCCCTATCTGCCTTGCTAGTTGCAGTGTAAATCGGACGAAACATTGGGCACGCATGGTTTTCGGTGCCTGTGGCTGCACAGAGTTGTGTAGACCTCGGACATTCTTCGGAGCAACCAATGTAGATGTTGCTGCCCTAAACCCTAAACCCTAAATCCTAAACCCTAAACCCTAAACCCTAAACCCGAAACCCTAAACCCTAAACCCTAAACCCGAAACCCGAAACCCGAAACCCTAAACCCTAAACCCTGAACCCTGAACCCTAAACCCTAAGCCCTAAACCCGAAAACCCTAGAAATGCGGGCTTCGACCTGCTCAGGTGCTCTGCGAGGCTGTCCGGTGGGATAACTGTCGATGCCATTCCTCCGTTGGCCCTGTCCATTCTGACCCTCAAGCTGGAATTGTTGTCAGCAGGGATTCGGGTTGAGGGTTTAGGGTTTTAGCACCTTTTTGTGGACCATACGCTGATGTAGTGAGATGTGCAGTCCCTGCGTTTGTAAGCCAGTCCCAGCTTGAAGGACCAACTCAGCCACGATCGAAGAGCTTGTTGGCCGTCAGAACAACGCCATTAAGCAGTGCTACGGCACGTGTTTGAAGAAGCAGATGCAGGTGTTGAATCGCATTGTGACGGGAGGAGGTGGGATTTGGCTAGTGTGGAGAGATGAAAATGGAAGTCCGGATAGGTCGTTGCTGTGTAGGCCAGGCGTAGTCCAGCTCTTGAGTGCCCGCCCCGTGTCGCTGCAAGAAGCGACAGTGCGAGCCCCTAAACCTAACCCTAAACCCGAAGGTACTGCCTATGCAAGGACCATGGAAGTTTCAGGGTTAGGAGCTTCAATGTCGGTGCTCTTACCTCGCCCCAATGAGCCATACCCTGACAGGCAACGCGGACACGGACCAGTACTTCCGCCGTGGCAACTGCAACCAGCACGCCGTGGGCCTATGCCTGATGCTGGAGAAGACCCGGAGCCTCAGTCATAGTTGGGTAACATTGTTAACATTTTTACATCTTTAGGGGTACTAAAAGCCAAGAAGGAATGAACAAATTAGATATTTTTCAATATTATCCCAACCATGAACTAGGAACTGCAAGACGAAGATCACGCCGGAGGGGAAGTTGATACGTACTAACATCGAGCCTGGGGATGCCCAGCGCAATATCTGCGATGCCTTGAAGGGCGTCCACCTGCATCTCAAGCGAGATGAGACGAGGGGCATCGTGTGCCCAGAGAACAAACACCATGGCAGCAGAATGGACCTGGGTCACGCCTGCCATAGAGTCAAGGATGAGATCATGCTCCACAACGAGATGTGTGAAGCGCGAAACGACGAGGGATTGTACGGCTGGGCGGCGACGGTAGGTGGGGTGGGGACCCTAAACCCTAAGCCCTAAACCCTAAACCCTAAACCCTAAACCCTAAACCCTAAACCCTAAACCCTTAACCCTTAACCCTTAACCCTTAACCCTTAAACCCGAAACCCGAAACCCTAAACCCTAAACCCTAAACCCTAAACCTCCCCAGTTTGACCGGCTTCTCTGTCGCCCTGAATTTTCAAGGCAAAGTCTTGAAGACCACATTTTAGGATGCTCCCCCCTTGTACTAGCAGTCATAGGGATGATCTCGTGCCCCCGATTGTATACCCTATGAAGGACGGTTAGTACAAGGGGGAGCACCCCAACCCACAGGCTCAAACGCCTGGACCGGATACCAGTACAAGGACGATGAGGCTTTCCATTCCTGGGAGGGCCCGAAGTGTCCTGGCAGCTCCAGCCTTGTAGGGTTTAGGGTTTAGGGTTTAGGGTGTGCGATTCTGGCACGTCGAAAAGGCAGCCCAACACCCACACAGCTCCAACGTCCCAACCCCCCCAAAATGCCTCAGGACCAAGTGCCTCGAACTCTTCGGCTGCACCGCCTTAATGACCAGGCCACCGGAGCCGGACGTCCACCAAGGCTCGGGCTTTGAACATCTTGAGCCTAAACCCTAAACCCTAAACCCTAAACCCTAAACCCTAAACCCTAAACCCTAAACCCTAAACCCTAAACGTGTGAGTTTCTTACGATTTTTGGGCTTTGCACCTCTTAAACACGAGTGGATACAGTTCTTTTTTTGGTTTGGTATTCGGGCAAGCATCTCTCGCAGCTTCGTTGCTTCAGCTAGGGTTTAGGGCTTTAGGGTTTAGGGTTTAGGATTAAGGAGGGTTTAGGGTTTAGGGTTTAGGGTTTCGGGTTTCGGGTTTGGTTTAGGGTTTAGGGCAACCCGAAAGTTGCAGCCTTTTGCAGGCCTGGAGGCCTTCAAGAATGTCCTCAGGGAGATCTTGGACAATGCGCCGCAGCATGGCAGGAACTTCGTGGGTTTAGGGTTTAGGGTCGGTTTCGGGTCTAGGGTTTAGGGTTCCTATGAGGGCCGCTGAACCCTAAACCCTAAACCCTGAACCCCACACCCTAAATTTTAGGCCCGAAACTCGAAACCCGAAACCCGAAACTAAACCCTAAACCCTAAGCCCTAAACCCTAAACCCTAAACCCTAAACCCTAAACCCAAGGAGGGACTTCGAAAGGGACCAGATCATGAAGACCGTGGACGAGTGGAGGTCAAAGTCCATGTCGGGAGCGCTGCTCGGCATTTCTCTCGAGCTTGTGGGCAGAAAAGGAGCGCGTTTAGGGTTTAGGGTTTAGGGTTTAGGGTGTAGGGTGTAGGGTTTAGGGGTTTAGGGTTTAGGGTTTGGGGTTTGGGGTTTAGGGTTTTGATAGCCTTTGCTTAAGAACCCCCCCCCCAAAAAAACATGAAGATAATAACACCTATATCACCCGTGCAAGGAAGAGCATTTTTTGAGGGTTCTTAAGCATATAAGCAAATAGCAGTCATATGATGGTCTACTAAAGAACAATACAAAACCTCATGTATGACAATATAATACAATTCTTGAAATACAGTATAGAACAACGCAGGAATTAGGATATAGCATTTAGGGTTTAGGGTTGAGTCAGCCATGCGCAGACGTTCTGAAACGCCGGAGCCCTTTCGGCGTTTCGGCGTTTTCAGGGTTACGTTTCGCTCTCCACGGCCCCGCCGAGGAATGCTTTCGAGATCGTGGCGCAGGAGTGGGTGGCTCACGAGGCTGAGGAAGAGCGCATGGCCTGGGTGCGCGAGGAGGAGAACCTGCGAAACATCTTCGCGCGACTTTCGCCGCAGACAGAGCCTGACATGGGCTAAGACACCAAAATTGACCCGAATGCTTGTCGTTGCAGTAGAGTTTCAGGTCTCTTTTTTAAGCTGTTGCAAGGCAAGACGTTTGGAAGGATCAATGCTTCGCGTTCGGCCACCCCATGACCACCCAGTTCGAAGGCTACACGGCCCGATGCGGCAAGGGACTTTGGGATGCCGTTGTCTCTGTCTCTGTGGTGGTTGTGAATTTCGCCACGCATGAAACATAGACCCCCTAAACCCTAAAGCCTAAAGCCTAAACCCTAAACCCTAGACCCTGGACCCTAGACCCTAAGATTAAAAAAAAACAACAGGCCTCTTCCAGAAGTATCAGAAGCCGGGTGTGGACTTCTTCGAAGCCATGGCGGAGAAAATGAAAGTCACGGAGCCTGGGCTCGTGGAGGGTTTAGGGTTTAGGGCTTAGGGTTTAGGGTTAGGGTTTGGGGTGTGGGGTTTGGGGTTTAGGGTTTAGGGTTTGGGGTTTAGGGTTTAGGGTTTAGGGGTTTCATCTGCAAACATGAGGGTACCCTTTCTAGTAAACAAATTTTAATGAATAGTTGTGTGGATGGTTTGATATGACGTGAAAAAAGATTTTAATGCAATTAACTGTTGCCCTTTTCCAATATCATTCGCAGACGAAACTTGAAGCACACACACACACACTTTCACATTACAGTTGTGGTGAATACAGCGCTTGCTTTGCGTTATCTCGTGTCTCTTTCATTTCGCAACTGTTTTCTGTGATAGACATACTCATGTACGCAAGCAGCGATTCCATTAACATCACTATTCTTGTTGCTATTTTGTGATGGGTTATTACTCGGTTTTCTTGTTTGCGCTCTTTCAAATACATTATATAGGGCTACACTCGGGTTTAGAGTTTAGGGTCAGCCCCGAAGCTGTCGTCCACTGGCTTTCACGTCGGGGCTTATGAGGTTCATAACTTTTTGCGGCTGTTTAAACCATGATGCCCTGAGCACATGAAAAGCTGTGGGTGCGTATGGACATGGGGGCGGAGCCCATGTAGGTTTGATGTGACCGGTCTCTTTCGTTATGGAGTATGAGCTGACTCATCCCCACTGTGCTATGACTTCAAAGGTTTCAGTACGCCCTCAGCCCTGCCTAGGGCTCTTTGAGGTGGAGGGAGGGGGTGGATGCATACAGCGAGCCACAGGCTGCTCCTATGACTTTACCCACCTCCGCACAGACTCCAAGCCTCTGAACACTCAAGCCCCAAAACCTATGCCCTAACTCTAAGCCCAACAAGAGCCCTAGACCCTAAACCCTAAACCCTAAACCCCAAACCCCAAACCCTAAACCCAGTGCTCCGAGGACTGGGGAGGATCGAGCTGCCCTTTCCCGTTCGAGGCGTAATGGTGCCTTGGCTTTATTTGGGTCTGGGAAGATTTGATTCTAGCTCTACACAAGTCCCCTTAGAACGGTAGCGTTTTTGCGGTTGATGTAGCGGACAACAGGCACCTTTTCGGCTGCCATAATTCGGCAGGGCAAGCTGTCGTCTGCCCGGCTCTCAAGCGGGGGCTGCGCTTCCCCTCCCTCCCCCCCCCCCGGCCCTGGTGGTTGAACTCCCCAATCCTGAATTTTGCAGTCAAGCTACCTGATTCCACAGGAACCAGCAGGAACATAGGGTGAGGCAAGAATGGCTCGAGGTTTTGCGCTACTGGGTAAGTGGATCGCATGGAACCTGAAAGCCCTCTTTGCATGGCGGAAAACTCGCTTTGTCTGTGATGATTTGTCAGCTGCCGGCTCCCCAGGCTGAACAGGGAGTATCAGATGCTCCCTGTCGTTCAGGCCAATATCCGAGCATATCTGCTATGGCAGTCATCACGACAAAATCACACACTCGCCCACCCGCAGTAAAAACGCGAGCTGCAGCTTCAAATAAACAAAGCAATGTCCGCCCATCTGGCCGGGGGGAAGGTTGGAGGAGGAAGTGCGGGGCAAGATTTTTCCACATCGTGCCCGTCCTTGTCAGCTTCCTTGTTGGAGGAGGAGTGCGCGGCATGAGAGACTGGAGATCTGAGGCACCTGACTCGGTTCTCTTTGGCTCTACTCTGCGCGCGTTAAGCGCATCAAGCACACAGCTACAGGGGGGGGGGGGGGCCGGAAAAAGGGGGGTTTTGAGGGTTCAGAGTTCAGATGGATGTTAGGACTTGGAGATGGTCTTCGCGTGGTGTGGGATGGGTCTTTGGGCCTCTTGCCGGAGCTGTCCTCAGAATTTCGCTGCTCGGAAAACAGCTGAGGCTAGCAGATCCGCTGATTGCGCGCGCACGCGCGCGGACTGCGACAAAAAGAGCACGCCTGTCTTGGTGCCAGCATCGACATCATTCTTTGGCCAACTCTGGATCCACACTAGTCGTTGCACCACCAGCCTGCACACTTAGTTTCGGCACAGGACTCCGTTCTGCAGTTGCTGTGGCCCGTTCACGAGCCACTTCTGAAGAAAGAGGCGGGGCAGACCCATGCCCCATGAGCCGCACGTTGATTGGATGCTGTTGTAGCTACGCAGTTCGAAGGCCAAAAGCACGGGGCTTGAACCACCGAAACCTCGTCGAAGAGGTGGACAGCTAAGGGGGCCTTCTGTTGGCCGTAAGAATTGGCAAGCAGTTCGCCTACATCAGCAAACGCCCTAAGCACCAAACTCCCCACACCCCCAAACCGCCAAAACCTAAACCTCCCCGGAACCCGAACCCCCGAACCTTCCCTAAACCCTAAACCCTAAACCCTAAAGCCTAAACCCTAAACCCTCAACCCTAAACCTGAAATCCAAATGCCATTCCTCTCACTTTCGGAGGCGCGGGCTACTCTGGCTTCGGCTCCCCAGACGCCCTTCAGGGACCTGCGCGACTCGTCGCAAAAAGCACCCAGAAAGCTCAAGTAAAAACCCCATGATGCCAAGGAATATGCCGAAAATATTTTAAGGAGAAAAGGTTTAGATGCCAATACAGCATAAGACCCCGAGAAAGTCTCATGTGAGGGCTGCCTTGATTCGTCTTGATTCTTTTAGGGACGTAGCGGGCTATCCAGGGCCAAGCTTGGGGATAGCAGGGCATGGCACAAGGTGTGTCAACCCTAAACCCCAACTCTCCAAACCCTAAAAATCCTACGCCAACCGTGAGCCAGACATAAACCCCCAAAGGGTTGAGGACATAAACCCCAAAGGGTTGAGAATAAAAAAGAAGGTTTGAGGACATAAACCCAAAGGGTTGAGGCCGAAAACAACCGAGGAAGTAAACAGCAAAAGGGTTGCAAAATGGTTCATCGACGTTTCGGTGGCTCACCCGAGGTGGCCTACCCAAGCCGCTGGTCCGAGCCTCACTTTTTGGAGGGTTTACAGGGTGCAGGGCTTGGGGTTTAGGGTTTAGGCCCCGGTCAGCCCCATGCAGCAGGTGGTCAATGCGCCGGTGGTCCTGGTCTACGACCTCTACCCGCTGGACCCCGCGGCGGAGTTTGGCGGGTGGGGGCCTCGGCACCCCTCGCGCTTACCCGCATGTCCTCACGGCATGTTCGGGGGGTGGTCGGCAATAGGTTCACCCCCTTGTAGGCCTTTTCGGGTTTAGGGTTTAGGGTTTAGGGTTTAGGGCGGGAAATCATGACGGCGTGGCCTTCGAAGGCGGAAGCCCCTCCCGAAAAGCGGGGTGCTACGGGAGGCTCTCGAGGAGGCGCGGCTTGGTTTAGGGTTTAGGGTTTAGTGGGAGTTTACGAAGATAAGGGACCCCTCAAATAGACCCCCAAATAGTAGGATCCCCTTATAATAAGGACCCCAATAAGGTAACCCTAGTATCGGAAACATCTTAACCCCCTCCACCCTACCCCCGTACTAAATATTCCCCACTATCATATAGCTATCAGGGGACTACTTAAGATTAGGGGGTAGGCGGGGGTGGTTTATAAATGTTTGGGGATCCTCAACCGCAAACCCAAAACCCCAAAGTGTCGTCGGAGGCTTGGCCGACCCAGTAGCTCAGGAAGGATGATATTCTTGCTGGTTCATTGGCATTGGCGGGGAATAGAGTCCCTATACAATCCCTAATTAAAGTACATGTATATATATATATATTCTCCATACGGATATATATATATATATATATGTATATGTATGTCTAGATAGGGGATATAAGGTGCCTGAATCCCTGATACCCCCTAAGAACCAGCAAGTTTTCTGGCTGCACACTCCTGGGAGGCTCTCCTGGGAGGAGGTGAGTCACGCTGGCCTGTCTTTGCGTCTGCCAGGGCACTCTGCTGCAAAGCAAACGGCACGATGCGCTTGAGTGTAGTCCTATTCCTTGTACATGCATTTTCCTATATATGTATAAACAATCAATATACAAATAGATAAATATACATATATATATATATATATATATATATATTATATGATCTGCGGATGCATGTGTGTTGAATTTCTAATTAGCTCAGAACACCCCTCACCCCCCCCCCCCCCCCCCCCCCCCGGGCCCCTTCCCAGTCATCCCACAGTTTTGTTCAAATACCAAGTTCACGGCTGAGTAGCGAAGTCCTCGGTGGCAAAGAGATGTGCAAGAGTCTGGGCATGTATCAGAAAGAGCGCCCATTCCTCCCCCCACCGACTTGTTTGGGGAGTCTCTCGTTCGGCGACATTCCAGGGCACTGTATCACCATGTGTTGCAAGCTTGATTAGATGAGCTCTTAAGTTTCTTGATGTTAGGCGCATGGCTGGGTCCAAGTTCGACGGCGACAAGCCAGATAGCCTCATGGCCCGAATTTTTGGGAGAGGAAGTGGAATTGGGTTCTCGGCCCACTTCGTGTGTCTGGGCTGCGGTTCTTCCTGCTTTTCCTTGCAGGCCATAGCCTAAACCCGTGTAGATAGGCTCGGTGAATGTTACCAAGTCGCTTTTGTATCTACAGCGACTCTGCAGTAGCCTCTTCGAGAGCTTTCGCAACTAGTGCCCCTGATCCGTCGCAAGGACCTCTGCGACATAGGTGGGGGTTCTAAACGTTGGGCTCCAGATTTTGCCGACTGCTTAGATGGTTCGCGAACAACCTCCTCAGGTGAGTTCGAGCTCCCGAAGAACGTGAAACTCGGAGCCGCATCCTCAGAGCCAGGTCCCAGAGGGGACCCATTTTCTAGCATGTAATGTAAATGTATATGAGACACTGTACCAGTAATTGCAATGTAGTGCGAAAGATTTACACTGACAGCAGCAGCAACAGCAGCAGCAACAGCAGCAGCAACAGCAGCAGCAACAGCAGCAGCAACAACAGCAGCACCAGCAGCAACAACAATACGAACACCAAAATCCCCGATAACGCCGAGAACATTCAGAACATCGACAACACCAATAGCACCAGCAACAGCAGAAGAAAGAGAATATGTTTTCAAGAAGAATAAGAATAAGGAGAAGAAGGAGAAGAAGAAGAAAAAGAAGAAGAAGAAGAAGAAGCAGAAGAAGAATACGAAGAAGAACAATACAGAAGAAGAAGCAGAAGAGGAAGGACAACGCCAACAGCAGTAGTAGTTTTGAGGCTTTGTTTTACTGCCTGGACCCTTTCCCAGATCCTCCGCCCACCCTGGACCCCGGCCAACCGTGCTGATGCTGCTGATGCACGCCTAAACCCTAAGCCCTTGTGACCAAACCCTCTGTAAGCATCATCGAGCCAGGCGCCAAGGTCGGCGGTGACTGTGTGACGTATCTTCTACATACACAATGTGGGCCCTTCTAGAAAGGGTCCCCAAGATGGTACCCATAATTTCAGACAACCCCATGTTTTGCTGCATGTCGACCGGTGGGCCCCGGCCCCCGAAAGCCCAAAGGTGTGCCGGGGAGCGCTAGTTGGGGAAACACAGGATCCTCTGGGATCCTCTGACGCAAAAGATGTTTTACAAGGATCACGAAAGCTAGTGGAGCCTGGGCTTGAGGTCTTTAATTGCTTGCTTCATTTAGCGAGGAACCACGGCCGTCGAAGCGAAAAATGAATAGCTGAGAGCGGGGACAATTCGGGGGGGTTCTGTATTGAATGGCTCAAGGATTTTTTGGTTCTAAAACGACCATGCAGCAAGCCGTCTGCTATACGATTTCCATTTATAATGTGTAAACATCGATTTCAACCAGTGCAGATCGCATTTTTTTGCGGAAAACTTGCTGCCTTCTTGTCGGCTTGGCGTGACACCGCGTGTAACCGTGCCATAGCAGACGGCAGACACCCGGCTCCTGGGGAGGTTGTCGAAATTCGATGATCCCCCCTTCGGGGGGTTCCTGTAGATTGCCCCAGGCTGGTCCAGTACAGCATACTACGAAATTGCGGGTTCTACTTTGTAGATTCTTCCAGGGTCTTGGCCCCGCGGCCACAGCTTTGCTTTGCTAGCCAGGCCAAAGCGCTCCAGTTGCTGCCGGTACCAGAGACACAGATCACAACGAAAGCTCCCTCCGTCCCACCAAAAGACAAGAGAGGGGGGGGGGGAGAGAGAGAGAGAGAGAGAGAGAGACAGAGAGAGAGAGAGAGAGAGGGATACTACCACCCCTGTTCTACGCGACTTCCTCGTGGGGGTTGTGTCCCAGCCCTACGGTGGCCACGGTCCACTAGGGCAACCGCTGCTGCCCGCTTCGTCGGGGAGGCTGAGACCCGCTACCTGAACAAGGAGGGGGCGCGCCTGTTCTACATCGTCACGCAGTACGTCTACATCACCCATGGCGACCTCGGGGGTCACGTCAGCACCCGCAGTGGGGAGCCCCGCCACGGGGCACAAGAGGAAAGGACCAACCGTCGACCTCGAGGACGCGCTGACGGGGGGGACCCCCACAGAGGAGATTGCCTCACAGGAAGCGGGGGGGCAGCTGCCGCTGCAGCTTGGAGATGTTCAGCAGGCCCTTAGAACAGAGGTGCAAAGCTTCCTGGGGGAGATCAAGACCGCCATGAGCCAGATGGAAGGGCGCATCGCCGACAAGCTCAACGACAAGCTGGAGGGAGTGCACGAGCAGCTGGGGGAGCTCAAGGAATCCTATACGGAAGTGAGAGATGGACTCCGGGGGACCAACCTGCAACTTGGCAACCTGGAAGACCGCATCGCCGCACTGGAGAAGCAGGGGGGCAGCTCCACCACCGGGGGTCCCAGCAGCATGGGCGGGGCGGCCGGACGACGCCGCGCCATCGTCATCGGCGGCTTCCACCGCGACACCCCCAAGGACGAGCTCATCGAGGGGATTAACAAGCTCGTGCGCCAGCTGGACCTGGACCTCAACACGACCAACATGTTCGCGACGGGGATCAGAAGAGGCTCTGCAATAGTGCCCTTGGAGCCCAAGCCGGACGAGGGGGACAGGGAGATGACCGCCCGCTATGCCGGGGTCCTTCGCAAGATCCGGGATGCCAATGTGAACCTGGGACAGCGCGATGATGGAGGAGTACGTCGACTTTGGGGAGCTTTCTCGCAAACCCTGCAGCAACGACAGCGGAGCACCTTTGCGGGCAAAGTGAAGCGCTTGATCCTTTCCCAGTCACCGGGGACAGGGGTGGAGTGTGAGTGGTCGTCGGGGACTGTTTGGGCATCAGGCCGGCGAGTTGCTTCCGCAACCACGACCCCTCCCTTCATGGGGACCGTCCACAACACGAAGGCTGGCTGGATCGACCTGCAAGCGCTGGCGAGGATCCTGGGGAAGGATGAGAAAGACCTGGGCGCGGCCTGGGAGCCCCTGGAGGGGCAGCTTCGCTGAGAAGACCATCAGTTTCACCTCCGGACCTGGAATGTGGGGGGCCTCTCGTTAGACGCTCAAGGCGACTACCTGGAGGAGTTCCTCGCAGCCATGGACGAGAGCCTACTGGAATTCGCGATGTTGCAAGAAGTGCCACAGCTTGGGGGGCCTCGGCCCCCCCCATTTCTACAGCCTGCAGCCAAACGAGCTCGCGCTGTCGACAAACCCACCAAGAAAGAGATCCCTGACTTGCCCACGCCACACATCTTCGCCAAGCAGTACGACACACATACACTCGTACAAGCCTGGCATGACTGCGAGTGGAGGTCCACGGCCGTTGTCATGAAGAATGTCACGGAAACAGGGAGGAGGAACAAGCTTATCAGCTATGGGGGGACCGTTAGCATGACATGGGCGAAATGGAAACATGGAGACTTGGGAGAACTGGGTGTGGTTTCGGTCCATCTCCCACACTGGACGGACCAACGCCAGGCAGACAAGCTCATCTCTCTCTGGGATGAATCTATGACCCGGGGCAATTTGCACCAGCTTCACCGACTCGTACTTGGAGGAGATCTTAATGAGACCCTGACCATGGGCGAGGGGCCCACCTTCTACAGCCACACAGCCAGGGGGGAACTGCTTTGCACGTGGCTAGCAAAGTGGAACCTCTATCCGCTGGAAGATGACTGGAACGTTCCGACACATTTCCCCTACAGTGACATGGCGCCTCGCCGGCTGGACTACATCTTCGGAGCATGGCGGGGAGAATGGCAAGGGGGGCCCGTCAGTGAAAGCCGCCACAGAGTACGCTCAGACCATGACGCCGTGGAGGTGACCGTCACGTACAGGGCCAGAACCACGACATCGACACCCACCACGGCGCGACAGAGGACACGCATTCACCAGAAAGACGCGGACGACATCCTCGACCAGCACCCCCCGCCGCAGCCGGAACAGGGCGCGCTGGTGAAAGCGGTAGCGGAAATCGCCACGCTGATCACGCAGCCCGTGACTAAGTTCCCGGGCTTCACCGAAAGCGACCACCTCAAGAAGTTGCGCGCAGCGGCCAAGAGGCAGAGAGGAGATGGAGCCCGGACGCTGTGGAAGGAGGCCAAACTGCGGCATGTCATGAACAGAAAGGACGCAGCAGCACACGCAGACACACCCGCAGCGGCCCAAGTCGAGCAGAACGAGGGACCCCGCACAGAGAAGGAGAGGCAGGACAGAGGAGAGCCCGCCCAAGAACAGACAAGAACACAGCAGGTCGAGGACGCGCACGCGCAGCAGCAGTCGCCGGCAGAAGCAGTGGAGGCAGCGGAAGAAGCAGAGCAACAGCCCGAGCAAGAGGAGGAGGACCCCGACGACATCATCGACAACTTCCTGGACCACATCGACCTGATGCAGAGGGACCATCGACCGCCGCAGCAGCAGCAAGGGGCAACCGAAGACCAGGAGATGGACCAACTCCGAGAGGACGAACAAGAGGAGACCCGAAGAAGAGAGATGCTGGAGGAGGAGATTCGCAGATGGGAGCTCGAAGAAGAGGAGGAGCAGAGGCTAGCAGAGATACAGTACGACGAGTACCTGGAGGGGAGACACGAGGAGACCGCCGAGCAGGCGAGGACCCAACACGCTGCCGACCTCCTCCCAAACGGAACAATACCAACGGACGAGGACCCTGACAGCGAGCCGGGGCGAGGGTGCCACCCGGCAGACGTCATTGCCCACCACGCAGGGGACCCAGAAGAAAGGCCGCAGGGAGGAGACCTCTACGACTTCGTCCACCTCGCCCTGACCAGATGGAGGCGACTTTCGGACACCGCGTCAACCGCGGTGGCCCTGGATACAGATGGCATCCGAGAACTAGCAAATACGATCCACGCCTGGCGGGGACCCCACCTGGTGGACAACGACTCCAACACGACTGAAGCAGCCACCTCACACGAGCACCTCCTCAACCTGGTGGGCCAGATCCTGTCGCGCAAGACCGAGCACGAGGACCAGGTGACGGTGCTAACCCAGGACACGCTCGAGACGCTGGAAACAATCTTGGAGGCCTACCACCAGAAAAGAAAATGGGGGACCACCTTCCGCAAGCAGAACAACGCGAGGAGCACCAGGAGGACTGGCCCTCCTCGTGACAAAGCCAACCGAGCAAGCGCCTCTACGGACCCCTACCACCACGAGCACCTCGACTACAAGACCTGGACGACGAGAACGCGAACCATCTACCCAGAAGGGACCGCGACCGAACCACCGACGCGGACACCTGCCGTGGACAAGGGGCCCAACGTCGTCACGGTCGTCAGTGCTATAGTGGAGAACGAGCCAGAGGAAGAAGAAGAAGGAGACCCTCGACTGCGCGACCAAGAAGCCAGCGAAGAACGAGAAAGGAGCGAAGCAGAAAGTAGTGGGTCGAGCCGACCAACGGACCGATGGGAAGCCACACCTTCGCCAACAAGAACAGCGGGGACGAGAAGCTGGTCGATTTGGGGACCACCACCACAGAGCCGACAGCCACTGCAGCCTGTGCAAGAACAAGAACGAGAAGATGGAGAAGAAGACGAGGAACAAGAAGCACATGAGAGTGCAGGACAGCAGAGCGCAGAGAGAAGGAGGCCAAACCACACCGAGAACGAGCAGCACCACGTCGAGCCTCCCCACAGCACGAAAGCGGACGCCGGGGAGGAGGAGTACGACCAGCACCACGACGAGCCCGCCGACAGCCCGACCGACGAGCCCGAGGAGGAGTACGACCAGCGCCACGACGAGCCCGCCGACAGCCCGACCGACGAGCCCGAGGAGGACCTGGAGAGCAGCCGCAGAGAAACAAGAAAGCAGAGGAGCACCCGGCACAAGCCGGAGACCACGACGACCCCCGACGACAGAGAGGAGGAGAAAGTGGCAGGGGAAAAACCAAGAAGGGGGCCACACTACAACGACCACGAGCAGCACCACGACGAGCTCACCGACAGCACGAAAGCCGACGCCGAGAAGGAGCACGACCACGAGAAGCTTGCCTACGACCAGACCGACGGGGACCAGCACGGACCGGGGACAGCGACGAACCGAGACAACAGAGAAGGGGGCAACACGGACCAGGAGGAGCGACTGGGTGCAACGAGAAGGGGACCACACTACAGCGAGCACGAGCAGCACCACGACGCACTCGCCGACAGCACGGAAGCCGACGTCGAGGAGGAGCACGACCACGAGGAGCTCGCCCACGACCAGACCGACGGGGACCAGCACGAACCGGAGACAGCGACGAACCTCGACGACACGGTCGGGGGCAACGCAGACCAGGAGGAGCCGCAGCGACGAGGGCAAAAGAGGAAGCGACAAGCCGCACAACCGCCAAGAAACCCAAGTACGCCGGGAAGAGAGGAGGCCACCACAACGGAGACGAGGGGACCACCAGCTGAGGGAGGAGGAGAGCAAGCCACACCTGCCGGACAACCACAAGACGGAGACCACGATGGCCAACGGGGAGAAGAACCACAAGAGGGCCCAGACTCTGAGGAACGCAAACTAGACCCAAAACAGTCAGAGAAATGAGCTGACGAAGTTTACTCCCGAGGCTTCACACGTAAGCTTAGGGATTGTGGACAAGAACCGCTGGGCCGTCGTGGCCGGGGGACCCCCTTTGGGGGACCCTCTTGAGCGTGGAGAAGAAGAAGAAGAAGAGAGGGAGAGAGATTGGAAACCGTCACCGCATCTCCCTTCAGGGGGTCCTAAAGCGCAGCAGAAGAAGAAGAGAGCTTCATACCTTGGGTGCCGACAACACAAGGTAGGCGACACCTACTTCAGCGGCAAGCTCACCGCCCGCATGGCCGGGTTGCTCGGAGCGTTCCTATCAGCAGGGCCACAGGGCTTAAGGCGCCACGGGGTTTATAGTGTAATAAAGGAGCCTACTCCCTAAAAGGGCATTTCTGCAAACACATCATCGAAAGTTCTTTCCTGTCAGTCCTTGAACGGCTTCTGCACAAGAAGGTGATGTAAATAGGTATATATATATATATATATATAAACTAGATGTAGAGATATGGTAGAATACAAGATAACATCGTAAAGTATCACATGGGGATTCTGCACGCCGGATCCCCAAGCGAAGGCAACCAGGCCGACGAGCCAAAATCCCGAAGGCGCTTTACACCTTAGAGAGCTTCCTAACGGCTTAGGGTTTAGGGTTTAGGGTTTAGGCTTCCGGAGCCCTCAGGCGAGGCTGGTTTCAATTGCCCTGGAGATGGGGAAGTCGGATGAGGCCGCTTCGGGCGTCCCGTTTCTTCTCGGTCCTGAAGATTTCTAGTCGTAACAATATAATGAGTATTATTGTTAAGTTATCTGCGAGCTGCTGCCCTGAGTTTGAGGGACACCAGAGAACACAAGTAAGACCGAAACAAGACCGAAACCCACATGTTCCCTACAGGCATTCGTCAAAAGGATGCTGGACGACCTACAGACAACCCTGGAGGCGTGGCTGAAAAAGAGCCGGGCGCCCGAGAGAGGCTTAAGATGCACTCGTGGCTTCGAGAACTTTAGAGGTTGGCGTAAACCCTGAGCCCTAAACCCTGAACCCTAAACCCTTAGATGCTACACCCCCTAAACCCTTCGAACTTCGAACCTCTGAGGCGGCAGCACGCCCTTCATCTACGATCGCTCCTGGGGAGGCCAACCCCCCCCCCTCTCAAGCCAAGGGGATGCAAGCTGCTGTCAGGCCCCCCAAGATTTTTGCTCCAAAAAGTCCCCTTGCGGAAAAGTGGTGTGATGAATGGTGGGGATTATACCCCTTGTCATGGATGCAGAAGGAGTTTGGCGTCAGTTCGTCGTGCAGCTCTCCAGCTCAGCAGGGCATGCGCTATGACGCACGCTTCCACCACGGACTCAGCTCCTAAACCCTAAACCCTAAACCCTAAATCCTAAACCCTAAACCCTAAAGCTGGTAGGCCTGGTTTCCTGCGGCTGCACCTACGACGACTGCTGGAACAGCTGTGCTCCCCGCTGTGCCCTGGTCCAATCAGCACACGGGGGTTTACAGCTGCGGCGGGCCTCGCATGTAGGTGTTTTGCCTACGCTTTCTTGCAGGGGGGCAGGGGTTTCGCCTCAGGCACCAACAACGCCTCAAACCCTTCGACCTGTCCGGCGCTGCACAATGTAGGCGCGCGGCCATCACAGCAGGGATGGGTTTATGACTATGCGGTGTGTGCGCAAAGATGTCCTGTCAGCCTGTGAGCAGTGCAGGCTACAACTTTGGGAACGGCTATTACAACGACCACCACTTCCACTATGGATACTGGATATACTGCACAGCTGCTCCTTGGTAAGCGTTGTGATTGCATCTGGGGCCCAAGGTGTTTCCAGGTGTAGACGGTGGGGGCTTTGGGGCGCATGTAAGTAGTCAAAGCACAGAGCGGTTGCACTTCTCAGGTTCTGGCAAAGTTCCGTCCCGAGTGGGAGAAGAAGTGGAGGGAACCTGTGATGGCCCTCATCAGGCCGGACTCATGCAACACCCATCATGTTCACTGCTGCAAGTCGAGCGTTTAGTGCTTGGCAGGGACTATGCGAACCCATCCTCTGCGGATAAGATGTTCCCCGTCGTTCGGCACAAGGACGTTTCGTGGGGGCTGCCACTGCGCGACCTGCTGGAGTGCCAACAACAGCCAGGGCAACAGTTGCCTGTAGAAAGTTGCTGTTCCGCAAAGGAAAGACCATTGCAAATCACGCCTGGATCAGAAGCGCACACCCTGAGAATCGTCGACAAAAGCAGAGATTCCAGCTAGCGTAGTTGTTCAATCACGTTTAGAGTATTGAGTCTAGGCGACCCAACAACGATGCCCAAAGACCATCTGTAACCTTCAACTCTAAACCCTAAAGCTCAATCCAAAAACGTACTGGCTCTTGTAGGCGATCAGCGTGTCTGTGTTGTCGTCCTTCCTGCGATGCAGCAAGTATACCATAGTAAAGCCTAAGCCTCAGCAAGATCTGTATACATGTACATATATGTATATGTAGATATACATATATACATACATACATACATACATACATACATACATACATACATACATACATACATACATACATACATACATACATACATACATACATACATACATACATACATACATACATACACACACACACACGCGTAATAAATAAATAAATAGATAAAGGTAAATAATGTTCCTGCCTGATTGGGTGAAAGGCGAACCCAGCAGTGGTCAGCGACCCCGCCGACCACCCCCCCCCCCCCCCCCCCCCCCTTTGGTACCAGTAATGCGGAGGACTGGTTCCTGGGCTTCTCGTGGGCCGGCGGCATCAAGTTCGAACCGTTGGGCAGGCCACCTGTTGCCGGGTATTGCTATTCTTTTCGTTCTTACATATTGTTTCTCTTTATGACGATTCGTTGCATCAGTACCGTTCTTTCTATTACTTTTTCTACACCATTTCCACTACTATTCGGATCATTGTTGGTATAGGGCGTGGAGCCAGAGGGAGTTGTGGCAAAGCAGGACAAGTCCAATCTAAGTTGCCTTGGGGCTTGTTTGCTTGCCCCCTAAACCTTGGGACCCCTTATACTAACAGTCCTCCCCCCCTTGTACTAACAGTCCTTAATGAGATTATAGTACCCCGATTATCATCCCTATTGAGAAGTGTTAGTATAAGGGGGAATATCCCAGCCTAAACCCTGGACCCTGTGCATGCACAGCATGTACAGCGGACTCAGAATGTGAAACGTGTCTGTGCCGTTCTGCGCCCCTCTCCAGGAACCAGGAGAGCGTCAGCGAGGCGATCAACAGCCGCGAACTCTGCTTCCTCTTGCTGCCAACAAACGAGCCTCAACATCTTGCAGAGCTGCCTTCACCCTAAGTCCTTTAAAATCCTGAAAAATCCTTGAGAACCCTAAAAGGCCTTGTTAAACCCTTTAAAAGCCCTAAAGCCCTCTCTCAAGATTTTCAAGGCTACTACGCCTTGGCGGTCTACGGCACCATCCTCGCGAACCGGGGCGACGAGGCGGTCCTTTCGCACCCGCCCAAAGCTGCCCAAACGCACCCCCAAAAGGCACCGAGCTCCGCGGCAGAAAGGCCCTAAACCCTAAACCCTAAACCCTAAACCCTAAACCCTAAACCCTAAACCCTAAACCCTAAACCCTAAACCAGGCTTCGCAAATGGGCCTTCGGCTGCGACAGTTTGGTCGGCTCCTTCTGGCCATGGAGGTGGGGGGGGGGGGGTCCTTTGGGGGTTGGGGGCTCCTGGGTTCAGGTTTCATGGGTCTGGGGTTTAGGGTTTGGGGTTTGGGGTCTAGGGTTTAGGGTTTGGGGTTTAGGGTTTTGGGCTTGGGGTTCAGGGTTTGGGGTTTGGGTCTCGGGTTTAGGGTTCAATTCGGGTGCTTGCCACAGAGAGGTTGAGCTGCTGAATATGTAGCAAGTAGGCGTCAGGTTTATGCGGGTTTGGACACATAGAGATGGTCCGCCCCAAGGCGACTGGAAACCCAAACCCTCAACCGCACGTCTCCCCAAACGCGTCTCCAGGCTACCCAAGCTCGGCAGGTGTCTTGAATTTAGGGTTTAGGCAAGGGTTCAGGGTTTTAGTGGCCCGTCTCCCTTAATCGAGTCCTATATCAGCCGCAACTACCCACCTGAAACGCTCCAGAATCTAAATGACCGAACCTTAAACAACCTTAAACTCTTAGCATTCAGGGTCCGATTTCGGGCGCTAAACCCGGACCTTTGGGTTTCGAACCCAGATTCAGATGGTCAAAGCCTAGCCACTTATGGACGAAGCCTTCTTTCCTGCGCCAGGTCCACGGTGGGGACACGTACTGGTACCCCGGCTGCACTTGTAAGGTAATTGTGCCTCACTTCTTTGCGTTCTGCTTCCATCTGAATCCACTAGCTTCAGGTGAGGAACACCATCAGCCCCCTACAGGCTGTCCTACAGCCCCACAAAAGACGAGACTCTAAACTTAGATGGCCCTTATCTACTCACAGATAAAGGTGCTCTCAAACCCAATCAGGGCAAATGCAAAATGCTTCAATGTCCCACCTGAAACCCAAATATGATACGCAACGGTAAATGTTTCGGGCTTACTGTTTAGGAACTAGGGTTCTATGTGCAGTCAGAATTAATAAGTACCATGATTTTCCAAGCAGGTTGAAGGTAGGAAGATCCTTTAACACCCAGATGGTGGCCTAGAGTCATCTTTGAAGAATGCTTGTTAAGTCTCGCTTGGTTAGTTGCCGAAACTGGGGTTTAGGGTTTGAGGGCTGGTAGAACCCCTAAGAGATGACGGTACCACTGATCTTCCTTGGAGTGTGCTGAGAATTTTGCGACTGGCCTCCATATCGGAACCTGCATAGGTCTTGGACGGATGCGCGTACGGCATTGCTTTTGTTTTTTTCATCACGTAGTCTTGTCGTAGTCGAGTGCTCCATCGCTTCATGGCCTGTCTAAACATGCAGAAACAGAGACGTTTCTATTTGGTAGCCTGTAGCCTTGTATGGCTTGTGCTGTGCCTTGTGCCTCTCCTACGGCCGCACTGAGTGCCACTAGTCCACTGCCAAAGCTCCAGGCATGTTCGGCCCGATAGCCAGTTCTACCCAAACTTCGAGCACCCAACAGCGTGGCACCTGGCTGTTGGACCGGCAGGTGTATGAGGCTTTGTGCTTCTGATCTCGGGCCCATGGCACCCTATAAACCCTAAACCCCCACAAAAGTACCCTATAAACCCTAAACCCCCACAAAAAGTACCCTGTAAACCCTAAACCCCCACAAAAAGTACCCTATAAACCCTAAACCCCCCACAAAAAGTACCCTATAAACCCTAAACCCCCACAAAAAAGGTGGGCATCATGTGGGAGCACGTCTGCCTCCACCAGACTTGGTTCGGTGGAAAAGGCGCGCGGGGAAGGGTGGCCTTGCCAGGGATGGCTCGAGTCAGTTCATTATAGTATATTATCGTATAATATTTTTATGTTATAGTATATTATAGTATATTGTAGTATATTATAGTATATTATAGTATATTATAGTATATTATAGTATATTATAGTATATTATAGTATATTATAGGATATTATAGTATATTATATTATATTATATATTATAGTATATTATCGTATATGATCGTATTTTATCGTATGTTATCGTATATAATCGTATATTATAGTATATCATAGTAGATTATATCATTCCCTCAAGCGAGTTTCTGGCACCGTTTTGTTGCTACGCTCGGCTATGCCACACGGCCCCTACCCTATATCGTTTACGGTACCCCCCCCCCCCCCAGAAGGGACCAGCGTACAAGAAAGCTGACCGACTGGAGTCCGGAGTTTGTCAAGCTCCGGTAGCCAGGCTGGGCCGTCGAAGGCATCCAGAAGCTTGGAATGCACTACGAAGCAGAGAAGTTCGGTTGTCGCTCGCGTTGGTGGTGTTTCGGACTCCAACATCACAGAATCCGGGGATGAGCGGGAGAAGCAGGCAAACGAGCATCAACATGTTGCATCGTGACAGCACTCCATCTGCATTTTTGTTAGGAGTTCCAAAGAGCAAAGGCCCGTGACACATGATGATGGCTCGATTTCTTGTTTGTTTTTTTGTTCCGCTCTCCCCCCCCCCCTCGGGCTTCTGTGGCACACTTTCTCTTCTCCCTGGCGAGCTGTCATGTTCCATCCGATCTCACTGAACACCCAACTGAGTAGCGATGTTCTGCACGATGTCATTTGCACGATGTCATTGCTAAGGATGCTGCCAGTGGTGCCAGCCTGGCGCTTGGAAGATGCACCGAGACCGCCGAAGCAGATGGTACCCTAAACTCTAAACCCTAAACCCTAAAGCCTTCCCCCTAAACCCTAAACCCTAAACCCTAAACCCTAAGCCCTAAACCCTAAACCCTAAACATCCCTGAAGCCCCTAAAGCCCTAAAAGCCCGATGATAGAAGAAGCCACCAGCCAGTGCCGGGCTCTGGCGGGTCCGAGGCCTTGGAAGCCTTCTTGAAAGAGGCCGGGGTTTAGGGTTTAGGGTTTAGGGTTTAGGGTTTAGGGTTTAGGGTTTAGGGTTTAGGGTTTAGGCTTTATAACGGGGTGGGATGCCGGAACTCCGCTGGTTTGCTCGAAGCCCCCCCCCCCCCAGCCCTTAAACGGCCCTTAGCCCCACTTTTTAAGGGTTGCCCTGACATTGCCCTAAGCCCGCTTTAAAAGGTTTTAAGGGTTTGGGTTTGGAGGGTGGGGGGGGAAGGGCTTGAGGGGTTTCAGGTTCCAGAATGTTTTTCTTGTTTTTGGGAGGCGTTGTTGGGGGGGAGGGGGACCACATTGAAGCTGCATTGAGTGCAGGAGTGGGTCAAGCAGCACTTCCTTGCGTACAAGGACAGGGGGCCTTGGTTTACATATCCGGGGATGATTTCATGGCACTGGTTAGTTAGGGTCTTTTTTTCATAAGGACATATCAGGTCTTTTTGGGAGCAGGTGTTTTTGATCAACTACCAACGGTGTGATCCCAAGCCTTGGAGTTTGTGAGGCTTCTCCCCAGGGTTGGACCTGGATTCCAGTTACGACGTATGCGCTTTTCCCATTCTCGGGGCCCTCTGATAAACACCCTCACCTCACCCCCCCCCCCCCCCCCCCCCCCACCGCTCTCGGGAATTACAACCCCTCCCAGTGTTCCACCTGTGGAACTACAACCCCTCCCAGTGTTCCACCCGTGGAACTAGTAAAGGGCCCACCCTCTCTCCAGGCCAGTTTGCTGATCAAGTAAAGGGCCCCCCACTCTCGGGAATGACAACCCCTCCCAGTGTTCCACCCGTGGAACTACAACCCCTCCCAGTATCTCCCAGTGTTCCACCCGTGGAACTAGTAAAGGGCCCACCCTCTCTCCAGGCCAGTTTGCTGATCAAGTAAGGGCCCCCCGCTCTCGGGAATTACAACCCCTCCCCCCCCCCCCGCCCCCCCCCACCCCCCCCCCCCCCCACCCCCCCCCCCCCATCCCCCCCCACCCCCCCCCCACCCCCCCCCACCCCCCCCACCCCCACCCCCCCCCCCCACCCCCCCCCCCCCCCCCCCCCCCCCCCCCCCCCCCCCCCCCCCCCCCCTCCCCCCCCCACCCCCCCCCCCCCCCCCCCCCCCCCCCCCCCCCCCCCCCCCCCCCCCCCCCCCCCCCCCCCCCCCCCCCCCCCCCCCCCCCCACACCCCCCACCCCCCCCCCCCCCCCCCCCCCCCCCCCCCCCCCCCCCCCCCCCCCCCCCCCCCCCCCCCCCCCCCCCCCTCCACCCCCCCCCCCCCCCCCCCCCCCCCCCCCCCCCCCCCCCCCCCCCCCCCCCCCCCCCCCCCCCCCCCCCCCCCCCCCACCCCCCCCCCCCCCCCCCACCCCCCCCCCCCACCCCCCCCCCACCCCCCCTACCCACCCCCCCCCACCCCCCCCCCACCCCCCCCCCACCCCCCCCCACCCCCCCCCCCCCGGCAACAAAAAGAAAAGGAGCCTTAGAATCCTTCTGACCCATATCTCTGGATGTCTTGGTGAAGCCTTGCCTTGGGAGAGGAGTCCTGCGACAGCGACCCCGAATGCAAGAAGCTCGGCTGGTCCTGGCTCGTTTGTATGCAGCAGGCGCCGAGGGGCCAGAACTTGTAGAGGGTTTACATAGGGGTTGTCTAGGGAGTGCATAGGGTAGGGTTTATTTCGGTGTTTGTGAGGGGCTTATATGGTGTTTATACTGCGAACGGCCCTGTCCCTGCAAGATGTTTTGCCCAACGAAGCGCTCGAAAAGATGAATCCCAATCGGTCGTCCTCCTTGCGTAGGCGGTCGTGAACGTGAGCGATGCGTTCGACTGCTTGCGAAGGCGGGGAGGGGACCACGTTTCCACGCCAAGCCTGTTGGGAGCCTGGTAGCGAGGCTGGATGACGAGACCTTCAGCATGAGGACCACTACTGATCTTCGGGGTTCGGTGACTCTTGAGGTGACTCCAAGAGAAGTGCTGTCGGAACTTTCTTGAACCAGGGCCTCTCCAATCAAAAGCCTTCCCAGCTCGTTCTTAAAGAGGGTGACGCGGAGGAATGCTGCCGCTGGCGGCAACTCCTTGACAAACTCGCTGCAGCTTGGTTAGCAACTGCAGAACCCCAGGTTAGGGTTTGGTTGGGTTCAGAGGTTGTGGGATTTCGGGAGCGGCCATTGGCTCTTGAAGCCTCCCATCTTGGAAGCGTAATGGGTATCGGGGTCGCTGGATCCACATTGGCCCTTTTAAACGGTACCCCCCCTCACTACATAAAGAACTGATTCTTCACCAAAGAAGAGTATCTGATACTGCAAAAATATATAGACGATTATTGCGACATTACAGTATACATATACACACACACACACATATATATATATATATGTATATATATATACATATATAAATAAATATAAATATAAATATAAATATAAATATAAATATAAATATAAATATAAATATAAATATAAATATAAATAAAAATAAATAAATATGTATATATATATATATATATATAAGCATAAGGCCCAGTCTTGATCTCCTTGTTCCTTAGGGCTTGGCTGGCCACCCGCCCTGGCGTCCATGTGCGTGACCCGGAGTGCTGAAGACAGCGTAGGGCGACTTGCGTGCTGGACTGGTCTAGGGTTTAGGGTTTAGGGTTTGGGGTTTGGGGTTTAGGGTTTAGGGTTTAGGGACTTCTCCACATCATCTTGGGGCCAACTTTTGTTGCCTTCTCTTTCTTTTTTTTTTTGCGTTGGGGTTGTGGATGTCATGATGAACACATCGACGGCATGATCTTCACAGAGTGAGGGCATGAGTTGCGTAGCCTGCAAGAGTGCATGAAGCACCAGACACAAACACAGGCACAGGCACAGGCACCGGCACCAGGACAGGGGCCTGGGACAGGGACAGGCATAGGCACACGCATTCGCACACGCAAACGCACAGAGAGGCTTGCAGCGGGCCGTGGTGGATCCAGGTAAGCCCTAGCCATTCACGCTAACCGTACACGCCCCAAACCCCACCCTAACTCCTAATCCCTAATCTTTACTCGTCGACCGAGGAGGTAACGGTAACGGCTTGGCCGCGCATCGCGAAGAAGGAGGCTGCCATGCCCCAGTGTCAAACCTAGGGCTACAAGTTGCGGAACGGGGTGCGTGTGCTTTCCACCGCCTTTGCTGGAGCTGCTTTGCCGCACAGTCCGGCCATTGCAGAGTTTCGCAGATGTCTTCGGCTTCGGACACACAAGTTGATGGGGGGTGGTGCGGGGGCCAGGAGTGCAGGGCCCTCAAGCCCTCGGCCCACAACCTCCACACCCTTAAGTGCTTCAGGCTTTCAGGGCTTAGGGTTTGGGATATAGGGTGTATCGGGCAGGAGCGCAGGAAGACGGCCTAAGCCCCCCCCAAACCCCCAAACCCGAACCCCTCCTCCCCCGACCGCCAGGCGGTGACTACACCAAAACCAGCGCCTTGCCAGCAAGAGCTTTGCGATCCTCAAACCAGGGTGGCTGGGCAATAGGGCAGAAGCATGGTGTAGGGTTTCGGGTTGGAGCACTCAGGCTCCAGATTCGATCCGAGAAAGGTCGCGCCAAACTTGCTCTGCATAGCCGAGCGTTGAGTGCAGCCATTGGCATATCTCCCCCAAGTCCTCACAGGTTCTGCCGCACTTTGATCCGCTTGCGCCAGCAGGGGGCCTCAGTTGCACTACCAAGCCTCTGCCAGCAATTTGCCGGGAGGAGCCACTTGAGTTCTCTCATACGCTGAGGCACGTGGCTCTTACAGGCAACTGTTGTCCATCATCTTTGCTTCTGCAAGATGAAGGTCTAGGATTCTAGGATTGCTCAGCAAGCTCGGAGCCACATCGAACGTGCAGCAGCCGAGTTGAAGAAGTTCGGGCGTCATGGTGTGGGGTGCCTCAGATGGCTCAGCGAGGGAAGGAATCAGCTCGACCTGCCTGTGAGTGTGTATAGAGTGATAGATAGATGGCAGGCGGATGCAGTGTTGTAGCAACGGCAACAGTTGTTCATGCCCCTTGGTGTTGAGCTGCGAAGAGCCCTGGCTCGCCCCGGTTCGGACTGACTTGCGGGGGGGCGCTCATGACACTTTTCTTCGTGCCTCCTCCGGGCATTTTTGGGGTCAGACTTGGCCCGGGTGGGGTCGAGGTCCGCATGAACAACCTCTGCTTTGCCGGGGAGAGCGTTGCATGCCCGAACATCCCGCAGCGGGCCCGGTCAGTTGCCAGGGTGTTGCACAGGCTCAGGGGTGAGCGTTTAGGTGAGGAACATTGCGTCCCATCTCCCCCTCAATAGACTAGGATCCCCATAACAAAGCGAACCCTAATTTTCGGGAGCCCCCGTATGGTGAAGGGGTGGAAGCTTCAAGGACTCAGTTTTGGAGGCTTGAATAGGCTTGATCTCCAAGAAGGGGGTAAGATGGGACCATAGTACTGTGTCCAAGCCAGGTCCTGCTGCTAGATAGCGCAAGATCCCTGAAACCCCCATCCCTAAACCTTTCAAGATCCTAGAACCGTCAGAACATCACCCTAAGAATCTTGAGGCCCCATAACCCCAAAGAGCCACGTAGCCCTAAGCACCCTAAGCAGCCTGAAAGCCCGCCGGAACGAATGCCCGCGCAGCTTCGGCTCAGGTTGCGTTGTCGCTTCCGGGTTGAACTTGCCGGACCATCTACGACTAAGCCCTCAACCCCAAACCCTAAAATTCCGTAGTTACCGAGCTATCGGGTCTCGCCGGGCTTATTCAAGGGTAGGGCCCTTCTTGGGAGAAAGTAAGTTGGGCCTTTTGGCGGCATTCGTGCAGATTCTTGCTCCGCTTGGATGACAGCAGCCAAGACGATGCCTGCACCTGTGCGGACGGTCTATGGCTGCCAGGTTCCCTACACCCTAAACCCTAGACCCTAAACCCTAAACCCTGAACCCTAAACCCTCCCCCAAAACAAGGTTTTCAGTCTGTTGCGGATGATGGGGGTTCTTCTAGATTGGGGCCTGTTATGGTCCTCCTTCTTTCTAGATACCTGTTTGGAATAGGGTTGCAGGTATGAAGGCCCTCTCAACAGCGACCAGCAACTTCGACAATCCCCCCTTGAGTGTCGGGACCGTAGATTAGCGTTTCAAAGGTCATGCCAGAGGGTTGGAGGGTTTGAAGCCCAAGTCCTGACCCTAAAACCTACATCCCCCCAACCCTAAACCCTAAACCCTAAACCCTAAACCCCAAACCCTCAACCCCAAACTTTAAATTTTAAACCCTAACCCTAAACCCCAACCCCAAAACCCCAAAACCCCAAAATCCCAGAATCCCAGAACCCCAAAACCCCAAAGCCCCAAAGCCCCAAACCCCCAAAACCCCCAAACCCCTAAAGTCAAGTAGGTGGACGTGGAAGATGGGAGCCTGGAGAACTTAGCATCCTCCTGGCGCCTGGAGGAGTCTGCGTGCCCTCACCCGAGACCCCAAAACGGCCGCCCAACATTGCAAATCCCAAATCCCTAAAATCCTAAAACCCTAGCCCAGAGTCTGGCCCTCCTACTACTACTACTACTACTACTACTATTATTATTATCATTATTATTACAATTGTTGCTATTGTTGCCATTATTATTATTATTATTATTATCAATATTACTAATATTATCACGATTATTAGTATTATTACGGAGGATCTGCCCCCACTGCCTCCGCCAAAGAAATGGGAGAAACTCCTGCATCCTGGCGTGCAACCAGGGACCAGGTACCTGCCCGAACCCTTGCCATAAAACTTGCACTTAGATTTTGGAGTTGTCGTTGTTGTCAAGCTCAAGGTTACATAAAACATACACACAGGCTTCGAATTTACTTTAAACCCCATAGCGCAACATACCAGATATGTCCTTAAAGAGTCTGCAAGCCTCAGGATCCCATCCGCCTGTTTGAGCCATCCACTTGTCAAGGAGTTTAGGTTTCGGGGTGCTCCCACATGTGCTGCATGACATCGGGTCTCGGCAGGGTTTAGGGTTTAGGGTTTAGGGTTTAGGGTTTAGGGGCTTGAGCCTGCGCATCCAAGGCAGTCAGCTGGCGGAACCTTCTACGTCAGCTTCCAGATCCTCTGTCTGGTAGGCCGGGTGATGCTGCAGTATCATAACAATAATAACGACTAATAATAATGATAGAAATATTGATAATAATAATGATGATGATGATGATGATGATAATGATAAAGATAACTAATAGATACAAATGAAAGTGGGCTTCAGTCGATGGAGTGTTGCTGGGCTTTGGGCGAGCTCCGCGTTTGCGGCTCCTGCGAAGGGAGGCTGGAGCCGGGGTTTGGGCTGCTGGCAGCCGGAAGACCTTAGACCCTCTTGCGACGCAGGTGGCACGCACGGGCTGGCCCTGACGGTTCTGCCCCGGATCCTGGGCCCGATGCTGTCTGCCGGGCAGAGGCATCATCCTAAATCGGTCCATCTGGGGGCAGCAAAAGGGCTTCGTGCCAGGCTTCCTAGGGCCGATTTCGGTTGCGTTCTTTAGTAAAGGCAGAGGACCTTGACAAGCAGCATTCTGCGTCACAGGTCACTCTTCCTGGCTTCGATCTACATCGAGGCATCCTCTTCCGCGATCCCGGGCATCCCTACAATTGAACCCATCAAAAGCTGAATTGTAGGGAGGTGCGTAAGCTCGCAGGCCGCGATAGCTGTGGTATGCCTGCTCTTCATCCTCTTCGGAGATCCTGGGGCGTCTTGCGCAGCAAGAAGACGCAAGAAAGAGAATGTTGGACTCTCTGTGGCAGCATTCTGCGTCTGAGACCCGGCGCGCCTCGTCTCAGTGGACGTGGTGACGTAGTGCTGCCATTGATTGCACGAGGTCATTCCCCGAACGGAGGAGAATTGCTTTCCCCTACCTGCAGAGGCACTCTTGCCCTGGCCAGGGTTGATGTTGAGTCTGCGTCGCTCTTAGGCTTGTGCCAACTTAAGCAACCTGTGCATTTTGAGAGAGAAGGCTTATCTGGACCTAGTCAGTTCGAAATCTCCACCAGAGTCAGAGCCCGTGTCCTGCACCGCAGCCCAAGCCAACGAACTCGGGGATCGAGCCTTAGGAGAGTTTTCAGGTGGCCTCGGTGCCTTGAGTGCCTTGGGTTCAGGCCGAACTCGGAACCCGGCAACCCAGGGTTTAGGGTTTAGGGTTTAGGGTTTAGGGTTTAGGGTTTAGGACATCTTGGCGCAGGTGGCCGACAAGATTCGGCGGGGGGAGCCCTTGGAAGACATGGCGATGCTTCGCTGGAATTAAATGGAGAGCGCAGCTACAGTTACAGCATAGGCTGCATAGCAGACATGCAAAAACCTCTCCGCCTGTCTGTCTCTCTCTCTCTCCCTCTCTCCTCTCTCTATCTCTCTCTGTCTCTATTTCTCCTCTTCTCCGTTTCCCCTCTCTCTCTTTCTCTGTCTTTTTGTTTCTTCCTCTATTTCTTTTCCTCTCCATTTATCTTCCTCTCCGTTCCTCTTCCTCTCTTCCCCTCTCTCTCTCTCTGTCTCTGTGTCTGATTCTCTTTCTCTTTGTCTCTCGCTCTCTCTCTCTGTCTCTCTCTCTGTCTCTCTCTCTCTCTCTCCTCTCTCTCCTCTCTCTCCTCTCTCTCCTCTCTCTCCTCTCTCTCCTCTCTCTCCTCTCTCTCCTCTCTCTCCTCTCTCTCCTCTCTCTCCTCTCTCTCCTCTCTCTCCTCTCTCTCCTCTCTCTCCTCTCTCTCCCTCTCTCTATCTCCTCTCTCTCTCCTCTCTCTCCTCTCTCTCCTCTCTCTCTCCTCTCTATCTCCTCTCTATCTCCTCTCTATCTCCTCTCTATCTCCTCTCTATCTCCTCTCTATCTCCTCTCTATCTCCTCTCTATCTCCTCTCTATCTCCTCTCTCTCTCCTCTCTCTCTGCTCTCTATCTCCTCTCTATGTCCTCTCTATCTCCTCTCTATCTCCTCTCTGTCTCCTCTCTCTCTCTCTTGTTTAGGTCATTAAACATATTACATTCATACAAATGATGTCATCCGCTGCTATGCTCGCTTAAGACATGTTACTTAGGGTCGCGCGCACACACGCCCACACATACACATAGACACAGCATCCGACATGACAATTTCATTGAGGGGCTGGTGCCAGTACTGGTAGTAACATCTCAGTGGGACGAGTCTCGGTGGACGCAGGCTACTGCATGCACTCGCCTAACGCGGGGGGTTTGCGATGTTAAGGGACCTGCGATGTGGACCCTCAAATAGTAGGATCCCCTCATTATAAGGACCCGAATAAGGTACCCCTATCGTAAACCCCCACATAGCATTCTTTGTTCTTCAAGGAACGTGGAGGATGGGGATCGGTCCTTTTGCGTCCGATGCCTCGTCTGGCGGCCAAAGCGTCAAGCGCCCTTTCTGTCTTCACGAGCGACTCTGGCCGCAAGCTTGCCGTGCACAGGAACAATATCTAGTGTACTGACATCCAATAGCAAAGACTGCAGTGGTTGTGTGGTATAGCAATCTTTGTGACCAGGCTTTGGATCTTATATGTCAGATGTAGGGCTCAGGGCATGTGCTCCCGCCGCATATGCCAGCACGTGATGCAGCGGAGAATCGGAGCCTCGCATAGAGGCTGCTAGCTTTTCCCTCTCCTGATCATGTCTGCTGTTGTCCCGACTCTTTGACCACCTTTCGCTAAACATAATATCCACGCCCCCTTCCAATAAATACTCTACCTCCTACCTCCCCCCCCCCCCCCCCCCCCACCCCAAAACACAACTGGTGCGCCAGCATTGGCGGAAAGAGCACGCAGACAAATAGCCAATGCACCAGCGAGCCAAAACCTGAGCTAGGATGCACCTAAGCACAGTTTTGCTGCGATACCGGTTGAGCTGTCACAGCTGCTTCCCTCGTAGCAAGGTAGTCCAGAAGTACCAGAGATGCTACTCTGCCTCTTGCAGATTATGAGTGTACGTCTTTCAAGGCACGAAAGGCCTTCTAATATGAGCCCAGTATCTGCGCAAGCCGTTAGTGCCCTGAAATCATGTCCCATGACCTCCCTTGTTCGACAGGTGGCTTCCTTGCCACCCGTGTTGCAGACTTGCCTGCGCCACTTGCCTGGCTGCCCTGCGGCCGCAGAGTTAACAGATCGACTGCCCAAAGACTCCAATACCCCTTTATGAAGGCATGTTCCTTAAAGTATAAGTTCCTTAAATGGTTTAAGGAATACCTTAGTTAAGGGGTATTGGAGCCTCTGAGTGTTCGCTTTGAATGGCCTTGAACTTCAGAAGCTTCATCGGTTAACCATCCTCATGATGCAGGACATGGGGCATCTTCAGAGTGACCATGTTCAGACACAGACATCATGACTTCCCACGTGTTCTCCACTAGAAGGCATCCGGCATCCTGACTCGCAAAACTGTAAAAAGTCAGCGAGTTTGAGGAATCAGGTTTCAGCCCTTCGCACAAAAGCGAACAGTTTTCCTCTTGGGTGCCTCAATATGCGGCCCCGTATGGTAACCCTAAACCCTAAACCCTAGAAGCATCGGAAGCCCAAAGAGGACCACAGTAGGACATCCCAGAAGAGGGACAACAGTAGGAAGGCACAAAGAGGGACCACAGTAGGGAAATCCCCCAAAGAGGAACCACAGTAGGAAATCCCAAACAGGGACCACCGTGTAGAGAGAGCAAGCCCCCCCAAGTGCCCCATCCGCCACAAGGTAAGGAGGGCAGCTGCCACCATTGCAGGCCTGGGCATGGCAAAGGCAAAAAAAGGAAGTATATAAACACAATATTAAAACAGGTCTGTATAGTAACATGAGCGTAGTGTAAGAATCATGTACTAACCATAAAATAAGACTAACATGGAATAATCGCATGAGGGTCACGATGAGCTCGGGAAAATGATGCTTTCGTTGCCGTCCTCGCCTGGTTGCTGTACCGTTTTTCCATGCGGAGGGGCGCCTCTGTCCGTTCCCAGTCGATGGGTGCGAGTGGTCACTGAACTGGTGCTGATGGCCCCGGCCTAAACCCTAACCCCAAGCCCTACACCCTACACCCTAAACCCTTGGTGTCGGTGGCACAGCTGTCGCATGTTTCCAAAAGCTTGTCACGCGGCCGCTGTTCTGCTGCATGCTGGAATTCCCCAAAGTCTGCCAGCTGTCTCGCGCACTTGCGACGCACATTGTCATAGCGGGGTAACATTTTACATCTTTAAGGGTGCATAAACTCAATGAGTAGAAATTTGAATTTTTTAATACTATCCCAACCATGAACTAGGACCAAGCTCCGGAAATCACCTTCCAGCCATGGAGCCCTAAACCCTAAACCCTAAACCCTAAACCCTAAACCCTAAACCCTAAACCCTAAACCCTAAACCCTAAACCCTAAACCCTAAACCCTAAACCCCCAAAATATATAGTTCTGGAGGACCTGCAATCGCTGCGTCCGCTACTTCGACCACCACTGCGGGGTCTTCGGCCGCTGCATCGCCGGGTGCCTCGTGAGAGTTGTTTAGGGTTTAGGGTTTAGGGTTTAGGGTTTAGGGTTTAGGGTTTAGGGTTTAGGGTTTAGGGGGGTGGGTGGGAAAGGTCCAAAGGCCCAGAAGCCATCCATCGTCTGTAGATTGCCTCAACACAGTGGAGAGCGGCTCAGGACCTGCTGCAGTGGCAACATGCCTTTCTTCCTGCTGATCATCTTCATGCTGCCCGGCTTAAAGCATGGGCGGTTTGCTCCACGGGCCTGAACGCACCTAGCACAAACCCTTGAGAAAGAGGGTTTAGGCGTGTGTTTAGGGTTTATAGGGTTTATAGGGTTTCGGGATTCTTAGCCAGCGCCCAGGTCCTTCGTAGGGACTGGCACGACCCTTATCTGCCTGGCGACATCGTTCACGAACCGCCTCGCCAGCTTACATCGACCGTAGGCAGGTTTGCGGTTGCTGCAGAATGCAATTGCAATTCAGGCTTGAACTCCAAGTGCCGGTGTGCCCAAAGTTGGCACAGTGCCACAGGAGATCCAAGAAAGCAACCTGCATCCGCGCAAAAAGGCTTCAGTGGGCCTGGTGTCTGTGCGTATTGCAGTGTTGGGGGTGTTGGAGGGAAGGGTTACAATCATGAGTAGATGGTTTTGAGAATTATGCATTTCTACTATGTCATAAGTTTTCAGACATCACTTCTATAACATGACACACAATATAATACATACACTATAACACAGTACAACCTAACCATACACGCATACATACGGGGGTTTATGAAAATAGGGGGACCCTAAAATAGTCCCTAAAATAGTAGGATTCCCTCATTATAAGGACCCCCAATAAGGTACCCCTAAAACCGAAAACCCACATATACTATATGGGTATTTCCCAAAATAGGGGTACCCCTGTTACAGCCCAAATCGAACAGAGTCCCCTCAAAGGGACCCCCAAAAAGGTTCCCCCTAAAATCGAAAACTCATATAGACCCCCAAATCGTAAGATTCCCTGATAATAAGGACCCCAGTAAGGTATGGACCCCCAAAAAGAACCCCCGTATACTAAATAGCCGAGTGCGGCGCGTGCTTGAGAGGCTTTCAGTTGGACGGCTTGGTTTCGGTAGAGGCTTTTGCGCAGAGTAGGGTTTAGGGTTTAGGGTTTAGGTGTTAGGGTTTTGCGCCTAGCATGACATCGGCCAAGCTCTCACCGAGGAACTCATACTGCCTTGGTGACGAGTGCTGTCCGGACCAATCGTGGGGCCCCAAATCTGCCCTCACTGTGGGAACTTGTGGATTCCAGCAAAGGAATGAATGAACCACTGAGAATGCGAAGCATTTCGGCACCATGCAGCCCTTGTCAGCTACATGATAGAGTTCCTCCATTTTCGTGTTGGCTCTTTGATTCACTGCGATTCACTACATCCATGTGAGGTTGTGCCCCTCTGCGCCGTACTACTCCAACAAGATGTGCGCCCATCCCAAGAAGATGGCTTGCAGGCGCCGGCCTCAGAATCTCCTAATTAGGTCGTTGTTGCTCAGCTGACTAAGCTGTAGAAGACATATTCCTCAATAGCATTCATCGTATTTATTGATTTGAAGAGATACTACTGTAACCCTGCTGAGCTCGAACTCTGCTGTTCGGCTTTTACATTGCTACAGTATTGCAGAGATACATGATTATATTACTGCCAAATGTCTCGGATCCTCACATGGGTGTTGAAGCAATGGAACTACGTCCAGTCTGGCTTAAGATGGCCCATGGGGGAAACCGTTGGCTGACTTTTTCGATGCCAGGGGAACGGACGGCGACAACCCGGCCCCACCCTGAGTGAGAATTCAGCGACTGAACAAAGTTCCAATGCTCATTTGTTTGCGGGAACTCCTGCCACACACTCATTCCTTTTCTAGTGCTTGGGTTTCCTCAGCCCGTGACGCAAACAAGGCACTCTCATCATTCGGGTTGTTGGAGAACTTCGGTTTTGCAGGTTTCTGCCATGTTCTTTGTGGTGCTTTGCGATAACTTTAGATCCTTAGCCTTTTTGGGTTTATTGGGTTTCCTAGTAAGCTAAACACTTAATTATAGCTTTGTGCCGTAGCCCAGGCGCAAGTGGAGGAGAAGAAAAAGCAGCTACCGAAGGACGGGGCGAAATCTGACACTCCGCCCCTCCCCACCCATCTTATCCTTTCCCTCTGTCTTAGCCTTCGAAGTACCAGAGCTGCTTCAGGGTAGACAACATGTTGAGCTACCTTGTGGATTTGCCTCAATGTGGTGCAGGGTCAATGTGCGCCTGGCAGCGCCGTGCGATGCCCAAATTCAAAGCAGCTTGGCGACACCGGGTCTTGGGCTCTGTGGCAAGCTCATGCCGCCCAACTAAGCAGACTTCTTGTTGCTTGTCTCCTTCGTTACTTTGTCGCTATGTTCCCGATCCTGGATCAGATCTAATCACGTCGTGGGACCTGTCTCTGCACATGCTGCGTCCCAAGCTCCATATATATATATATATATATACTATATATTATACTATGTTATGTTATATTATATTATATTATGTACATATATCATATATAATATAGCGCAGCAAGCCGAGGAGCTTCTGCCAGGAAAGCCAGTGCTGTCCCGATGGCTCGCGCGGCACCGAGACCGACAGCCTCTCGTACACAGCGGAGCCTCATCCTCCGAGGTTGTCACAAGACGCAGCGGAGCCTGATCCACATGTACACCTTGGGATGTTCCCCCTTATGCACTAACAGTCCTGAATAGGGATCATAGAACCCCCTGTAATCCCTCTTAGGGGCTGCTAGCATAAGGGGGAACATCCCAATCTACACCCTAAACCCCCTAAACCCTAAACCCTAAACCCTAAACCCTAAACCCTGAAGCCCTAAAGCCCTAAAGCCCTTGAAGACCCGAAGCCCGCTTTGAAGCCAGAGGGTCGCTAGTTTCCGCCCAGGCTCTGCCCCTCCGCGCCCCTCTCCTCGAGCTCGAAGCTGCCTGGCGGCGACTGGGGGTTAGGGTTTAGGGTTTAGGGTTTAGGGTTTAGGGTTTAGGGTTTAGGGTTTAGGGTTTAGGGTTTAGGGTTTAGGGCTGTTTGTAACTTCCATCCCTCAGCCCAAGCCACCCCAAGCCTTGAAGCTGCCCAGGTGCCAGAAGCCCAAGGTGCATGACTGCACGGGACCAGGAGGTGCCCCCCCATGTCTTGCTCGGCGGGAGTTTTGCGCAAGCGCGTTTCAGAGCTCGCTGCCAGGCAAACCTCTGAAGCCCCTCAAGATGAAAGAGGCTTGCAAGGCCGGCCCCCAGATTCCTTTCTTCCGTGCTTGTTGCAAGACAACACCACCGATGTCCCGACTAGTAAGGCAAGCGGTCTCCGGTGAAGCATTTGCAGAGCCTGTAGTGTGTCCTTCGAGATACTTGGGCTGTTGTCCTGAACGTTGTCGCACACGTCCTGTACACGGCACGCAGCAAGGTGAACGAGACCGTGCCCTGTCCCAACTCGCCGCGCGCCCGGAGTCGCTCAGGAATTCACAGCTGTCTACGCACAGACTTGCTCCTCAAACCTCCTGTACTGCAGTCCTCCGAAGTTCACAGAACCCCCTTGCAGATAGGGCAGAGCTAGGCGATCGGCCACACTTTCCGCAAGGAATCTGTACTGCGCCGGGTCGCTTTGCTGTCCTGATGGGTCGTTCGGCGCCCAGCAGGTCTTGCTCAGGGTACTTCCTGTTCAAAGCATTTCAAAGCAATCCTTCCCAATCCTATTTGAAGTCCCAAAAGTCGATGCGGAAGCTGCTAGGCCAGCGGCTAAGGGACATCTGCGATGGGGCATGAGGGGGCTCGTCGCAGCTTCGCATAGCGGCCCTGGCTGGCTCCGTGCGACCAGCTGTCGACCGGAGGACGACACTTTGTATGACAGCGAAGAACTGCGAGGAAACAGGGCCGGTGACGCCGCAAAGCTATAGGAACCGGCCCCCCCCCCTGGCTTCCGTATCGATATGTCTGCTTTCATCTATCAAATATGTATGTATGCACATGTATCTACATGTATATGTATGAGTATACACAAGTATATATATATATATGTCTATATACTCACATATTCCTATATGCATGTCTGTAACTAGCTATTCTTGATATATGTTATATGTTATATGTTATATGTTATATGTTATATGTTATATGTTATATGTTGTATGTTATATGATATGTTATCAGAATGTTAGAGGTTATATGCTGTATGTTTTATGGCGTATGAATATTATGTAAAAAGTCTGATGGTGTTTCATATCGCCAAAGCAGTCAGGCCTTGAAATGGGTAAGTTTGTGGACTGATTCCACGCTGGACGTTTGCTCAGCGTGGCCCTAACCTAACCCCCCCCCCCCCCCCCAGCCCCAAACCCGATGACCACTTGTTGTAGGGCATTCTTCTTCGTAAAGGGTTCCATCCTTGTCAGGGAACCAACAAAGCCCCGTTTCCCCCCCCCCCCCCCCCCCTCCTTACAAGCCCTTCTTAAAACTCCGCCCTCGCCTACAACGAGGCCGTGCCCCTCTGCGCCCAGCTCAGCCGTTTGCTGGAAGAAGGCCGCTGCGATTGCGGAAGCCTGGAATTCAGTGGTTTGGGGGGTGGGGGGTGGGGCTAAAGTTTTTGTTTCAAGGTCCAAGCTGGAAGCTCGAAATTTTAGGGGAGGTTTGTAGTTTATAGAGGTCTATAGGGATTGTAGGCTTTATAGGGATTATAGGCTTTCTGGAGTTGTTATACGGTTTACGGGGTTTACATAGGGTTGAGGGGTAGGGTTATGGGCTTTCTAGGCTTGGGAGTTTAGGGTTTAGGGCTTTCTAGAGGGTTATACTCCGCATGAGATTCCTCTTGCGCAGGCGAAGGTCATGGACTGCACGCCGCAGGCACCCTTCCCACCTTGCCTTGAGCCACCCGAAGCCACCAGAGCCCCAAACACGCCAATACTCCTTCATCAAATAGGATTTCTTGAACTGCGATAGTAGGGATGCAGAAAATGATTTAAGGAACATTCCTTAGATGAGGGGTATCGGGGTCACCGGGCCTGAATCACTGCAACCCTAAACCCCCTTTCCGGACCCGCCCTGCGTTGCAGCTGAAGGAGGATCTGCCACCTCTTCACAAGGAGCGGATTTATCGGGACGTTCCCAGTCGAAGCCTGTGGCTTGACAACGTTTGGCTGTTTAACAGTTTAACATGGTCTGCTTTGTTTCAGGGTCTGCTGCTACCCCACTTCCATGGCTTGCTGGTAGCGTTGTGCATTGACACTCCTCGTTTCTTCTCTCGCAAGCTGCCTTCGAAGTTTTGGGTCAGGAGCCTGAGTTCAAGGACTTCGGCCCATGGGCAAGCAAGAAGGAGGAGGAGAGTGGTGTGCGAAAGCCGGCAGCAGCCGTTTTTGTTTTTTTTTTGGGCCGGAGTCAGGAGCGCGAACGCAGAGTCGGGCAGCCCGAGTCAAGGGTTGAGGGTTTGGGGCCCGTTTCCAACTCAGCCTCTGCTTGTTCGTGACATGACCTCCCTGTCCCTTGCACAAGCCCCTGGCTGCCCCCAACGCAACCAACTCAGCGATCCCTGCGAGAGGAGCCCTCCACCCATGGAAACGATGATGCCGAGGACACGATCCGGGTCGCCTTCGGGTCGCCGGGTTGCATTGCTGGCACGAAGGGCATGTGCCCCGGTGTCCGAGGACAGTGATGATGGTCAGGAGACTGACAAGGCCGGACAACGGTGGGCTTGCAGTTAGTAAAAATCATAACAATAGCAAATAACAAATAACAAATAACAAGAACAATAACAGTAACAATAACAATAACAATAACAATACCAATAGCAATCGTAATAGTAATAGTAAGAGTATTAGTAATAGAAATAGTAATAGTAATAGCAATAGCAATAGTAATAGTAATAGTAATAATAATAGTAATCGTAATAGTAATAGTAATAGTAACAGTAATAGTAATAGCAATAGCAATAGTAATAGTAATAGTAATGGTAATAGTAATAGTAATAGTAACAGTAATAGTAATAGTAATAGTAATAGAAAGAGTAGTAATAATAATACTACTACTACGAATAATACAAATAGTAGTAATAATAAAATAATAGCAATAACAATACTAATAATACTAATAATCACAATAATATAGGTACAGTCTTCGGAGTGGCACATCGTTGCACCAAGTCGCGGAAGTTGGGCTCTGGGGTGTTGTTGTTCAAGCGACGCAAGGTAAAATTAGCAGCTGCTCAAGATGCAGGCTTCCTGGTTAGGGTTTAGGGTTTAGGGTTTAGGGTTTAGGGTTTAGGGTTTAGGGTTCAGGGTTTAGGGTTTAGGGTTTAGGGTTTAGGGTTTAGGGTTTAGGGTTTAGGGTGGTTAGTGCAAAGGGCCCAATGAAAGGATGCCATCCCCGTCTCCCAGCATGGGCGTTGCTAGAGGGATGTTGCGTGACACTGTTTACTGGACAATCAAAACCTTTCACAACGGGGCGAGCCTGCCAGGAGGAGGAGGAGGCAACGATGCCCGAGCCAGGGGACGAGGCCCTGTGATGCCCAGCAGCATGATCTGTCCATGACAGCGCCTGACTCTTTGCCCTTAACCAGGACGGTGCCGGGGACGATTCGACAGAGGAGGCTGAGGCGACAGAGGAGGCTGAGGCGACAGAGGAGGCTGAGGCGGGGCCTCAGACGCAGCTGCTCCCGCAAGCTTGGCGAGGATCACCTTATTATTGTTATTGTTATTGTTGTTGCTGTAATAAAAGAAATTTTAATTCTTACTATGATTATGATGATGATGAATATGATTATGATTATGAGGGTTCTTATTATTAAGTAATACCGCTCACACCCTAACAGGAGCCCCCGTCGACCTCAGGGGGCGGATGCGATGCGAGCAAGAAATGCTTGCCTGGTGCCAGTGCCTTCGATGCAGAAGCGTTCATCGTCTTCAGGGAATAGAATCCTGGGAGCTTCTTCGACATAACCAACATGCTGTCAAGGGCTACAGCCCTAACTGACCTTGATCAACACCCTCAGGGCCCAAGACCCTGAAATCTGCCATCTTTCGGTCGCTCGAATCAGGGACACATCTCAAGTGACTCAAGTGTCCCTAAACCCTAAACCTTAAACCCCTCATCCGGCACCATGGCCCTGAGGTGTGACATGCCCAGATAAGTCCGGGCCTCAGGATGAGGTGCCGGTGAATTTTGGCAGGCTGTTGCTTTTCGGGCTTAGGGTTTAGGGTTTAGGGTTAGGTTTGGGAGAGGCTCTTCAAGCAGGGTGCTGGTCTTTGTGGGATGGGAATCAGAGATCTGCCAAATCCTGCATCTGAACAAGAGATTCAGACCCCGAATCGGGGAATTGCCGATCCATACTGCATGTCAGCACTGCGTATCGTCATTATTGCTGTGTCACTATTGTTGTGGATTTTTCCAAGTGTCAACCCCCCTGGAGCCCCAAACCCACTATTTTTTGAAGAGGGCGGGGGGTATGCCCACATGAAGCTGCCAGCTTCTGCTAGGGGCTGCAGGAAGACCTCGCACGGACATTGCAGAGCGTCTCATGCTCAATGCTTTTTACCTCCTTTCACTCAACGCTCGGGGGCTTACGAAAATAGGGAATATGCATATCGAATCCCAAATAGTAGGATCCCCTTGTAATAAGGACCTCAATGAGGTACCCCCCCAAATTCTCGGAAACCCCCCCCATGTCCTCTCCAAAGGAAGACCGTATGCTCTGGGATCAGCTGCTGCCCTGATGGCTCGCACGGGGCTTGTCACTGCGTAGTGTGGGGGTTTCCGCGAATTTGGGGGTGTACCTTATTGGGGTCCTTTAGAATAAGGGAATCATACTATTTGGGGTCTATGTTAGGGGTCCCTTATTCTCGTAAACTCCCATGTTTCTTGTGGGGTGAAGGTGGTTACCTTGATGCTCTCTTGTGCTTCTCGTGTGTCTTGGGGCTGCAAATTCATGGTGGGCCTCAGAGAGGTCAGCTGTGTTGCGGGCCAAGCTGGTTTCTGTGTTCATGGTGTTCTTCCCTGCGAATGTGTGAGGGTGATTAGGCTGAGGGATGCACAGGAATGGCTTGGTACCATGAGAAAAGTGCAGTTGGCACGTGATGAGACGTGTGACTGTTGCGTCAACTGTGGCGTCACGGGGCCGTAATTGCTTTCCATCTTCTCAAGTACAAGGTGGCTATGAAGGAGACCAAGAATTCTGAGGTTAAAAATGACGTGATCTAGCGAGGCTGTGTCCGTCAGCTCCCTTGCTGGCTCCCGGAACTTCAGGCTGGGGGCGCTTGAGGGAGTTGCTTGTTTAAGGTTTTGGTGCAGGTGAGATCTGCCATGACATGGGGCCGGCTGGGACTGCTAAGGTCTTTGCAGACCTTACTGTATTGTGGCTGCGAATCCCTGTCAAAGTACTCTTCACCTGCACTCGAACGCTGGCTGCAGGCTGCCCTCGCCCGAAGCAGTATGATTGCACCTGTGCTTCACCCAGTCCGTTCCAAGCTTTGATGCGCTTGTGTCAGCAGAGGGCATCAAGAGACGTTGTCGAGCCGCGCGTGTATGTGACCACGGCCACCTGCAGGCCCTAAGCGCCACAAACTTCCTAGGGGCCGGGTAGTTAACCTTTAACCTTTTTTGACTACAATATCATCCTACCACAAGCACAAGGTTAACCTATTTTGGGCCATGGTATTCAGCCCATTCAGCCCCTAAACCCTCAACCCTAAACCCTAAACCACAAAGGCATGGAGGCGCCAAAGATCGTGGGGAGAAAGACCTGCGAGATTGGGGCCGGCGGCCGAATGATGTCTCCGGTTGGCTGTGGACATTGTTGGTTCTTCAGGGTGTTTATAAGGCCTTCTATGATCGCAGCGCAGAAGTCGCAACTTGGAAACGGATGAACATGACAATAGCACTCATGCTCGGATAAAAGGTACACGCTGAGCAATCATGCGACACAGCGTCTTGGACTAACCCTCGACCCCACAAACCCTCTCCAAACCTTTAAACCCTACAACAAAGGTGCTAAAAGCCCTCCAAAAGCGATCTTAAACCCTCTACTGTAGAGAACCCCCCCAAAAACCCTCCAACAACTCCTAAAAACCCTCGGAAACCTTTAAAAAACCCTCGAACGACACCTCAAAACCCTCGTTAAACCACCCTAATAACCCTCTCAAAAGCCCTCTAAACCTGGCTTTGCCCTAAACCCTAAACCCTAAACCCTAAACCCTAAACCCTAAGCCCTAAACGGCTTTGGGGGCATCCCGCGAGGCCAGCGTGCGCTGCCCCGGCAACGAGCCAGCGGCCCAGGGAGCTGCGAAGAGCTTTGCAGTTATGTTTGGGGTTTAGGGTTTAGGGTTTAGGGTTGGGGGTTTAGGGTTTAGGGTTTAGGGTTTAGGGTTTAGGGTTTAGGGTTTAGGGTTTAGGGTTTAGGGTTTAGGGTTTAGGGTTTAGGGTTTAGGGATTGTTGCGAGGCATCCTGAGACTGTCGTCGCGTGCGCAAATTCTATGCTGTAAATGCAGGGTCTAGGGTTTAGGCTTTAGGATTTATGGTTCAGGGTTTAGGGCATGCTTCGAGTATTTTGCAAGAGTTGACGATGTAGAGCGGTCTGGGGTGGGTGGGTATGGGGGGGGGGGAAGCAGGGAGGGTGAGGATGGTGAAAACAACTCTTCGGATGCCGTGCGGCTTGTCAGACTTGCAGACTTAGTCAGTTGGATTCTAGGAATTGCTTAAGAACCCCCAAAAATAGAATATCATCCTTCTTATAAGGGCAATATAGGGAATTTCTTCTTTTGGGGGTTCTTAAGCAAATAGTAGGACTGGGGCTGACGTACGAGCACGAGTCAGAAGTTCGGTCATTGTGAATTGGAGTGGGGACACCAAGTGCCAAAACCCTATACAGCGGGGCAGGACCACCTGAAAAGCAACACTTCCATTGTCCAACTTGGCACCCCACCCTACCCTACACCCTGAATCTAAGCCCTAACAAGTTGAGACCGATGCTCATATGCGCGGCACAATAAGGAATGTGAGATGTGCCGGCATGGACTGTTGTCCAGATGGTTCGTGCCGGCCCCAGACTGCATGAAACTTCAGGGTAGCTTAGGGTTTACGGTTTGGGCTTTAGGGGTGAAGGTTCAAGGTTGCAACCGCGGCCATTTGCACCTTCGCACCACAACCGCGAGGACTTGCCCCTCGGCGCTGCTGGCGACGCAGTGCCCGAAACCGAAGGTCCACGACTGTACAGGCAAGGGGGGGATTTATGTATGGCCACTCTGCGCCTGTCCACAGCACATCTTTCTGCCATGCCCAGACGTGGCGTGAGTTTCAGCGGCCGCTCTACCAGGGACTCTACCAATCCTGCAGCTTCAACCTCCAACAGACGTTGACTGCAGGCCAGACACTGGAAACGGAGATGAAGGTGGCAGGGTGCTTACTGGGCTTACTGCTTCTGTTGCCGCAATGTGCCAGGGGTCGAGAACTCGGATAGGAAGTCATTGCATCAGATGCCGTAGCATCATGGCTTGCGCAGCCGTAGCCATGCTGTCGGGTAGCTCAAATTGCACGCTGGCATCGCCTCGGCTGTGTATTGATGCCGTTCATTGATGTTTCGGAACGCTGGGTATCGACTAATGGCGGGCAAGTATCATCAGAAGGAGAAACTGAAAGAATTCTCAGAGAGAGAGAGAGAGAGAGAGAGAGTGTGGGGGGGCGGAGAGAGAGAGAGAGAGAGAGAGACTGGGATCCGACGGGGCTCCTTCATGCCCAGCAGAAGAAGAAGAGAGACTGGGGAACGCCGGACCCTATGCCCCATCAAAGGAAGAAGCAAGAAAGAAAGAAAAAACAAAGAAAAAGAAATAACAAGAAATGAATAAACCACAAAGAAAAAGAAAGAAAGTAATAAGAAAATAAAAATAAAGAAAGAAGTAATGAAAGAATGAAATAATGAATGAATCAGAGAAAGAAAGAGAGAGACTGAAGAGTCACTGTCGAGACCGGAAATGACTGGAAGAAGGCCTAAACCCTAAACCCTAAATAACCCTAAACCCTAAACCCTAAACCCTAAACCCTAAACCCTAAACCCTAAACCCTAAACCCTAAACCCTAAACCCTAAACCCTAAACCCTAAACCCTAAACCCTAAACCCTAAACCCTAGACTGGAAGAAGGCCAAGTCCATGGCCTTCCTCAAGCGCTTTGCCCACCAGCGGTCCGGTGCGGAGGCCAGGGCTGAGAGCACTGAGCAAACTGGCGGCGACAGATCTACCTTTTGAGGGTTTAGGGTTTAGGGTTTCCCTCCCTTTTTCTATATATGTATAATTCTGTAGACATACATGTGCGTGTCGACTGCTGCCTAAGAGCAGCAGCTACGCTGGGGGTCTCGCAGGCACGCCCTGAGGGCGAGGTCTTGATCTCCACAAGCCTAGGGCGATTCGTCCCAGAGCTTAAAACAAGTGATAGCCGAATTCTCAATCGTCTCAGGTTTCATGGCTTTGGGCAGCCATTCCCGGTGTCGCCGCGGGGCTCACAGAACTAAGGGGGGGCGACTATGCGGTTGAAGATGAACTTGGCTATTGACGGTCCGATCTTAGAGTGTGCTGAGCTTCTGACGCGATTCAAGCGAGATCAAGCGAGCTTGGGCATCTGTCCACTGTTCCAACGAGTGAAAAGCACAATCCAGGCCTGTGCGCTTCTGATGGTCGTGGCCTTCTCCATGGCGATGCAGGTGATGCACTTTATCTTTGTCTGCAGAATGCTGACGATTGCTGAACATACCGTCAGCTGCGGAAGTACTTTTTTTTAAAACCCTAAACAACCCTAAAGCTTAAACATGCTGTACCATGTCTTCCCCCAGCGTGTGTCGTAACAGCCATGGGCCTGCAAGTGCGTATATGTCTGGGAGGCGCGCCGCTTCAAGCCGGCTCCACGGATTCAGGCTGGGTGGAGTGCGGACTCTTACCTCAACATTAGCGTTCCATACATATACATGTATATATACATATATGTGTATATATACATATGTAAGAATAAACATAAATAAATACATATATATATATACATATTGTTTTATTGTTGCGATTATTCAGCTACACATGTTCCATTGACAGCTGCATTGGGTGCTCGATCATGCCTTGAGGGTGCAAGAACTGATGAGGACGAAGCACTTGTAGCGCGAAAAGTTGACTTGGGTGTGAAGTGGTGTGAGTCAGCGCAGACTCTGAATCACCCAGGGACCCAGTCCTCATTGAGCCTTGGAGGATTCAGGGATCAAGTTTGGAGTGTTAGGGGGCCCTGAATCATCTTGACGCAGAGAAGCTTCAGTTCCGCGTGTGGAGCTTGCGCCGGCAGGAGGAGGACTCCTCAAGCGAAAGCACCTCCATGATCTCTCACGCCACTGAGAGGCTGCTTCACTAAGTGCCCCTGAGGGGTGCCTTGTAGAGTCAAGCCCTGGACACGAGGTAGGTCCAAGGTTGACGCGATTCTGCGCTTGCCTCGCTTGCAGGCCCTTTCCACCCCCACCCCCCCCGCATCCTGTAAACTGAAGCCCCCTTAAAGCTAACCCCGAAGCTTCCGCAAGCTTCCGTAAGCTGTAAGAAGGCCTGCTTGCAGCAAGCCTAATTCACAGTTAGGTGGTGTCGTACTCTCCTGGACTTCTGGGCTTGCCGGGAGTGCAGGGCTTGGGTTTTTCTTTTTCATAAGTTCTCATGGTGTTGAGGGCTTTACGGGTTTCATCGTCTCTTGTAGCTGATTTGATCACATCATGGCTTAGAGAGAATTGAGGAATCAGGACTGCTGGGGGCCACATCACGTCCCAAAGCAGCGCCCTTGTCCCGAAGAGGAGTCTCAGAGAGCTTTCCGCCGGCCCGGTCTCAAAGTGTGGCCGCCCATCCTCCCAGACTCCCCCCGAAGGGGGGAGGCTTGTGCAATGGCACACTGGCAATGCGGGGGGTGAAACCTGGCAGCTTATAGGACCTCCAAAATCCCGCTGTTGCTTGAGACAGGCGCCCCCCTGTGTGTTTGCCAGCATGCGGAGGGTCCGGGATTCTTGGGCAATCGGCTTTCCTTATCCACAGTGCTACCACACTTCAGGTGGTGTGCGGTGGGTGCACGCATGAAAAGGAGTAGAGACCAGTAGAGTTCAGGTTTAAGCCCCTTGAGGGTCTTGTTGCAGGTGTGTAGGAGTACTAGACTTTCCTCTGGATAGGACGGCTTTTCTATGCATTTCTGACGGCCAGGGCCTGCTTGTTTGCACTTGTGCCGAGACTCTGCTTGCACCAGAACGTTCGCGCACGACAATACTTCTGTCACTACTCCAACTCTGCGTCTTCCAGCGGTCCTGGTTTAGGGTTTAGGGTTTAGGGTTTAGGGTTTGGGGTTTAGGGTTTAGGGCTCTTCGCAGCAAGGCACACCTTGGCACGCTGCAAGTGAGCGAGCGCCAGGCTACCACCATGTGACATTCGACACTGGAGCCGCTCGAGGTGCGCGGGATTTCCTTTGTGATCTTGAGCTTGGAAACTATCCACTGCTCTACATTATCAAGGGCTTTGAACGCAGAAGCCAGAGTCGGGGATATTAGCCCAACACTGCACACAATCTATACCCCCTCTTGTGTTGAATTGTTGTGAAGGCGGAGCGGAGAGGGGGGGGAGGGTAGGATTTGCATGAGTTGAGGGGGGGGATGGTAACAGTGAGGGTGTGCAAGTACCTGCACGTAGGGATCCTTCTCCCCTTGAGCTTGTAGCTCTTGGCACTGAGGGAAGACAACGACTTCCGAAACTTGACTTTGTCGGGGTCATGATTGCACCTTTGCCTAGGGTATCAGCAATGACCTGGTAGATGATGTGTTCCCCGTTTCTGCCAGAAGCAGACGCCGTGGACACAGCTCCATGGCTCTCTGATGCTCGGCGCCCCAGATGCCGTGTTTGTGCTGTCAAGGGGCTTTCGTATCACGTGGCATGCGGGCTAGTGGGACCTAGTGCGACAGCATGTTTTCCATACGCAAGGTGCAGAAGGAGCTTGCCAAGGACGTGGCAGAGTGCACAGCTGTCGAACCAAGAGCTCTATTATCATGATTACAATGACAATGTCCTCGTTCACAGCAGATTCTAAAAATAGCTGCGGCGAGCAGAATCAGAAAGTTTGCAGAGGCATTCGACCACACGGCATCGGCAACAGTGTCCCTGCCAAACCCTAAACCCTGAACCCTAAACCCCAAACCCTAAACCCTAAATCCTAAACCCTAAACCCTAAACCCCAAACCCCAAACCCCTAAACCCTAAACCCTAAACCCTAAACCTCGCATGCCTTCCTTGTCAGGAAGGCACCGTGCTGGATGGCCGCGCCCTGTTGGGCGCCATTGCATGCCTCAGGCCTCGTTTTTCTGGGGCTCGGCCTTGCAGGGTTTAGGGTTTAGGGTTTAGGGTTTAGGGTTTAGGGTTTAGGGTTTAGGGTTTCAGAGATACACACAGAAAGTATAGGTCCATGCCCCATGTCCTGGGCCCTATAGACCCTGTGCGCGCAACCCCGAGATCCAACCTGAATCTTGAGCCCAAAGCCCACCCCGCAACCCTTACAGACACTAGAGCCTAAGCCGCAAAGCAACATCTATGACCTAACCTTGACCCCCATCGCCCTAGGCCAGCTCAAGAGTACGGAGTCCCAGGCTTTCACCCGAAGTCCTGCAGCCACAAAAAAGGCCCAGAGGACCCTCAGCCTTAGAAACCCTAAACCCCTAAAGGGGGGGACTGCGGTCTGCAGGCTGGAATTTTAAAGCCCCATGTGTACATGCATATTCAGATGAGAAGGCTCTGGCTGCAAAGGCACGGTGAAAACCCACAGGTATGCAACTTCTCGAACCTCAGCACTCAAGCCCCTTTCCCCTCCACCCCCCCCCCACCCCCCCCGGCCCGTTCATCCCTTACGTTCGGCTCGTAGGCCGCGCCGAGTTCAATCAGGAAACCTGGGTTCGTAATCAGGAAGCCTAGGTTCGTGAGGTTTCATGAACTGTACTCAGGGCCTCCTTTGCTTTCATGTCCTCGGTTGAGATTGGTTTTCGCAGGCCGCCAAAGACCATGTTCGAGGACTCATCCGGCACAGGGTTCCAAGTTTGTGCAGCGCAGGGCTCTGTTCAACCATCCTTCGCGGTGAGGAGCTTACGCCCTGCCCCAAGCTTCTCCCGAAACTCCTTCGCCTAAGGCTTCATAAAGATGACATTTGCGTGGAAGTTCGGTGTGCAATGTGCGTCAGTCGACTGGACCAGGTTCTGATCACGAGGATGATGCTAAGCATGTGGTCCTTGTATCTACTTGCTTTGGGAACTTCAGTACGCTGTTGCCGCATGCATCTAGCTGGCACTACCAGTGCGGGTTTTGGCGCACCATGTGTCTTCTGCTACTCTGCTTCTGAGAAGTTGGGTCAGATGGCTCTTGGTGCTTCGGCTTCCTCCGAACTACCTGGAATCCAGCACCAAGACTTCCCAAGAAGTGCGGGAACTATGCGAAATCACTTGAGGAAGGTTGCGCAACCTTGGCAGCACCCCGCAGCCATTCTTGGCCAGAAAAGCTTAGATACAGCAGGTGAAAAGAGAGGCCGGGCACAGGGCTCCATGCCCATCTGGATGAAGGAGTAGGGTCTTGGGACAGTGACGGTGTCGAGCTCGAGGACATTTTGGCTGTTGGCGTGTGTAGGGGCAAGTCTGCAACGACCCTAAACCCTAAACCCTAAACCCTAAACCCTAAACCCTAAACCCTAAACCCTAAACCCTAAACCCTAAACCCTAAACCCTAAACCCTAAACCCTAAACCCTAAACCCTAAACCCTAAACCCTAAACCCTTCTCTGACTGCAGGGGCAGCCACAGCATGTCTCAAAACGCCGTGCCGTACATCGGCCGCAAGATCAGCTCGGCGCTGAGTTCGGCGTTCGGTGCCTTCACCTCCACCGATTCGCCTGCCTCTTACTGTTGGCCGGTTTAGGGTTTGGGTTTAGGGTTTAGGGATTAGGGTTTAGGGTTTAGGGTTTAGGGTGTTGGTTAGTAGGAAATGGGGAAATGAGGTACCCTACATAATCCCTTCAAGGGTAAGACATTCCCCTGACTCAGAGCCCGCAGCCTCCGGCGCAGGCCTGGTGTCGAACTCGGAGCTGCGATACGAGGGCATCCTCTACACGATCAACACGCAGGAGTCTGGAAATCCAGTAGGTCTGCACTTTCGGTTCTCTCGGGCCAGCTGTCAGTGATTCAGGCCATCCCTCTGGATAAATCGGACTGTAGAATACGAAAGAGTTTGCAGAAGCTCTCGTCATAATGACATATAGGTCCAATATAGGTTCTACATTTCCTGTGGTGCTTGCCCGAGGCCGTAGTGGCTCTACGGATCTATGAATCTGGTAGCGATTTAACTTTGCGACCAGGCGATTTCCTTAGCTTAGCCATGGCCCGCGCCGCACTCCTGTATCTGCCCCTCTGCGGGCTTATGTCCGAAGCTGTGAATCTGCGGCGCGCGCAGTCTTCTCAGCTGTTGACAGACTTCCCCTTTTATCATACTTCCGAACAGATCCAGTCGGAAGCAAGAGAGCTCGTCTCAGGCTGTGCCGGTCGGGCCACGGTCAAGACAGTGAGGAAGGGTGAGGTGTCGATTGATGAAATTCGAATCTCCGGCTCTAAGAACTCGAACTTGGAAAGGAACAGGGTAGCTTTCTTGTTTGGGGAGCATAGCCGCGAGTTGATCAGCCCAGAAACGGGCTTGATGTTGCTGAAGATGATTTGTGGACAAGCATCCCATCCGGACTTGGTCGAGAAGGCCCTTGAAACAAGCGACTTCCAGCTGATCCTCAATGCCAACCCCGTCTCACGAGTTCAGGTGGAGCAGGGGAATTACTGCCTTCGCGACAACCCGCGCGGGGTCGACCTGAACCGGAACTGGGACGAGAAGTGGGAGTTCGGAGACGAGGCCCTCGGGGGGGATCAATACCGTGGCGAGACGCCCTTTAGCGAGGCGGAAACTCAGATGGTGAGGGATCTTCTCACAGACTTCAAGCCCACAACCTTCTTGTCGGTGCACAGCGGCACGCCACTTGGCAAGCCTTGACGCCAGCATATTTTGTGAGTGCAAGGGCTCAGATGGGGCTCAGGTTGGTAACTTCTTGTTCAGGCAAAATGTCATGTACTTCGGACCTGCCAGGAACCAGCACGCGCTCAGTTCCTCAACAGTCTTTCCAGAAGCCACCATTTGATTTGATCGGGTCCGATAGTAAGTTTACTATCGGTGATCGGACATCCAGCTCTTAGCTTCTGAACAGAAGCACTGAATACTGAAAGCAGACTTGGCACTGTGGCCACGAGCACCAGAAGAGGGAACGAACCCTAAACCCTAAACCCTAAACCCTAAACCCTAAACCCTAAACCCTACTGAGACTCCAGGTTGGGTCTCTACATGCCCTGGGCTTACGACGCCATCCACATGGCGCACCGCAACCGTGACTTGATGCTGGCGGTGTTGAAGGACAGCCTTGATAAAAGGTAGCCCTTAGGGGTTTAGGGGTTTAGGGTTAGGGGTTTAGGGGTTTAGGGGTTTAGGGTTTACTGGTTTGTGGGTTTAGGGGTTTAGGGGTTTAGGGGTTTAGGGGTTTGGGGTTTTTTTGGGGTTTAGGGTTTAGGGTTTAGGGTTCCCCACTGCGCCTCAAACCGTAGCACCGGTTCCGCAACACCGGAGGCTAGCTAAACCTCAAACCGCACTCCGGTGTTGCGGAACCGGTGCTACGCCCAAATTCTGACTAGCTAAACCTTAAACCGCACACCTTGTCCCTAAACCCTAAACCCTAAACCCTAAACCCCAAACCCTAAACCCTAAACCCTAAACCCTAAACCCTAAGCCGCACACCCAAGTATCGGAAGGATTTGGATGCCGACCACTGCCAGTGCCCCTTCGGCGCTGCGGGCAAGGAAGTGGGCTCCTACGACTGAGCCACAAGAGAGACCTGAGAGGGACACCCTAAACCCTAAACAATAAACCCTAAACCCTAAACCCTAAACCCTAAACCCTAAACCCTAAACCCTAAACCCTAAACCCTAAACCCTAAACCCTGAACCTTCAAAAACATTCAAGCCAGAGTTTTTTGGTTTCCTGGGTTCCCTCCCAAAAAGGTCATCAGGGGATCTATCTTTGCGAGAGTAGCATGCTACTATGATGAGTGAAAAAAGTAGAATGTAGCGACTTCTCTAAATTGGGGTCCCTTTTGGGGTATCCTAAATGAGGGGGGGGGGGCTTACAATAAGGACCTAAAAGTCATATAACTACCCCCACAGTAGCCCCGAGTTGCCTCTTGAGGCTACAACTGCCCTGGAACAAGCTTTGATTGGGTCTTCGACCACTTGAAGGCGGGTGGGGTTTAGGGTTTAGGGTTTAGGGTTTGGGGGGCTTCTGCTTTGCTGTCGGTTGGATTGTCGGGGTTAGGGTTTAAGGGTTTCGGGGTTGTGATACCCTGAACCCGAAAGCCTAAACCCGAAAGTTTACAATTTGGGCAGGCCCCCTTCTCATTTGCCTGGGAGATCTACGCACGCCCGGCCGAGTACGAGGCGGCGGCCTTGCATCTCGAACCTGGGGTGTTAAGGGCTTGCGGTGTTTAACATAAGGAAAAGACACAGGACTAAAGTGCATTCTCCTTAGTTCTAGTTCTGACATTCTTCTCTTCTTCAGCGCATCGTTGTTCATTGCCATTGTTGACTCAATGCTCAATCAGAGGATGCGCCTCAGATGGACTTTGCCCTCCGCCAACCCCTACACCCTAAACCCTAAACCCTGAACCCTAAACCCTAAAACCCTGCAAATCATGACAGCATGACAGCACCGAAACGTTCAGTTAGATGTGTGCACTGCGCAGTGCTGGCAGGCAGTAGTGCAGCAGCCTGGCGTTGGGGGGGGGGCTTGGGCTTTCGGTTTGTGCGAGCATGGCAGGCGTGTAGCAGACGTGGCATCAGAAGTCGCAGTAGTAGCAGTTGGGTAGCGTTGTCAGGGCCTGAAATCTCGCTGGCAGGAGTCTTGGCTTGGAATGATATAGGGTGCGGACTTTGAAAACCCATCCAACCCCCACACATGCTGATGTGGAGGTGAGGGGACTCCTGCTGTGACTCTAATGCTTCGGAGACAGCATGATGACGTGCTTTGCATGGTTTTGGAGTCCCGCAAGTACTAAGCACCCTAGACCTGCATCCTACAAAAACTCATGCGACACGCTGACTTGCTGCCCAGAGTGTACCCAAGGAGAAGCTGAAAGAGGCGAACTCCGTCCTGCAAGGCCCAAGACGGGTGAAAACTTGAAGTCCTTCAGCCGTGGTCAGGGCCGAGCGTCTTCGGCCTTTGTGAAGGTCATATATCTTCCAGAGACCCTGGAACCCTGCAATCACCCTTCTTGGAGGTTCATGGATTTAGGGTTTAGGGTTTAGGGGTACTTATTCCTGTAATAGCCAATTTACAACTGTACTTAGAACCCCAACGTGTGTGTAAGCCCCTGAGGTCAGGCCTCCATGTCGCTGTTGGAGCTCTATGCTGGTCACTTCTCGGACTTTGCTGGGCAGAGTCAGCTTTCTTGCAGCACAGAGAGGCCATGAAGAAGTGCTTAGTAGTAGAGTAGGTAACCTTTAACATCATCCCCTTAGAATCCCAAAGGTTAACCTTCAATTCCCCCAGGTTACTGGACAACTAAGAGTGGCACGTGCCATGTACAGCACATCTCTGCTTGTGATGCTGGTTAAAGGCCTTCATGAGGCAAATAGGTGATGGCCGTGGCCCCTGAACCCGCTGTGCGCGACCTTACAATGTGTTCCGTTTCATGTCATGAAACGGAACCCTAAACCCTAAATCCTAAACCCTAAACCCTAAACCCTGAGTGCCGAGGTTAGATGCTGAATTGCAGGATTCTTGGCCCGCAGAATGGCTCCGACAGACAAGTGATGCAAGCGGCAGTACTTAGATGGTTGGCTTCTGATAGTCCGCTTCTTCTCCCAGACCTTCAGTTCTTCCCCTATAAACCCTAAACCCTAAATCCTGAACCGCTGCAAGGATTGCTTCGGAACCTTCAACCCCAGCACGGAGGCTGAGTACAACGAGCCCTTTGGATGTAGAGTGGAGTGGAGCCCGGACCCCCACCCCCTCTCCCTCGCAAAAACACACACAGACACACAGACACACAGACACACAGACACACAGACACACATACATACATATATATATATATATATATATACGTATATACATATATATATATACATATAGATATAGATATAGATATACAGGCAGCTGGCTGTAAACGTAGATAAATCAACAGGCATCACCCACAGCGCTCGCCCACGTCGCCTGTTGCAATGAATCACTCGCGTCACTCACTCAAAACACCCACACATACTCACACCACCGTTCCTGTCAATCACTCGCATCACTCTCAAAAAAGACGCACTCTCATCACCTTTCATCTCAATCGCCCGACTCAGAATCTACACACATTATATATATATATATATAGATAGATATAGATAGATATAGATAGACAGATAGACAGGTAGTTGTTTTTTGTTTTCACACAGATAGACAGACATACATGTGTAAATAAATAAATAAAAACTATATGTGCATATAGACATATATGTATACATATATATATATATACACATGTATATATGTATATATATATATGTATACTATTATTATTATCATTATTGTTATTCTTGCGTAATTATACATATATAAGCCTTTGTGGCTGCCAAGAAACTCTGCCAGCACTTCGGCGGTGAACTCATGCAGCCTTGCCTTTCCATGTACCCCCCCCCCCAGCCGAAATCGACTTGTTGAGGGTTCACCCTAAACCCTAAACGGATTTTGGCTTCCACGCATGATTGCCAAGGTCAGTCAGAAACTGGGCGAAGTCCTACTTGAAGCTGGCAGTGTTGACAGCTCCCCACGTGGCCTTGCTGTCCAACTCCACGGCAGGGAGGAAATAGTGGTGGAAACAGGCCCAGGAAAGAGGAAAAGGCCCTGAATTTTTAGGAGTTAGGGCTTTAGTGAAGGTGATCCACGTTTCTGTCTTGCATCCTGTCGAAGCAGCCGCGAGAGTACAGATGCTGGCCCTTCATTCTGTGAAGCACAACTGCTACTTGTAGTGTCCCCTGGCATCGAAGAGACTCTGAAGTCATCCGCAGCGAAAACAAAAAGGCGCTGCCCTGTCGGGGTGTTCAGCCCCTACCCTCAGATAGCCGAAAAGAGAATCCTGCTGAACCGAAGTAAAGCCCCGAGCACACCAGTGTGGCCTCAACCGATCTTCCGTAAACCCCAAACCCTACCCCCCGAACCCCAATGTCCAAACGTGTTTAATTATGGAAGCTCACATTGTCATGCCCGCGTTGACACCTGTGCCTTCGCATCGAAATTGAATCCCACGGAACTTTCGGGTGTCATAGCAGAGTGAGAGGGCTTTCTTTCCAGATTGTTCCAGGGCAGCCGTGCAATCCACTCGGAGAATCGAAGCCCAAACCCTAAACCCTAAACCCGAAACTGGTGTGTTTGTGAAAGCTGACACGCTGTCGCCAGGAGTCCACGATAGCGCTGCAGTCCGTCAGATGCTTCGGCACCGAGGGCAGGCCAGTCTCAAGATTCAGCAGAGCAGACTATGGACTGTTTGAGGGTTTAGGGTTTAGGGCTTAGGGCTTGGGGCTTAGGGCTTAGGGTTTAGGGGTACCTTAAGCTGCAAGTATCACGGAGAAGATCAAAATGCACCGTAAAGCCGCAAACGCCAGCAATGACAACAATTGACAACATGCAATGCCAAGTGCAGAAGACCTAAACCCTCAACCCTCAACCCTCAACCCTCAACCCTCAACCCTCAACCCTCAACCCTCAACCCTAAACCCTAAACCCTAAACCCTAAGCCGGAACTCTCAAGAGTTGGCTGGGCCAATCCTTGGCTCTGAGAGATAACGTGGTTCTATGGGGGGTTTCCGAAATATAGGGGTATAGACCCCAAATAGGGTTTAGGGTTCAGGGTGTAGGGGGACCCCTAAATTCGGGGGTTTCCGAAGATAGGGGTACCCTTGTTGGTGTCTAGAGTTTAGGGTTCAAGGAGATTTTGTTCTATTTGGGGGATAAAAGAGGTACCCCTATTTTAGGAGATACCCATATAGACCCCAAAGAGTAGGATCGCTTGAAGATAAGGACCCCAATAGGGTGCCCCTACACCCCGTGTCGTGCTGTTGCTCCATCCTCCAGCAAGCGAAGAGCTAGTAGCCTCGTTGCAGGAAGTTGCCGGAAATCCCTCCTTCCAGTGAGGCGCGGAACTGGGGTTTCATGCATGTTCGACGGCCAGGGTGTAGCGTTCGAGATCGCCCCTGCTGTGACTGTGTGGTGTGATGAGTGGTGACACTACAGTCCGTTTCACAGTTTGCGTGCTTCACCCGCTTCGCAGCAATTGTCAGTAGCAGCGGTCCCGTCGGTTCCGGCGTTTCCGGTGCGTAGTTCGGCACTGACTGTCCTGGAAAGTGTGTTCAGGTGATGAGCTCTCATGACGAGTGCAGGATAGTGCAGGGCTGTAGCTGCGAGCGAAATGTGTTGGCGGACCATGCTGGCCAATGCATGCAAGCCATGCAAGGAAGGTTAAAGGTACCGAGCGTGATAATCGCGAACCCGTGAAGCGGCGTGCCGGGCATGTCGTGCACGCTTTCTGCGCCCACGCACCAGCCACTCTGTGGCGGTATGTGGCGGTGGGGGGCGGGGACCGGGGGGGGGGGTGCTTTCCATTGTCGGAAGTCAACAGCGCCTCGAAACCTTTAGTCGTGAGGGGCTAGTCGTGATCTCCAGGCCTAAGACATTGGCCAGGTCTCCAGTTGAATTTGCACTTTATACCATATACCATCAAGTTGATGTCAACCAGCAACTCGAGTCACGCAAATGCCAGGTGTACGACTTCATCATCTTCCGCGGTCAGGACATCAAAGATTTGACCGTCCTAGAAAATGGGAAGCAGCCTGGTGCAGCTGCGCGGCGGCAACGCAGTGCCAGCATTGGGTTACACAGGTTTGTCACCGATTGGCGGCAAAGCTGTGGGGGCGCACATGCCTACCTGATCCAGCTTCTTCCTCTGAGTAGAGCTGGGTTGGGATGCCGATCGAGTTCCAAGCAGTCCGAATACCTTTTAAGCACTTTTAAGCACTCAACGTGCCGAGGCCACAGATCCCGCCATCGTGTCCATCAACCAACGGCCATCAGGCAGAACGGTGCTGCGCACGACGTGTTCGTGCCACCGCTAGAAGCCCAACCTCAAGAAGGAAGGAGGCTACTAGTAGGACCCAGAGTAGGCCCTCATTCCCTTTTCTTAGGGTTTTGGTTCCCTGAATTATGATCGAGCCCCTTTAACCCAAAAAGGGCACCCTTTTGTATCCTAGGCTACTCTTGGTACTCTTGGTTCTAGGAAGGGCAGGGCATCCTTCGGATAGATTTTCGACCGCCGCAGGAAAGGATGGCAAAGGCGGCAAAGGAGAGATTCCGCTTGGAGGCGTTGGAACCCAAAAAAAAAGCCCCAAAACGGGAGCCCCCCATAAAAGGGGAGCCCCCCATAAAAGGGGAGCCCCCCATAAAAGGGGAGCCCCCCAAAAGGGGGAACCAAAAAAAGGGGGAACAAAAGGGGGAATGGCTCCAAGGATTGCGGGTCAGTTACGCAGGGTGGCTTCGAGTTTCATGCTTTTCAGGGTTTAGGGGGTTATAGTTTAGGGTTTAGGGTTTAGGGTTTAGGGTATAGCAGGCAGGAAGCCAAGCCAAGTGTTGTGGAGGAAGATGTGTTGTCGCATCATCATCGGGACAATATACCCCATATTTAGTAATATTTAGTAGCAATAGCAGTGTTGAGGTTTTGTCTAGATTGTTCCTAAGCCACATCTCAAGTTCGGCACGTAAACCCAAGTTCGGACTGTGCCGCGAGGCCCTCCTATGTCGGGGAAAGCCACGTACGGGTGCGCGGCCTGTGTCGAAAGCTGCATGTCAGGTCTAACGTTGAGCGCGCTGATGCAGTGGACGATTAGTGATCCTCCCACCCCTTCTGGCGCCTCTTAAATGCTCCATTCAATCCCGACGCAGCACTTCAAGGGGAAATCTTGAAAGTGTAGTATGACAATGCTTCCGCAAGCAGAAGCCTCTGGACAAGACCCAGATGTCAGCTGCAATGGTTGAAATCCACACTCTTAGATCTAGCCGATCGAATTTAAAAGGACAGCTGCGAGGAGAATGTCACCGTCCACCATCCCGACGTCTCAAACACCTGCCCTGGGCGCATTTCCCCCCCCCCCCCGCCCCCCAAGAGCCCAGCACTAATAGCCCCTACTTGCTCAATATTGGGCTCCTTGGGTCCCAACCGCATCCGCATACACCCGGCCGCCAGGAAAGGCGTCTCCGCTGGCTTCAGTCCCGCAACGGACACCTGTTCTGATCGTCGCGCTTGTGGGGTGACTTGAGGGCCTTGCATCTATGTATATATATATATATATACATATGTATTGTAGTATATCATATTATGTATAGCCTGCAGAAACACACTGTATATACATGCGACCTCGGGCTTTGAGCTCAGCTTCGGGTCCGGCCTGACGGCGCCCGCTCTCGCGCCAGGGGGCAAGGGTGGCGGTGCGGCGATCTCTGCAGCTCTTGGAATGAACACAGGACCGGCTCTTTTGGGGCTGCAGGGACCCTAAACCCCGAAACCCCTAAACCTCTACAACCCATAAACCCCATGAAGGCCCCCCCCTGTGCCTCCCACCTGGCCTCCAGGCAGCTCGAGAGGCTGGGAGCAGCCTCGGAAGGGCGAGGCTGGGACAAGGGTTCAAGGGTTTAGGGCCTTTAGGGCCTTTAGGGCCTTTAGGGTTTGGCTTCAGGGTCTAGGGTTCCATAGAAGGTTTAGGGTTCAGTGCCAGGGTTGGAAGGATTTAGCGTTGAGGGGCCTAGCAAGGTTGTAAGAAGTCGAGGTGCTCACGTCCAGCCACTTCCATGCGTGCTGAGACAGTTCTTTGGCACTGTGTGTTAAACCCTAAACCCTAAACCCTAAACCCCAAACCCTGAACCCTAAACCCTAACCCCTTCTGTGGGCTTTCGGGATTGGGTTTTAGAGTCGAGGGACGGAGAGTAGGGTCTCTCAAGGGGATTTGGGGAATGCCAGCAGGGCCGGGTACGGGTACGCCCAGAAAGGGGCTTAGGGTTTAGGGCTTAGGGCTTAGGGCTTAGGGTTTAGGAAGTGGTCAAGGTATGAAGTCACGCAGTGGAACCCAGCCCCCTAACCCTGCACCCGAAGTAAAGAACTGCTAAACTGAGCGGTCCCCAAAAACCAAAAAGCTTTGAAACACCACAAGAGTCTGCACCACCCGCCTAAACCCTTAACTAAACCCAAAAGGCCTTAGCCTAAACCCAAAGCCCAGAACCCTAAACCCCAAAAACCCTGTGGAACCGTAAAGCCCAAATTGTCTTGAGCCCTGGCAAGGCATGGGACAACTCCTGGGCCCAGGCGGCGGAGCCGGATGCCCCTCCCGAAAACAGCTGGAAGCCACAAGGGAAGGGTTTAGGGTTTGGGGTTTGGGGTTTAGGGTTGAGGCTTTAGGCTTCAGGCTTTTGGTTTTCGACTGCGGGGAGGTGTGAGCCTCTGAACAACCAAGGGAAAGCAGCCTCGCTCGCGGCCCCTGCACGAAACACTTGCGAGACATCTGCTGTCATGTAGACTTTGAGCGCCGTCTATACACGCAGCTTCGGGTGCAAGTTGTCAAGAGTTTAGGGTGCTATTGCAGGCTCCTGCCCCGCGAGAGTCTGCCTGGGGCGCCGGGAAAGGCCCGGCTCTACTCTTCTTTTGTTTCGTCTTTCATAGAAATTGCTATACGGCAATGCTATATGCCAGTAGTCCATGGATTTTGGGCTACAATGGCCGGTCGTAATAGGCTGTTGGAAAAAACACCCTGCACCCGAACCCTACACACCT